TTGGCGTCTGGACAGATGAGTAAATGTTGCGAGAAATCACTAAAATTGTTTTAATTAGTAACATGTTTGGTTAGTCTTGTGTGTAAGGGCTTCGTTCTGTTTTGCCTATGTACGTATGACCACAACCAGGACATTTAAATTCATATACAACATTGGCCTCAGAAAGTTCCGGGATTTCGTCCTTTTAGGGTCAGAAAATTGATGTCTTTTTTGCTTGATGTATATCTATACGTTTGATGGGAATTTTTAATCTACTGCGAATTTTACGAAGAAGATTGTAAACCAAACGTTCACCACCTTGTTTGCCAAGATATGGTATTCTAAAGAAAATTTTACGGAGGTCATTGTCAGTATTTTGTTTGGGAAGGTTATTTTTGGCTGTGATTTTGGATTTGAGTTAATGGTTTGAGTTTTGAGTTTATAAGACGCCAACTACATCTCACACCTTTAAAAATTGCGTCCGTACTGAGAAATTTTTGAAATATTAATCACAACATAAATAGTTTCAATTTTTTAATTTCCTAGTAAACCTTAGCGGTTTGGCGATTTCTCGTGTTATAACGATACGTATATTGATTCTAATGAAATGTTTATATATTATAACATTCACAGAATATAGCAGTATTTTCATAAGCGTTAGACTTAGTTAATGCTATTTTTCATATTTGTGTGTAAAAGTTTGAGTCTATGAGTATACTTGTCCACGATCTCATACAAGTTCTATGATATGGTGCAATGTGGTTAATAACATTAGCATCAGAATATCACTTGAGCTTCCTTTCCCACTAGAGACTTGAAGTCTCTAGAAGTATTGTCTTTTTTTTGCATTTTCAATGAATTAAAATCTTTACCACTTACGCAGAAAGCGTAAATGCAACGCAAACTACTTTTCACAGCTAATAAAATGCTTTCCCTTTAAGGTAAATTTGTGCGAATTCCGTAAGAGTTGCATTAATGCCATGTGCTTTTTTTTCGATTTCGAATGATGCATCTCAAGACCCTTTTAACTAATTTTTCATTTTGAGTTTTTGTTTTTGCCACTTTTAAAGTGTTCGGTTATAAAAGTGCTCGGGTGAAGAAACTTTTTGGCCTGTATTTTTATGATTATCTATAATATCAGTGCGGATTTAGCAGAACGTCAAAAATTACAAAAAATTTATATACATGGTGCGAGTCTGGCCTGGCTAATGAATACAAAGAAATATTCGCTATTTACAATGACTCTTTGTTCAAAGATTAAACCTCTCTTTTCATCGCATTTGGCACAAAATCAATGGCAAAAAGTTGATTAAGGTCCAATCAAAAGGTTATTGAGAAGATAGTTAGAACAAAACTACACTTGTCAATATTATCTGTATCAATGTATGAAACTGAAGGTGTTAATTTTGTAAAATTTTTCACTAGGTGTAAGGTTGTTAGCATTTGCCTGCGTGTTTGAGAAAATTGGGGTGCGTAAAACAAACAATCACGTGACACAAAAACTTAATTTGCAATTTATGTTGTTATCCATTATAGATGAATCGCAAAAGTCACACATTGAAAAAATTGAAAAAAAACCAAAAGAAAAGTGAAAAAATGTTCTTTTAAAAGCCATTCCACCCACAAAGTTTTAGCTTATTCACCATGCACGTATGTTAAATACCCAACATCAATTCCTTCGAATATCCAGCTGCTCGTAAAAATATTTCCAAACCAACGTCCTGATAGACTCGAAATCATCCTTCAACGTAACAGTGATGACTTTATGTATATCATCAAGTACATCGACGATCTAGTGAAAAATGCTGAATTACTTCCAAAACCATCAAGTAGCTTTCCACTCACCAAATACTCGTTCTTTCAACAACCCACACCACTATCAAAGGCATCCAACACAACCAACATACTCAATTTTCCCACCTTTTCACAACACCTATTTTACCCCTTTTCTCCTGGGAGCCCCTACATTTACGCGTACAAGAGTTATCACTTCCATCCACGACAATAAAAATGAAAATGGAAATGAAGGAATGGCCATGGAAACGATACATGAATAAAGAAAATGGAAGCTCATCGTGAAGCAGGAAATGGCATCGTTGACATTTAATAACTTTTTCTAAGAGTATATTACATTTAAAAATTGAAGATCATTTTGCACGAGAGATTTCATTTATTTATTTACGGGATTTATACTTTTGTTATTTGTGCATGCAAAATAAAGTTTGTTTTTTCCATTCATTTTGGGTTCACTAAGGCCTGTTTCAAACGTCGCATTTTACATGAGCCAAATGCATTTAAAACAAAAATAATGAGGAGATTTATATCATTTTCTATTGTTTTAAATGCATTCGGCGCATATAAAATGCGACGTTTGAAACGGCCTAAGGTATAATAGTGTTGATACATGTACTTAGATTAAAGTAATAGAGATCAATTTTATAAGAAGTTATGCAAGGTGTATCAAAACAAATAAGAAAACGTTACTAAATTCATACTCGTGAAAAAAACCTTTGGCTGAAATCATAAGTTGGACTTCCAATAATTCATCTGACAGTGCCATTGTAACGGTGCCATCATTAGTAACCATTACTAACCTCTACGACTGAGAATTTTGCTACTGAATGAAATAAACTAATCATAATTAAATTTGGAATGCAAGTTACGTCATGGCCGCCATGTTGCATGATTTTAACAAAGCATTTACGTTACTTACTATGCAAATGTTATCCAACATGGCGAACATTCTTTTTTTATCTCGCTCCCAGGGGAATGGTTTCTCACCATCTGCATGAATGTTTTTCTAGTTGGGTTAATGACAAAATTCTTGGTTTGCAAGAAACGTCATAGCGGCCATTTTGAATGATTTTATCAAAGGATTTTCCTTATTCACAATGCAAATTTCATCCAACATGGCGAGCATTCCATTGTTCTCTTACTCTCAGGGGAATGGTTGCTATCCAACAATATCTTTTACTCTTCAGATTTATCATTTTTGCAGTGCATTGTTTTTCATTGCACTTCAAACCAATCATATGCTCTGATCATGTAGGTAGATAGGAATCAAATATTTTTTGAACAACTTTCCTGCATGCTATTTTCTGATTGATATTTGTCGAGTACGGATGTCTAGCGGTAGAAGTGAAGATTTTCGCTGTGTTGGCAAAATGTTTGGGAAAGCTCTTGGTAGTGACGTTTGGGAAAATGATACAGGCTCAGTGTTTTTAAGAGATCGGCAAGAGATGAAATTATTCAATGGTTTCTAATTTTGTTCAAAAGAAGAGAATTTCTTCGACAATCGCAAAATAGGATGAACCATGATAATTATAGAACGATTACTAAAAGAGTAACACCTCAATTACGATTAAGAATACGTCGTGATAAGGTTTACGTTGTATGCAACAAGTTGAACATGAAGTTTTAAGCTTCTTTTACTCCTGCGAGACTTAAAAACGGAATTTTCTTTTTTTATCATTCGCTTCGTTCTTAGTTTTGCTTATGCTTGTGCAGTCGTGCTTGTATATATGTCAAAGTTAATTCTTTAATTCTATATTCTTTACCGTCACTTTACTAAAAATGAGTATTTGCAAAATTTTGACTCAATCATAGAGTCCCATCGCTCTCTAATTGAGGAAATAAATTTTCGCAAAAAGTTGATGTATTCCAAAATAGACCTCTCTACCACCTATTTTTGGATCCTTTTGCGCAGAATTTCACGCAGCATAAATAATCTTAGCAACTTTTCTTAAGATTCTGCATGTTTATATAAAATGTGCTTGAGGACTGCATTGAAATGAGAACCAAGTATTCGAAACATTCATATGAATTTCTCAAATTAATATGAATTTTATTATAATTAGCTCATTTTCGTATATCGAGTAGTTGCAGAGGGTATTAAATTTTATGGAACCGGTTGCTTGATATAGGACCGATTCTCGTTCGTTATAATCAGTTAGTTACATTATGGTTGACGTCATTATTCAGACGATTGATCTACAATCTATCCTAAGCATAACCTATAAAGTTTGAAGTTTTAGTATATAATAAATATAATCTATATTGGCCAGGTTTTACATTCGTACGCACGTGTACCTCTTTTTATGTAATCCCTTGTCCTCTATAACTGTTATCAAGTTTAGATCAGCTTGATGACAATTATAGTAGAAATAGCAAGTGAGCATACAACTGGGCGATTCCGACCTTTACATTGTAATTATTCCTGGCTCCAAGTATAGGCAATAATTAAGACCTTAAAAAGTACTGGATATTGGTTTTGTTTAGGGTACCTTCTCTGAAAACATGTAGGAAAATATATAGGCTGTTCAGTTTTTCACTGATCTTAGACATTCAATCATGCTAAGGTAAATGTGTTGCGTCCTCCAACTCCTAGGGCTTTTTTGACAAGTGCCACACTTCTTGAACATTTATATGGCAAGAGTAATGAAAAACAAATCATTCGATACTACGTCCAATAAACCTAATTTAAACTGAAACAGACATATTAACATAACATAACACATCATACAATAATTTTAAAATGCTTCCAGGCTGAATCAATGTCAGAGAACTGCTCATCCATAATGTAGCATGATCGACTAAACACATTCTTTATTATGAATTATATTTTAACAAAAAATTGCAATTATTAGATTTCTTGGGCAATCTCTGAGTGTGAAAGCAAATACAGCGTATTAGATATATTTCTACTGAATAAATAAAGTCTGAAAACTTGTGATGTGTCGTATCAATTAAATCCATAGATCTTTTATAGATATTTATAGTTTATAGTATATTTATAATTTACAGAAGTTATATGGTTTCATTCTCATTTATCGCTCTCGTTTCCATTGATATCCACTAACCATAAATCATAAGCTTTTTACTTTTTCCTCTTACCAGAGTCAAAATCTAGCAACTTCTAGCCTTGGTACAAAACACAATTAAAAGACTGAGTTAAGGAGTGCTACAACATTAAAAATCAATAAAAGAGAAAAGATCTTTTACAAAAAAGAGTGGGATCAATATACAAAGAATTATCGACTATTATTGTTCAACACCAGCAAATCAGAAAGAAAAATACCTACGTACAATCGTACAATTTATTAATGTAACATGAAAGTTTAATTGAGAATTGAGTCTATTGCTTCTTTCACGTCTTGAAATACCTACAAAAATAAACCACGAATCGAAAAGTTTATTTACGAAGGGCATTTAACAAAATTATCACTTAAATAATCACGTATCACTGTATTACGTACGTACCTCATCAGGTGATCCTGTGGCAGGAATACGCTTTACTAAGTTCAACTTTTCGTAATGTTCTATTATGGGCATTGTTTGTTCTTTGTAAGTATTAAATCTAGGCATAATTTATGTTTTGTAAGTACGTACGTTTTAAATCAAGCCATCATTTATGTTTCTTAAATTTGTGACATGCAAATGCTGAATACTTCTATTTCACCAGAAATTGCTACCTGGGAGTATAAAGAAGTCAGAATAAATAAGTTTTGTGTATCCAGTTGCTTAAGCCTTGGTATTACGTAACTATATTAATCGCTACCAACAATTTTGAAATACCATCTGTCAAAGATATATGTAACATATACATAATATATCTGCAATGTTAAACAAAATTATACACTCTGACTTTATGCACATCTGTTATAACAATCATTCAGTATTATCTGTATCTAAGTTTGCACACTTCAAATCAGAGGAAGGATTTTTCCATTGTACCTTTTCCTTAAGCTGTGAATGTTATCATCACTTCGTCCACTTGTTTTTCCTCTCTCAACAATTCTTCTAATACATTCCTCAAAAAAAGAAAATTCAGCTTTTAAACAACCAAAACAAGTATATTGTACTATAATACGAAGACAAAAATGTAAAATGTAAAAAAATGTAAAAATGTTCTTGTCACAAGTGCAATCTGTTGTTTGCACATAATGAAGGACACAACATATCAAGTAGTTCATATTTGTGCTGATGATCAGGGGGCAGATCCTGCAATTATTGGGCAAATGAAACTTTACATGTTTGTAAATGTAGATCATCCAGGTTGGTATAGTCCTGAGAAGGACTGTTTTTGTTGTTGTTGACTGACGTTTCGACAACCTTAGCGGTAGTCATCTTCAGAGTCAAATGACTCATTTGACTTCATTTGACTCTATTTGACTCTGAAGATGACTACTGCTAAAGGTTGTCAAAACATCAGTCAACAACAACAAAAACAGTCCTCAGGACTATACCAACCTGGACGATCTACATTTACAAACATGTAACGATACTCCCGGGTTCAAACCATTTACTTTAAATGAAACTTCCATGCATGATTAGTTTTTATTTTTGGGAAATACATAACCAATGTCTCTTAAAATTAGGTAGCTGTTATAACATATTTTGCCTAGCCCTGGATCCATCCACATAAAATTTCATGTAAAAAATTTCAAAGCAATTCACCTCTTCCGGGCAATCAAAAAACAAAACACATTTAACATCCACAATCCCAGTCATCCTGTTATTCCATCCTTGAAGATTGTCTTCATTACGTGGAAATCCATCAACAAGAAATTTTTTAACACTACTTTTCTCCATTGCCTAAAACATAAAAGTTTGCAATGAGTTTAGTTTACTTTCAATTTTTTAGGATTCAAAATAAAATTCTTGGAAGAAACAAAGAAATAAAAATTTTATTAGAAGAATAATTTCACTTTGCAATCTTTGGAAGTATGTTGAAATGACTAGTTGTTATACTTCTCATGTAATTCACCTTTACCTTTTGTATAAGTGCAATAGTGATTTCAACTGGAACAATTTTTCCATCTTTTATGCAATTTTGAATAAGATTTCCATCTTTTGATCCACTATCTCTTTCATTTCGGAGTAATTCACCCGCTGATAGATGGACAAAACCAAATTTCTATAACCCAAAGTCAGTGATGTCAGTAATTGCCATGGAAAGTCAGTGAGAAAATGCCATGTTCCATTAGTCAATGCACAGCTCAGCCAAAGTTAATGCACAAGTTTGTCCACAAATTTTTGCACACATGTGCACAATATTTAAAATGGGGTGTCCTGAATGCAGACCAATTTGTTTTCACATACTTAATATCAACAAAATACTTGATATACCCTTAACGCACAATCATATCTACTGAATAGCATACGTACATATATCAGTAGTACACAGAAAGGCATTACTTTATACTGGTTCTATACTTCAATACAGCCTACTGTTATGATTGACCCGGGATCATTGCAGAAACGCTTAAATAAGGAACTTTATAAGACAATGAAAACATGTCATGTCCTATTGATACGCTGCGCTAAACACGTACGTGCAACATTTATATTCTGCAGTCTGCATTCCTAAACTACAGTGTCGGTGTTGACATAAAAATGATGCAAAATATTCATCGTTTTTCAAATATTTATAGGTGCAATTATTCATTGCCTTAAAAATACACTAGTTTCGAATAAATTAGAACGCCATCATTAAGTAATTTTGTTCTAAATGCTAGTTTTATTATGTTATATTTACCTTGACAATTTTCTCGCATTGTGTTCCTTTTCCAGCTCCTGGACCGCCAAGAACAAAAGCTACAATAGGCTTCTGCAATGACATGATTTTTCTTACAACCGCTTGATACACTTTGTCAATGTATAAATACTACGAAATAAACACAAACTATCAAAAAACATAACACAAAATAAAAGTTTGACGTTGACAGAAAATACTAAAATGCCAAGTTGGCACTTCCTGTGACCTGCATATTTTACTGGATGGTGTTTTACAAAATAATTTCAAGGTATCTAAAAACAAAAATATACATGAAGTATTCAATGATCAGATGCTGAATGTGGCTGAGCTAAATAAGCTTTGGCTTGAATGGTCTCTTACAACCGTAAAGATAGAATTAAGTTTGACTTTATTCGCAAATATTTCATTAAAGTGATGAAACATTGACAAATGGCGAGGCATAAATAGTCTTTCTGCATTAAGTGATGTGTCGTATTTTTTCAATGACAATATTTTTAGTTATCATCGTTAGTCGTATCAAGCATGTATTTTTCTTTTGGCTGGCCTAAATATTATGGTTTTGATAACATTGAAAGTGAACAGCCGTGCCGATTCAAGTTCAACCGCGATCTCTCCATTCTTGCTGTTTTGACAGAGAAAAGCTTAACTCTATGGTATCATCATGTATGTCTATTGTGGTTCTATTGCATTCTAATTCTTAATGTTGGAACAATTGAGGTTTACGTACATTATACACATGTGCGTCAGTGCATGTATGTAACACAGTGTTTTGAATCTGATAAATTGAATTTATGTAAAATTAATATGTTTGATAAATCTGAATAAATCAGTTTTGTTTATAGTGCATACTTAATTTACACAATTTTTGCCGTTCATCCAGTGAAGATATAATATGTCGGAAAAACACCATGAAAAATTATTTCATTGATAATCATAAGAGCATGCAGAACTGTGTAATTTTCTGTGTCAATTTTTATTTGGTTTGAGCATCAGTTATTTATCAACAAACACATGACTGAAGTGTGTTTTCTTGATGTTCATATCACATATATTTGTGATAGTTTGAAAATTTGTGTACCCTAGCCACTGATACAGAAAAGTAGTGGTAACGTAGACACCCCCAGCTAGCTATACCCCCTGAAAAATTTACAACACAGTTTTGTAATTAATTTGCCAAAAAATTGACATTTTTTATTGCTTATCAATTGTTTAATAATAAAAAACTAATCACTACAAGCTGCATCCAAAATAAACATTTGTAAGTAAAGTATAATTTTTAAGCAATAAATAACTGTAATAATTCAATTTTTCTTTCCATTTTAGCCTTTTGTTGTAATAGTATCATATCGCCGATCGAGGAAATCTTTGGAGGATTATGGGAGAAACGAAGACTGTGAATGGAAACTTGATTCTTCCTCTATTGTTATCAAAGTAATACGGAGCCTTACTATACTTGTTACAATCTTCTGTCTTTTCACTCTTTGTGTTTTTATGTTTGGTAGAATAAGTTGTTTGATGGGAATTTGTAATAGACATGTGCAAGCTGTTACGTATCTGCAAAACTGTGTTATTTAACTTTTCTGTCTTTTTGGCAATGTTTTTACAATGTTAAGTCCCCTTATAGTGTGACATACAATGATCACTATATCATGATCAAAAAGAAAAAAATTGTATATTTTTGTGAAGTATTACAAAGTTTTAACCTTTCACATTTATAGACCTCAAATGGTGCCTTGATATTTTATGGGTTGCAACTTTCGAATGGGAACTCTGGAAAATTGTATGTTCTTGAAAACAAACGGTAATTTTTGGCTGCACACCTATAAGATGTGTTAATAAATTAGTTAAAAATAAAAAAATGTTGACTTAATGTTTTCTTAGAAATGTTGGAAGTACCGCACTCTCACCATTGTTTGAAATACCTGCAATACTACTGGCCGAAAAATCAGTTGTATCAATTACTGGAGGAGTGTCTTGGTAATGTTCTACCAGAAACTCTACAAAAACTTAAAGGCATTCGTTACATGTGTACATAATATTAGAAATCTCAATACATTTTGAAACAACTTTTCCAGATAGTTCAGTAATGTATGCATTTATTATTTAATAACATAAGAATTCAGTTGAACATGATGAAAAGCACCATTAGGTGCATTGTACATGGAACCTATAATTAGGGAATTCTTGTGTATGCAAAGCATTTAAGTTCAACAGTTTTTTTAACCTTATTTGCATTCACGTTTTTTGTAAACAGATTTGTGAAATTGATGTCTGACACCATTTTCAGTTTGCCTTCAAACTAGGAAATATTTTGAGGATTTTTATGGGCTGTTTTATTAATATTGTATCTTGGTGATCACATATTAATTTATTCAGTGTTAACAAAATGTTTCTGTGCTCATTTCTAAATCATTCTCTCTGCAGTTTATCAGTGAAGAAAAACGAAATCTTTGTCGTCAGTCACCTGGGTATTCTTCACCGAGTTGAATGGGATGGAAATATCAAAGATAATTTTTCGCTTTCAATATTTTCCATTCCTTTTATCTTGGATTTAGAAACACCTCTTGGTTAGTGTAATAAATAACGAAAGTGTTGTAATGTTTCGTAAAATTTCATTGTTCGTTTTGTGCGACCACTAAATCCTTCAAATGGCGATCCGTGAAATGACCATTGTCTTTAAAAAACGAATTTCTTAGTATGACCAGTCATTAACGGTTAAATGGTCAGCTGTTGAATAACCAGTCATTAACTGTTTAATGGCCAGCTGTTGAATAACCAGTCATTAACTGTTTAATGGCCAGCTGTTGAATCACCAGTCCTCAACGGTTAAATGGTCAGCTGTTGAATAACCAGTCATTAACTGTTTAATGGCCAGCTGTTGAATCACCAGTCATCAACGGTTAAATGGTCAGCTGTTGAATAACCAGTCATTAACTGTTTAATGGCCAGCTGTTGAATCAGCAGTCGTTAACCTGCACGCTGTTAATTGATCAGTCACAAGTCATTAAACGACCGATTTTTAAAATACCATTCGTTACATGACCAGTTGTTAAATGGCCAGTTGTTAAATGACCAATAGCATGGAATTCTTTTTTAAGTACACCATTGCTTGTTTACAATTAACCACTTCCAAGTATACGTTATGAAATTTTTCACAACTTGCTGTCAGAACGTAGAAGTCTTTGCGTAATGTCACTTTCGACTAGTTTTTCAGAAAATAGTGTTTTGTGTACGATAATTAACACCAAACTTTTATTTTACTTGAAGTGGAGTTAAGTTCTGTCGTTTTCTATTGTCAGTACGTACATAGACATTTTGTGTTTTTATAGAGTCCGCTCAATATCTAAAAGGATCAGAGACGAACATTTGTGATATGCAATTCAGCTCTCTACTTGGTGGATTTGCTTTTGTCCTGGAAAATGGACATGGTGGATTTATGTCAGCTTCCACATCCAAATTTGAAGCTGAAGTAAAGTGTTCTTGCTATTATTAATTTTTGAACTGCAGTATTTTTGAGTCATGTCGTGCTTGTAGTCATTATTTTCTTATATCTCATTATGTATCATTGCTAATGACGTTTATCTTAGTCTGTTTGAATAATGACCTTCCAAAACTCTTTTTCAAGTATTACTTGTCAATCTATTTAGGATGTGCTTGCTATCTGGGCACGTGATTTAAAGGAGGCAGCACTTGCAAAAGTCAACCACAAATTTCGTATTATTGCGTATGGCTGCAGTCAGTAAGTACGAATTCCGAATTCCGTGCATAAGACTAGTTGAGTTTGAGACAGCAACATATGGTTACTTCTTAGTGGTGGGTGTATGATGTATTCATTTGATGAATTGACCGGAGCGTTGCAGTTCACATTCAATTCAATTGCATTTCTCCTACTTCTACTTTTACTACTGTGTATACTGTACTATTTACTGTACCACTACTGTGTACCTTTACTATGTAGCACTACTGTGTACCACTACTGTGTACCTTTACTATGTATCACTACTGTGTACCACTACTGTATTACTACTACTGTGTGTACTACTGTGTTACTGTTACTACTGTGCACTACTGTGTACTACTACTGTGTACCACTACTGTGTACCTTTACTATGTACCACTACTGTGTACTACTACTGTGTACCACTACTGCGTACCTTTACTATGTAGCACTACTGTGTACAACTACTGTGTACTTTTACTATGCACCATTACTGTGTACCACTACTGTGTGCCACTACTATGTATCACTACTGTGTATCACTATTATATACCACTACTGTATACCACTACTATGTACCTCAACTGTGTACTGTGTAACGGACGTTGCATACAAATTAATGACTGGACTTAAAATTAACTGGATTGGACCATAATCACCTGAGCTTCTCTTACACATTGACATACCATATAGAAACTCAATGGTCGTTCACGTTTAATGTAATAAAGTATACTAAGAAACATAGGTACTTCGATAGAAGGTCCATGTCCATTTCAATATTTAAGAAAACAAACATGACAGTTTTTTGAGTGTTTTTTCTGTAGTTATATGAGATTCGAAATATGTCTTGTTTGTTTTCTCAAATATTGAGTTGAGCATGGAACTTTTCTCCGGAGTTTGTTTCTTTTTATACTTTAATGCAATACGTAATGTAACGGATGCCGTCTTCTCGATCATCATAAGAGGATGTAATGTATGGTGTAACACCAGCTGAGCCTGAAAATTATTATATTAACTATTTAAAAGACTCTAGCACATCAGTCGGATCTATAGAGAAAATGTGCTTCAGTCCAGATGGTCACGTTATAGCTATTTCGTGGGTGAATGGAGGTCTGGCACTATGGACAGTTTTTGGTTCGCTGTTGTTTTGCACTCTGGACTCCACTTTTTATGGGTAATGTTTTTCGAACGCAAAACGATAAAATGAGTCATGGAAATACTTAGCTTATTGGCTTGTTTTCTTTTTTATTATTAAAGTTAGAACTTTGCCACATCGTTTACAATGAAATTCATAGTATTTCAATGAAAATTTAGTGACTAAATTTCTATTGACATAAATGATTTTTGTCCTTTTTAGGTCACAGAGTGACGTATTTACGTCCAAACCGTGGCATATTAGTGCAATGGTGGGTTGTGTATTTTGTTTTTTTATATATAAGCAAAAACTTCTGAATCGTGAAGCTCTTTTAAGCTTCCCTTTAACTTTTCTAGGATCCATCCTCTATCTTCTATTCATTAACACATTCACATTTACGCTGTACTTATAGCATGCATGTCAACATTATTCAGATCCTGAGGTTACAAACATTTTTTCAACTGAAATGAACAGCAATATTGCTTAGAAAAATACGTTACGAATATAGTCTCGAATGTTTCAAAACGTATACAGGCTTAAATTAAGAACATGCTCTATGTATGTGTATAATCCCTGTTGGCTAGGTACCTCAATAGGTGTAGCGGCGAACTAGTATCCCGAAGGTGCGAGTTCAGATCTCGTCCAAGTCACATGTTTTTCATGTGCCCTAAAAAAACCGTGTTAGGATTAATATTATATAAAGTGCTTAACGTACTTTTAAAATGTTTTTACTTCATTCTTGGTACGTGTATCTGTGTTTGCCTGCTTTAGGAATGGAGTGTCGAAGGATACAATTTAATACTGGCCATAGAGAAACCAGTAGAAGATAAATGGAAAGGAACTGGTAAAATTGAAAGTATTTTAGCATGTAGATAAGGTGGTTGGGAGATGCGCCCCTCCCCCATCCTTGGGTAGAATCAAATAAAAACGCCCACAAACGAGCCACCAAAATCTAGTTCAAACTAGATTTCTGTGACTAGATGACTGAATGACATCATATAAAAACTAGAGCACCCCCCTGCAAATACTGGATCCATCTGTGGGATGTTTATTATAATCCCATAGACGTTAATATTCAACTATCGGTTTCATTCGTAACCAGTAACAACTTCATTGCAAAACAAATGTTCTTTATACGTAGGTGAAATTGTGCACATTCCTTTCTTGAAAAGTATTTTGGCTTCCAATCCCTGTGTTGTAAGTCTTACTCTGTAAAAGTTAGCTTACGAAAACTTCTCTGATACGGATAGTTTATAATTATAGGATCCTTGAGGCTTTTATCTTAGACGTTGTTTTTTCTATATTTAGGCCAATCATCACCATCTTGTTCTGCAAGGAGAAGTGTGTCTGTATTTAAGTGCAGCGGATGTTGTGTCTGAGACTCGAGCAGCTCGTCATGAATTCTGTAGTGCTGAGAACGCTGATATGGAGTCTCAAGAGGGAGCAAGTTTACAGTCAAATGCAAAGCACTGGCAAATTGTCCAGGTGTTGTGTTGAGGGCCTCTTTAAATTTTATTAAGAGGAGAACGTTAAATATTTATGAAAGGATGTAATTAAAACTTTACAATGAGACAATTAAGAAGGACATGTGCGATTGAAATCGAGTTATTTTTTAGTTCAATGATTAGAATAGTATTGTGTGGATAAATGAAAGTAGGGATATAAAGTGAGAGACGTTGTTGTTTGAATATATTTATCACCAAGGATTTGTATGTGCTCTGTTATAATGTGAGATAGAATATTAAAACTACATTTGAGTATATTTTCGTTCTTTTTTCCTTTAGTATCCACAAACGTACGTTGAAAAAAACTGGCCTATTAGGGTAATTATCGATATTTGTTCTCATCAAAAATAGTTTGTCGTTTTCTTTTGCCACAAATACACTTTTATTGTAAGTGTTTGTTGCTGGCAAATATATTTAAACATTCCTGGCGAATCTTTTCCCTATCCTAAACATGTATGTGAATAATATTGGTAAAATATTTAATTTTAGAGTGTTGCAGTGGATGAGTCTGGTATGTTTTTGGCAATCGCTGGTCGTATGGGGGTTTCGCATTATTCTTGGCTCACTCGAAGGTGGAAACTATTTGGTAACGAAACTCAGGTATACCTGATTTGTCACTTTGTATTTTCTTGTTAAATAAGATGTGTGATAAATAGTAATGAAAAATTTCTTCACATGTGATAGGAACAAAGCATTTATTGTCGCGGAGGCTTACTTTGGTGGAATGATTTCTTGGTCATTGCTTGCTACAATTTCCTTTCCGAAAAAGATGAGGTACCTATCATTTATAAGACAGCTTTCTATCTTCGTTTGAAACAATTTTCTAGTTTTTTTCTTTGGTTCAGGCGTCTTTACTTTATTTTTCAGATACGTTTCTATCCACGGTTATCTAATTTAGACAACGCATTTGCCAGTGAAAAAACCCTTCAATGCCCGCCATTTCTCATCAATGTTTTGGACAATATTCTTTTGGTTTATTCCTCCGACTGTACATTAGCATTCTATTTATTGGATAAATCAGATGGAGATGGTAATACTGAAGTCTACGTAAGCACAATGAAAATGCTTTGAATCTTAAAAATAAGACTTTTTGTGGGGTTATTTTTCATGTAGACCGTGTCCACGTAAGTCGACTTCAAGATATATCATTGGTGTCACATGTTCCCCATCCGTTATCGGTCATTGAAATTATGTTGGGTATGGCTTGCTTTGATGAAGGTACATGAAGTATTGCCAATTACACGTAGCGAAGTCCCTAATGATTGTTGGTCGATAGTACAGATAATCGTTGAGACAATTTAAAGTACAAATGTGATGATGAGTGTTCTCTGTCTCTTTTTTTTACTGTTTTAATATTTCGTTATTATTTTGTATATCGCCGTATGGATAAACTATCCGTTCGACTTTCTTTTGTTTAAGAATTTGAAAGTAACTAAGCATATTTGTAATGATATATGCATATATATAATCATGATGATTTTGACAGGTTCTGGTTGTGCTGTTTTCGGTATAAATAGAGTCGAATCTCTGTTAATAAATGTCGGAGGAAAATTGCTCATGCTTGAAAGACTTCATGAAAAAGAAAGGAGAAAAACGGTAGTCGTTGTTCACCAATTGCAAAAATCTTTACAAGTTGTAATTGATGATTTTAGTTTACAACTGATGATTTTGATTTTGATAAATGATACGTATTTCTTATGACTGTAGCTACAATTCTCTGCCCCCGTCATACTTGCATCGTGCGTTGAAGCTATTTGGTCATCATTAAAAACATTTTGTTCTGGAAAGCAGCATTTGGTTGAAGCATTATGGTTGAACTGTGGTCTCTTTGGAATGAAAGTAAGTCTTACGTAAGAATTGTTTTCAGTTGTTTTTTTACAGAAATACCAGCGCCATATGTAGATTACTGCCCTTGAAATTAAGAATTCCTGGTGAAAGACAGACCAAATTTAGAGCTGTTTCTCATCACCTGCATTTTGCCGTCAAGCTATTTTTCCTGTCATTCAGTTTCGGCCATCACTTACACTTTTTTTTGTATTATTCAGTTTATTGTCGTGCAATCTTTGTAGGTTTGGCTTCCACTTTTTCCTGGAGATGATGAAAAACCGCCAAATTTCCTTTCAAAAAGAATAATGCTTCCAATTGAAATGTCTTTATGTCCACTTGGTAAGTTATCTTGAAATATATCTTTCATCTTATTAAAGTTCCACTTACGTAGCAACAGTGCGAAACGCATGTACTTCTAGTATTTGTTAATTGATGATTGAAGCGAACCAATCCATTTACCCAGAGGTAAACTATGAAGGTCTTTTGTTGTGTGCGACTATGAACTGAAAAAAATTATTAAGATCAACATCTTAACGAAGGATTTTAGGGAAACCTAGAATCAGTATGTTACGTATTTATTGTTTGTGTAAGTATTTTATATCAAATATTGTTATAAACTGTAATTTCGAAGAACTGGCTACCAATGACCGACGTCTGTTTTATGATGAAAACCACTCTTGCTTAGGTTGTTTTGGAAGTCTGTATTTCAAAGCATTGTCTTCGTAAATTGTTTTTTGTAGTTGTGCTATCAGAAGAAGCACTTGTTGTTGGGGCTGCATCAGAACCTGTCCACTCCGGATTTTCTTTCAGCCAATGGGAGCTGCCAATGTCTTTGCAAGAGCCATTTCCATTTTGTACCTTGGAAAGACCGGCAAGTTGACTGGTTTGAAGCGATTTTTTTTCAGTGAAATTTCTCACAAAAATAAGTACTACGATTTTGTGATGTAGTCGTACTTTCTGTTTTCTCTTTTTCATCCAGTCGTACCATAGTTCATAATCCGATGAATATATCAAAGATTAATATATTCTGTCCCAATCCCTTTGCTTAATGTTTCACACTAGCTACTAAAGAAAAAAATGAGTAACTAATTTTGGATGGATTGTTCCTTACATTTGCATATTTTTTGGCACTTGTTATCATTGTATGATTTGAGAGGAATTGAGATAAAAAAGAAATGGATTTCGTGTCGCCCTTATATTAATTGTTCACAAATGAAACTCGTTAATTTCAAGTACTTTGCTATTTTGTTGTCTTGATTAGTGATGCATGCTATAGTTTTGATTCATCCAAACTACATTACAGGCAGAAGTTTATCTTCACAATCTTTTACGACAACTTCTAAGGAGGAAGTAAGTACTTTGGTATAGTTGGATGGCTAGATACTTGACCGCATTCTGACGATTTATTTTCGAATTTTTTTCAAGCGAATAGATTTGCATTTTTCAAATTAATTAGTGAATCTTTTTTTCAGCCTTGGTATCCACGCCTTAAAAATTGCCCGCAGTTGTTCTGACCTGCGCCATTTTCCACACGTTTTGGAGCTAATGCTTCATGAAATCCTTGAAGAAGAGGCAACAGCATCTGAACCATTGCCAGGTTTTAACATTTATTTATACGTACATAGAAGTACTTTTTTCTCGTGCATTTTGTAATGATAAGCGATTTTCAAACAGTATGGCGTAGCTAGCCTGCTTGCAGCCCTAACTTCATTACTTAGTAAAGGCTATGGCGTAGCTGGCTCGCTTTTTTACTCCTGTACTCCTGTTATGCTAAAATATTTCTCCTCGCCAGCTATAAAAGCAGTATAGATTTCTAAAGGAATAAATGATTTAACGACTAAAGTTTTACAAAATGAGAGTAAAACATCGTTACTGTTTTCATAGGTCTAAAACAAATATTTTAGTAAAGGATTCTGACTGCACATCTAAATTTAAATGGTATTATTAGTCAAAAGTGGCAAAGCTCGCTTGAATTATTTTTCCTGCAGAGCAAAACAGAATTTTTTCGCTTTTTAACTGTTGTTTGATTATGGATCTTTTTATTTTGATGTACAAGAGTACTAACAATATATCGAAGAGATACACATAATAATTCAAGTCTTGAAAGTGTCCTGTGCCTTAGCTATCGTGGCTTTTACTCCTGAAGCCAACTTGACTTTTACTCCTGCCTGACTATGCTTATAACTTAACTATGCTTCACAAGTAGTTCTACTTGCTATTTGTTTAGATGCGATGCTACCAAGAATTGTTGCCTTTATTCAAGAATTTCCAGAATATTTACAAACAGTCGTTTATTGCGCGCGTAAGACTGAAGTAGCTTTATGGAGTTATCTTTTTACCGCGGTAGGAAATCCACGAGATTTGTTTCAGGTATAGTATGAAAGGTTACATGCTTTCTAGACTGAGGGGGCAATGTATCTTTTATGAAATACATTAAGTTGAACCATAGTTGAAACAAATACTGTGACTACAAGCGTCATATTTTATGAAACTTTACTGCTTTTTATAGAAATGTCTGGATGGTGGCTATCTTGAAACAGCTGCTTCTTATTTAATCATTTTACAAAATTTGGAGAAACCGGAAGTCAGTAAGCAGGTTAGTTTAAATTTCGCATTCAAACTGCAAGTAGCTTATTGTTTTAATGTAAATTATACTGTATATATGAGTTCTGAAGTATCGCTACATATGTATGTATAAAAGTCAATGTTTTACTGTACGTGTACTCTACGGTGTGTATAATAAAAGTGTATCGAACTTTACTTTAATATACTATCTTGCATATGATATGTTGTTTAGGCTTATATTTTTAAAGCAAAAGAGATCAGCTCTCTAGATTTCCAATAAATATGTTTTTCATTTCATATCAGTAAGAAATGATCGGGCTCTTCTAAATAAAATTTCAAGTCAAAATTGTATTTTTGCCTCGTTGGGGAAAAAGACCTTTAGAATTTAACGTATTGCGATAATTTCAATGCCTTACACAATGCTAAGCCCAAGAGTGCATTATGTTTTGTCAACTACGTGCCTATATTACATATCTTTTTTCTATGCTTAACATCGTTTCTGCTCCTTGCAACTTGACATAGCTTTTAGCTGCAAAACATGCACAACAATAAACCATTGGGATTAGTATAGTCATCAGACATTAAAAGTTTAAAATATGTTAATTTCTATAGATCTTATTTCTTTTTGATACACTCTCTAGATAATGACTCAAATTCTAACGATAGATGTCGTCTATTATTTTTGGATTTTGGGGACATCTTGTAGCTACGCCTCGAGCTGAGAAAACTCCATTTCCCAAAAGTGGGAAAATGCAATTTTTATATGAGGAATACTCGATCCTTTCTGATTATTAAGAAATGAAAAACATGTCAATCATTAGAAAACTAAAGAGTTCCACTTTTACAATGCACAAATACAAGCGAAGAACACAATAGCATTTGCACTATAGCGCAAAGTTGATATTCCTTTTTTTGACACGTACTGTACAATTCTTCAATTTTTAGTTGGCGACAATTTTACTTGAAGCTACTTTGTTAGATGACAAGTACGAGGTAAGTTGGCATTGTTGATATCGTTTTGAATTTGTAATTTCAACTGAATTGGTACAGTTTTCATTTGTTTTGGCCATTCATGAAAATTCAGTTAAATTTCTAATTGCTTTAAAGCGTACATATTTTCTGGCACAATTATAGTGCACTTTACTGTGTATCGTATATAATCAAAAAACTTGTGGATTTTTTATAAAAATTGTTAAAGTTGTACGTTTCGTTTATCAAAGGAGCTGTTTCCGGAATAATTTATGTTTTGTCTTATTAGGGCGCTGTTTGTGGAATAATTTATGTTTTGTCTCATTTAGGCGTTGTTTGTGGAATAATATACGTTTTGTCTTGTTAATATATTTAGCAAAAAAAAGAAGAAAGAAAACAGTACACTGTCTCATTTTTAACTATAACCATCTTGCTTAGTTTCAACAATATATTTTAGATTGCAAGAGATCTTGTGCGTTTTCTTGGCTCCATCAAAGTTAGTGATTTCGACAGCCCAACACACAGTCCTTGTGTGAAAACCCCGGTGATGCCAACCGCTCGTCCTTCCCTAGTAGACGATGATGAAGATGACCTCACCCCTCTCCCCCAAGGAATACAACAATCACATTCTCAGTCGACAAGCAGGATAAGTGTGAGACCTCCAATCAAACGAATTAGTTCCTCAGACAGGCTTCAAACGCAAAGATCTTATGATAAATCTTCAGGATGTGGACGAAGCGAGGAAAAAAACTCAACTTTTGCTAAGAAATCAGATTCACAAGAGCAGATTGAAGGTCCCGAAGGATCACAACATATTGTTTTCAGGTTACTACCGTTATTTTAAACAACACAATTTTTCACACTAATTTGAATGGGCAAACCAAACGAACCTTTTGACATTTAAAATCTTTAGGAATGTTTTCGTTTTTGTTTATTTCTTGTAAGTAAGGTTTAGAAATTTTGCGATACTGGCAACGATTCTGGCAGGGCAATAATAATTTCGCATTATTTTGTGCCACTGTTCACATTTTGCACAGACACCTGTAATCTAAAAGCTCGTTCTTACTCCAACTTTCTGAGTGGGGAATAAAAATCACTTCACAACTATTCCAACACAGTATTATCACTTCATCGATTGCTTTAGTTGAAGTATTTTTGCAAATATCTTTCCAACTTCGGAGAAATAGTTTGCCATTGATTAGCTGGAGTGCGATGTCTGTTTTTGCATTCTGTTAGTGCTCTTTAGGACAACCACCTATTCGTGTATTCTAAAAGCACACTCACATTATATTTACATTACATCTTCCATATTTTACCTCGGAATTCATTCTTTCATTCATTCTTGTAGATATTCAAGCAGCGAAGCTCCCGAAGGATTTTTCTTAGATTCGATTCTCAACCGTCACGCTCGAAAATTGTTATCAAACAACAGACTTAAAGATCTTGGCCGATTTTCAGCTTATCTTGATTTCAACCTACGGGCATGGCTCAAAAAAGAAAGGTAAACAGCTTTGATGCATGCGATTGTATAACCTATGTAATTTTAAATTGGGAATTTATTCTTATTTCATTCTTTGCTTGCAAACACGGCTGAGAAGCTACAAAATTGCACTAAATTCTGTGCAGAAAGTACTAAATTCTTTACAGAAAGAACGTAAACGTTTGCTTTGCGTTGCAACATATGACGTGAATAGATGACACACAGCGCTATCTTGATATCATGTAGTTTTAGAATTCCAGTTTACCGTGTTTCAAATAAACATCTAAATATTATTGGAAGAAGGCGGACATTAAAAAAAACAATCCTGTTGACATTGGAGAAAGCTACAACGATGAGTTGTCATCAGGGGACTGAGACTGAGTTTCGAACATGCGCTTGGTTTATCTTTTGTTAATTGTAGGTGCAATGTACGTATGCATCTTGTTGAACTAAATTTAATGCTTTCGTTTGCATTAGAGTGTATAAATGGTGAAGAAATTAGAAAAAAATATCTGTAGGGAATTCAGCGTTAGAATAAAGCTCCATGGTCGATATTAAATTCAAAATGCCTTCAGAATAATATTATCGGTTATGACTTATTACTATTTCTAAATAATAAAATTTCACCATGTAAGTTGCCTCTATCGTTTTTGGAAATGTAAATATATCAAAAATATGCTGCAGCAATATATTTTGAGCTACTCTTTATATCTGCGGTTATTTACGTATTAATTTTAAAGATATTATCTCGTAGAAAGCATTGATATTCATTTATATGACACTTTCACCAATTGTCGAGGTTGAAGGGTGGATATTTCTTTGGGGTTGCTGTATTTTCTAAAGTTGAACATAGATATTTCGTAGACTTTGCTTAGTGAAATCGTTGCAGCCATCTTATTGATATCAGATCGTCGCTCATCAAATGATCTGGAGGTGGAACTTGTTAATAATTCATGTATTATTAAGACAGTTACCTCACTCTATTTTTTATTACCTATTGACGTATTGTTGAATGAAGAATAAAAAATGGTTTTGTTTTTATCTATTATCGAGGAAATGATCAAGGAAATGTGACTTAGTACAAACGTATGGTTTGCAATCGTACTTTTTAATGTTCTACAGTTATTATCGTTGTTTGAGAACATTTATTAACAGTACAGTTTGCAAAAAACTTGTTTTATCTTTTTGTAGAGATCGTGCAGCAACTGTGAACAATTTTGTGGAAGCATTTCTCAGTATCCATCGGCAGTTTGAAAGCCCTTTCCCTTCTAAAGCGACAGTGAATTCACTTAACACGGGTACGTTTTTCTTGCCAGAATGTGCTCGTATGTAGAGATTTTTACATTTCTTAATGGAAAACAACTTTAATATGACGAGTTATGAAATTAACTAACAACCGCTGACCATGTTATCAGTAATTTTTTGAAAAATAGAATTTGTTTTAAAGAGACGTCCAAGCCAACAATTCGTTCGAAATATCATTCTGCAACCTCAAGTATAAGTTTTGGAAAGCATAAACGCATTGATTTAGTCACTGCGGAAGACGAAACAGGTTAGGTAACGTTTTTGGAAAGAAGGGAATGTGGTTGTGTTGAAGATCAGTGTGCATGTTATTGACTTTTTTGCAGCTCCTGAAGAGGTGGAATTGCAATCTCTTCAAGTTGAACAATCTGAAACGAGCTCATTTTCTCTTGATGACGATCCTGATGAATTAGAGGAAAGTACATGGAGTTACGACACAAATATTAAAGATTTGGATGATTTTATTGGACAAGTTCCGTGTTCTCGTCAGTCAGATAAAGAAATAAGGTGAGTTTCTTTTGTAGTTGTGTTGCGTGGTGACGGTATTAGCAATATGTATTATTTTATAGTGCCTTTTAATAGTAAGTACTTTTACAACTGTAACTTCTTTAATCGATTTTAAGAACATTTGCAATATAATTGATGGATCGAAAATTTCATCTTTTTGGGCTTATATTATGACTCTGCAACGGATGTGACAAAAAAATGACAACACATGCACTTATGATATAGCTTTTATTGTATACAGAAAATGCTGTTACAAAATATTCCCTACAAACATAAGATTCTGCGTAGGCGTACTGTTTGATGAATAATTAAAGGCAATGTTTTAAGTAAAAGTGCGTTTTCCCTTTAAACATTTCACTTTCTGCGCCCACATGCTTCTAGGCGTAAAAAATCCATAAAGACGAAATTTTCAACCTATGAAATATATTGCAAATGTTCTTAAAATTGATTTAACTATCTAAAAAGTAATTTCCCTGACCCCGGTACAGGCACTGCAAGCAATATGCAGATTCACTTTGTGCTATGCTTAAACGCTTTACAAAACTAACCAGTGTCGCGTGATAAACAATTTAACGTGTATATGAAACTTGTAAAAGCTTTAACATATGTTATGAAAGTAATGAAATTTTAGCATTAGTCAATAAAATTTTAACATGTGCTATTGTAAAATTTGAAGAACAGAACTACTGTATTTTTCACATTGCGTATTTGAGTTTTGATTGTAGGTTTTTGTTGTCGCCATTTTCTAACGTCTTCATCACGTGACGTCTTCACGTTTATTTTTTCAAGATTTTTGTTACAAGCAATGTCGGAGTCCTATTGTTTTGATTGGTCCTTACTGCTGTCATTGGCTTTACGTGATGGACCGTTAGTTAACCAAGTCGTTCAAGATATTTTGTTGTCTGGCATTGATGAACTAGCTCTGGAAAACTTCATTCGTCTTAGAGATGGCATAAAAAGCTTAGAAAATTGGGCACAGCGTGAATGGTGGGTATGATTGTAGCTAAAAACTGCATGAATGCCTTCACATTGATTGAGGTTGATTTTAGAAAATGATACAGCCGAAAAGTGGAACCTGTTTTGATATAACTTTTTTTTTTAAATACCGAGTCTGACTTTCCATTGTAGCTAAAACCTATCATTTGATTGGACATAAACTGTAATTAAAATCTCTGTAGGTGATAGACAGATAAAATTGCTCTCCTCTCACCATATACAGCTGTTTATGTTAAAAAATTTTTAGCCCCATTCATTTCATGTGAGTTTGACCACTATCAAGTCAATACAACCAAGTTGTTTCAGAGTCAAAACGAGGCAAAACGCTTTAAACGTTTCATCTTTTTGGAGCAACAGAAATGAAGTTTCTTTCCGGTTTACCGTCATCAAGCAAAAGGAGCTAGTTATATTAACATTCAGGCTGCATGTGTTAACCTCAGGTCACTTGTGAAGCGTAATCATTCTTAAAGTAGCTCTCGTGCTGATCTGTATTATATAGCTTAAAAAACATGTTTCTTCGAACATTTTTTGTAGTCAGGAATACAGTGTATTTTTTGGTCTGTTTAAACCACAATGGAGTGCTCTTTCCGATGCCATAACTACAGTTGCCACTCGCTTGGCAGAAGCTCGGAAAACAAGTACTAGAGTATCTGAGCAAGTAGATGTTGACGATGAAAATGGAGCGACGTTTACTGAAAAAGTCAATAGTGATATCTCCAACATAGGGGAAGCAAATGACCCTTATGAATGCATTCTATCGTAGAATTAGGATGGACATACTTTAAAATTTAAGTATTTCGTGCAAGTCTGTGTAGGGCTATTGAAAACAAATAAAACAAATGCTAATTCAAGAATAGAATTCATTACATTGTTGGATCTCAAGTAATATGCTTTCTAGTTTCTTCCAATACCATTCAGCTATAATTGTGACCGCTGTTAAAACAAGCAAATTTTTGAGGTAACATCGTCAACATAGCATTGTGATGTTTTTATACCCAATGTTTTGAGTGATTGAAAAATTTATGTATATTTGATAACATTTCTTTGCATGGTTACGGGACAGATTTTTTTGTAAGGCTTTTTTGCGGTCTTTTGTTCAGGTGAGAAAGAATGACATATATTGCTGTCAAAGCCTATCAAATTTCTTTTATCTTGAACACGATATTGATTTCACAAGCTACTTGACATTTCCAGCGTTTTCCCTTTGTGTTTAGTCTATCGGTCAAGTTATAATGTTATTTAAATTGTAGATGCACACTTCGGCTTGGCGATCTTACACACGATATATAAATATAAACAAAACATGAAGTTTACTGCTAAATCGCTGACCATTGTTACTGTTATAAATCTTGACAACAACCTAAAATCCTCGTCTTATTTTTAGATTCTCGCTATGCATATCCAAATCTCGACGCTTTGTTAAAGGCTTATTTCCATGCAACTGTATTTTACGAAAAGAGGAAACTGCTCGGGTGCATGTTGCTCTCAATCGTGAAAGCTTTTCCACATGGCGGAAATTGCACTGCTGCGCTGTTGAGAAAAGATGGCTGCTGTGAACAAAAGATAGTTATTTCTCCAAAACACCGTCATTTCTATCTATATAATTCGTTGTAAAAGCAGGGTTAGCGTTCCTACAAAACGGTGATTTTCAATGAGAATATCACCGCTTTACTGTTGTGATTTTGAAGGGTGACCTTTTGAACTTAACAAAGCTGCGTGTGCCTCATTCAATAAGAGTGCAAGCATTTTGCGTTTTTGTGTAAAGTGCAGCTGCATTGAATTAACCTTTATTATTCTCGACCATCGCTTAAAATTCTCAACCCGTACAGTTTGTTTTTCTCAAATACTAGATCATATTTTGAGTATATGGTTAAATCTTCTCGAACTTAAGTTGGTGTTATCAATACACTTCTATGACGTTTGTTTTGCCATAAGAACGTTCTTGAAATGAGAGTAGGGTGTCGACACCTCTGGGGTGCGTCACCATCTTGTCTATAACATTAATTTTATTTTGTTGTATTGGCAGATACGTCAGGAGGATCTCTCCAGCTAGAGTATATCCTGAGGTAAGTTTCAAAATTCTTTGCGTTTTGAAGCAATACATGCAATGACTAGAAATACTTGAAAGTCGTACTAGACTCGCTATAATATGAAATGTACAGGCAATCGGACAATAGACGCGCAATTTTATCTTTAGCGTTGTCTTCTGTGTTTTTTCCACTGTTATTTCATTAAATGATTTCTCTATAACAAAACTTCCCTACATATTTTAATTTCTAACACATTGCATGACGTACGAATTTCTAAATTTTCAATTTCGATGATGTGTATTGAGCGATGAAATGATGAAATTGACATACACGCTATTGTTTATATATTTTATGTGGAGGTTGTTAAATACTGCTGCAATAGACTTACGCGGTTGGCATGAGCAAGTTTGTAGTAAGAAATGTTCGGTTAACTTCATTTTATCAGTAGTTAATTATCCATATCATGTTGTTGTTATTCTTTGGTATTCTGGCTGTTGCGACTTTGTAGTTAAAGAGGAGCCAAAGTCATTTTTGAAATCAGGAAAAATTTCTTCATAATTCCTATCTTATTTTTTATAAATGAGCTATTTTTCAACTCGTTTCAAGCAGTGAAAATCAGACCTGCCAACCCCAAGGAATGCAAAACCTTGAGATTAATGCAGAAAAACCGGGAGATCTGGCAAAAAAACTGGAGATTTCTATTCTTGTATACGACATATTTTTAGATTGATTTATTAGGCAAATGGCAATTACCTCAAGTGTTATGCACAAAAATTTTAACTGGCAGCCATTTTGTGTTACATAATTATACGAAAAAACGAAAATCAATGTCATGCCCAGTTCCCGGCGCACCGCGGCTACAATACGTAATGTTTTGAATGCTATTCATCGAGCATTTCTTTCCATGCGATGAATAGAAATGCCAACAAACGTCTAAAAGCCTAAGCTTTAAAAAAACCGGGAGATTTAGTATCTTTGTCGGGAGGTCGGGAAAAATGCAGCAAAAGCGGGAGTCTCCCGGCGAAACCGGGAGAATTGGCAGGTCTGGAAAATCTTCGAAAACTCCAGAAAAAATTTGTGTTGTTAATGAAATTTTTTCACAATGGGGGGTAATTTACAGTGATATTCAAAAATGAAAAAATAGCTTTCACTTTTGCGCGTCTTCAACGAGGTATTGTAAATAATTCAAGTCGCTCACCCGAAACATATTGCACACATAGAGAATCGGTCGTTAGATTTCACAACCACCGTATCTAAAATTTGTTCAGATTGGGAAAAGATGCACTTCATAGCCCTAACTTGTCTGAGTAATAAGTTTCGAATATCCAGAAACTTTACCTCCAGGATATTTTGATCTTCACAAATACGCAACAATTAAAAAACTTAATTAACATGGACATATTGATTGTTTTTTAATAGTTGGTGTTATCCATGGCGCTATTGAAAATTGTCGTTTTATTATTCATTGGAATTACTGTTGCTCGTGAGTATAAATTGATTTTTATAGTTAGTAATTGCTCTTATACAATAATACATGTTTCACATCAATCCTGTAATCGTGCATGGCCAGAGATTAGCCAGGTGTAAAGCGGATTTTCATTATAAACAAAGTAGCTCAACATAAGACTTTTAATTACGACAACAAATTAGAAATAAAAATAAAAATTTTTTTTAATAATGACGTTTCGTCAAATATAATGATAAATATTTACAAGAGGCTTTAAACATAAGCATATATTTTTATGGTGTCAAATTACATCAGAGGAATGAAGGAAGTTTGGATGACAGAACAGAATAGAAGGGGCAACATATTAAAGAAGGTGAAGGGGGATTGAGTTGCCTTGGATGTTAAGAGAGAGTTTAAGCTTGGATATGAGAAGACTTTCATGAATTGTAGGTATTAATTGTCAGAGGAAGAAGAGAGAACTGAGAAGTCATTAAAATCGGCGGAGTGAGATGTGTTTCTTTTATGGGAGTGCATTGCAGATGGTGTTGGAGAAGACGAAGTTTTCCTCTTAAGAGAGAGATTCCCAACTGTTCCGATATTCTGGTGTGCAAATGACGTGTGGCTTGAACCGCATACGACGCGGAACAGCATCTACACATAAATTAGTATACAACACCTGATCTTAGAAACTTGGGGACCCTATCCTTATCCCTTAGGGACATCAACGCTAATAATATAGTGATTGCAAGCTTTGATGTGAAATCTTTGTTCACCAACATCCCAGTTGATGAAACAACTGCCGTAATCACTTATTGATGTTGTGGCTATGAGCAGCCCCCTAGGCCCTCTTTTTGCTAACATGGTTATGTCCTTCAACGAGAAGTTATGGCTTCACAACTGTCCCTCCACTTTCAAATGCCTTCTTTACCAAGGTTACGTCGAGGGTTGCTTTCTACTCTTCCAATCATTGGACCACGTACATTTCTTTTTTACCTATCTCAACTACAAACATCCTAACATTTCCTTCACATCTGAACTTGAAAAAGACGGCACACTCCCCTTTCTTGACGTGAAAATAACTCGCTCAAACGGTATGTTTTCCACCTCTATTTATCGTAAACCCACTTTCACTTCACCAATTTCCATAGTTTCATTTTTTTCACTGAATTTCAATCTCAGCTATGCTATGAACAATTTCATACTGAACTAGAAGTTGTTAGAAAACTGTTCACCTCGCTTAAATAACTTCCGTTCTTACATATTTGACAGTCATGTTCACCACTTCCCCGACAATATATTTGAACCCCAAAAGAAAATCAATTGATTTTGCTTCCCTTTCACCGGATTACAATGTATTCAGATTTACACTGAAATCACTCGACTCTGCAATGTTGCTTTTCCTCATACTAACGTTCACTTTGTCTTTCGCTCCTCCAAAAGTCTCTCCTCTTTTTTTCCTTTCAGGGATAGGGTTAGCAAGTTTCTGATATCTTGTGTTGTATACTCATTTAAGTGTCGATACTGTTCCCGTCGTATATTGGTCAAACCACACGTCATTTGCACACCAGAATATCGGAACAGTTAGCATGGGCGTCAATCCTGCGATAATTGGGGGTGGACCATATTCATATATTCTGTTATGCCAGGATGATTTCTTTTGAAAATGAAATTTTTTTGAAAAGAACTTAACCAGGCATAACAGAATATATGAATATGGTCCCTCCCCCCCCAATTAAGACAGGATTGACGCCAATGACAGTTAGGAATCTCTCCATTAAAAGACAAACTTTCCTTTGTACACGATATTAATGACTTCTTAATTCTCTCTTCTTCCTTTGACAATTACGACCTTATGATTCGTGATCGTCTTTTCATATCTAAGCTTAAACCATCTTTCAACACCCAAGGCAACTCAATATATGTTTGTATGTAAATATTTATCATTTTATCTTAAGATATCTTAAGTTTTATTTATGTCTAATTTACTGTCGTAATGGCTTTATTAAAAGTCTTATTTTGGGCTGTTGTATAATGTATTATAAGAAACATACTCCGAATAAAAGATCCATTTTAAGACTCATTGAGTCATTCGTGTTACGAATTTGCTATAAATTCGAGATGTATTTATTTTTTTTCGGAGAATGACTCACACTTTATAAAATTGTCGGCTGCATGGTAATGAATTATAATAATGTACCCAACGTCTTTTAAGAAGCATGTCTAAAATCCTGTTAAATCTTTTGAATATCTCTCCGTAACTCCTTGATTATTCCTTACATATCCATTTTCATCCTGTTGTTTTATAATAAATGTATGATGATTGTTCTTGTATTTTACGTTTGTGTCTTTTAATACAACACAGGCAAGTGCAAATCCCCAATAGAGTTGGCTGTAGTTGTCGATGCATCTGATAGTCTGTCATTGAACGACGTGACTTTTGTTAAAGGTTTTATTAAAAGCGTAGGGCGCTTTTTTCGTATCGCGGTCTTTTCAAGTCACGTGTCCGTTGTTTTGGCGGGATCTAATGTTAGTGATGTCATTGCTTTGAACAAAATTGGTGCAAATAAGTTCAAGTTCTATAAAGCTGTGGATAAAGTTGTCAAACCGCTGGGAGGAGAATGGAGTGTGGATAGAGGTCTTCAAATGATTAAAAAACGAGTTTTTACTGAAGAAAACGGGATGCGATCTTTTTTACCACGAATTGTGTTGGTTGTTACGAGCGGAATACCAGGAAATGGAAATGATATTCAACATCAAATAAAGAATCTGACTGATGTTGGAGCGAAAGTGTACATGGTTAGTGTCGGTGATGTTGCACGACAAGACGAACTAATGCGCATGATCAGAAACGAAAGCAGTAACATGTATCAAGTGCAAAATTTTCGAGAATTGACGTCTTTGGCATCTATCATCGGCGAAGATATTTGTCAAACACATTATCACGGTATACAAAAGTTATTTTTGAGAAAGATTCAGAAATATTAAATGAAATGTATTTTGATTTAACTTTAATTTATTACCAACTAGTATCATCTGTTAGCTGTTACAGTTATTATCAGGTATCGTTGAAGTAACGATTGTTTGGTTTGTTACAATTATCCTACACCTGGCAGTAAATGAATCATTTCTGTTTCCTTTAAGCCACCAGCAATGTATCTAAGTTGAACATAGTCAAGTTGATAAGTAAACAAAAGATTACTATATGATTCATTCTATAAATTGCCATTATCGTCAAACCTTTTTCTTTGAAGTGAACTTTACCTATTGCTTCTACGCTTGTTGTGTTATCAAACACTTACTTCGATGTTTATAGATGAACTTGCCATTTGCAAGACCAAAACGGACGTTGGCTTTATAGTCGACTCATCTGGTAGCATTAATAACGCTGGATATCTGAAAATGAAAACTTTCATGAAAGCAATTTCTGTGTACCTTGGATTCGCACCTGACGCTTTACATGTTGGTGCTGTATTGTACAGCAAAGAAGCAAACCTATGGACTCGATTCAAAGATAATTTAAATCTTAGAACATGGTTTAAAAAGTTGTGGACAATGCCTCATTACCGTGATGTGACTCGTATAGATCTAGGTCTTGATGTTGCCAATACTCAATTGTTTACAAGAAAAAGTGGAATGCGGGATGATGCTATAAAAATAGCGATATTGTTCACTGATGGTGAGCAAACTACCAGAGGAATTAATGACTTGATTCCTCTCAGAGAAGCAGCTGATAAACTGAGGGAGAGAGACATCACCGTGTTTGCTGTTGGAATTGGTAAATCAGTCAGAAAAGACCAGCTATTAGAGATTGCTAAGACTTCGGAATATATAATAACTTTGAGCTCCTTCAATGAGTTGGAGGCGAAAACAAGAAAAATGGCAAAAGATGTTTGTCAACTTGTCAATGGTATGTCTGTTTTGTATGTCATATGATGAACATTTAGTTACGTTCATAGTAAGTTGAATTTAGATTTCATTCACCTATAACACAATTTGAAATCTTTTACTTTGTGCTTTATAAGCTTATTTTTTCCCCATACAAAATAAAATTGATCTCATTAAAACATTTTTGATAGTTTATTGTCCAAGCTCCTATAAATTTCGTCATGTTTTGATCCGAATATTCAAACACTGAATCCATTTTATCTCAGAATTTAAGGAGCGAAACTTTTTACCAAGTTTAGCATAATGGCAAAGCTCGAAGTCTTTATGGGGTTATAGAATCGCGAGCGTTAAGTAAAATTTCGATTTCAGAAGACTTTCATTGCATTATATGTATGAATATTGCAAATTTGAGTAGCGATAGATATACAAACAACGGTACCGGAAAATGCAATTAATAAAAAACTCAATTTCACTAAAAGTTAAAAAAATTATCTTCTTAAGAATAAAAACGGATGCTATTGTAATTTACCATATACCAATGCCCAATGGTAAAAATTATACTCCACCGAATGGAAAACCAATGACTTTATGGCATTAAGCTGTTTCTATATCAATTCATTTTATCTCTTCGTAAAATGACATTATTTGCTTCACTTGACCTAACAGCATTGTTATGCAACTGGTGAACTCAACATGGAAAAATCTGATTAAATTTTTTAATTTAATTTTACGTAGATCCACCAATCGTAAATTTTACGCAGCCAATTTACACGGCAATTGAAAGTAAAAACGTAACTGTTGGTGTGTCCATCTTTAACAATAAAAGGAACACTCCAGTAACAATCAGGTAAACGTCTTTTGATTATTAATAACTGATCATCAGTTTTTAAAAAAGCATTTAAAGCAGAAATTGATTGTTGAAGTTATGTCAAAGTTATCTAGAATAAAGGCAGTGTGTTTCTTGCCGAATACAAGTAGAAACATGCTATTAATTACCGATCAATGCCTGAAAACTCGAATTTCGTTGTTGATTTTAAATTAATATTTTCAGCGTGTTTATACGTACCCACATGTCTAAGTAAATGTGTGTCTAAAGGACACGACCCAGTGTGTAGAGTTCATGGAACGCAAGACAACGAATATTATAGCAACTAAATCTTAAACAACTAAACTCTCAATCAAATCCTGAGACAATTTCAACCCCACCCCACCCCTTTTGACTCAATCACAAAAACTTTTCATCTCTTACTCTAACAGAATCATCCCAAATTCTGACACAGCTGGAAGTAATGATTTTGATAATAGCATCACCGAGATTGAATTTCAACCTGAGCAAACTGGAACAAAGTTTGTGGAAATCAGTCTGATAAATGACAAAGAATATGAGGCAACGGAAGAATTTACTATTTCTCTTTCATCAAATTCAATTGTAGTTCTTGGAAATTCTTCTAAAGTTAAAATATTAGACGATGATGGTGAGTTAGTTAAGATTTTTGTCATTTATTCAACGTTACACGTTATACTGCATGTATTCAAAAGAAATTAGAGGGAAGTGAAACAACTTTTGAGGAATTTTTTTTTTTTGAAAACTGGAAAATTTTAAAAGCACATCAACTAAGATTTAATATCTATTTCGTGAAGCATTAAATATATTTTTCAATATCTAGCATACAACAAAGTTATTCTTACTAGGATTGATCATTTATTTGACGTACACTATACGGAACTTTAAAATTAAAAATTTTATTCTTTGAAGTTTTGTATTAAGTACTGAAGAAACAAATATTGTAATTTTCAATAACTTTGTTTTAGCTCCACCAGTCATTGAATTCACTCGACCTGTTTACGAAGTATTAGAGAGTGAAAATTCTGTTGCCGTTGGAATATCTGTTACAAATGGAAATGTTACTAGACCAGTCACTGTTAGGTTGGCAAACTCTAATATTTATGATGGTTATAAACAATATCATCGTCTTTGCTGTTTAATCTATGAACACAAACTGTTGTCTATTTTTTAGAATCTTCTCTAGTTTCGGCACAGCAAGCACAGACGATTTCGTTGGTATTGATAAAGAAATTACATTTCAACCTGGTGAAATTGGACCAAAAGTTGTTCAGATTAATCTTGTGAATGATAGACATGATGAACCAACCGAAGAATTTAGGGTTTCACTTTCGTCAAATTCAAGAGTAATTTTAGGAAATTCTTCTAAAGTTAAAATATTAGACGATGATGGTGAGTTAGTTAAGATTTTTATCATTTATGCAACGTTACACGTTATACTGCATGTATTCAAAAGAAATTGGAGGGAAATGAAACAACTTTTGAGAAATATAGTCTTTTTCTTTGAAAACAGGAAAATTTTAAAAGCACATCAACTAAAATCTAATATGTATTTCGTGAAGCATTAAATATATTTTTCAATATCTAGCATACAACAAAGTTATTCTTACTAGGATTGATCATTTATTTGACGTACACTATACGGAACTTTAAAATTAAAAATTTTATTCTTTGAAGTTTTGTATTAAGTACTGAAGAAACAAATATTGTAATTTTCAATAACTTTGTTTTAGCTCCACCAGTCATTGAATTCACTCGACCTGTTTACGAAGTATTAGAGAGTAAAGATTCTGTTGCCGTTGGAATATCTGTTACAAATGGAAATGTTACTAGACCAGTCACTGTTAGGTTGGCAAACTCTAATATTTATGATGGTTATAAACAATATCAACGTATTTGCTGTTTAATCGATGAACACAAACTGTTGTTTATTTTTTAGAATCTTCTCTAGTTTCGGCACAGCAAGCACAGACGATTTCGTTGGTATTGATAAAGAAATTACATTTCAACCTGGTGAAATTGGACCAAAAGTTGTTCAGATTAATCTTGTGAATGATAGACATGATGAACCAACCGAAGAATTTAGGGTTTCACTTTCGTCAAATTCAAGAGTAATTTTAGGAAATTCTTCTAAAGTTAAAATATTAGACGATGATGGTGAGTTAGTTAAGATTTTTGTCATTTATGCAACGTTACACGTTATACTGCATGCATGTATTCAAGAGAAATTGGAGGGAAATGAAACAACTTTTGAGAAATATAGTCTTTTTCTTTGAAAACAGGAAAATTTTAAAAGCACATCAACTAAAATCTAATATGTATTTCGTGAAGCATTAAATATATTTTTCAATATCTAGCATACAACAAAGTTATTCTTACTAGGATTGATCATTTATTTGACGTACACTATACGGAACTTTAAAATTAAAAATTTTATTCTTTGAAGTTTTGTATTAAGTACTGAAGAAACAAATATTGTAATTTTCAATAACTTTGTTTTAGCTCCACCAGTCATTGAATTCACTCGACCTGTTTACGAAGTATTAGAGAGTAAAGATTCTGTTGCCGTTGGAATATCTGTTACAAATGGAAATGTTACTAGACCAGTCACTGTTAGGTTGGCAAACTCTAATATTTATGATGGTTATAAACAATATCATCGTCTTTGCTGTTTAATCTATGAACACAAACTGTTGTCTATTTTTTAGAATCTTCTCTAGTTTCGGCACAGCAAGCACAGACGATTTCGTTGGTATTGATAAAGAAATTACATTTCAACCTGGTGAAATTGGACCAAAAGTTGTTCAGATTAATCTTGTGAATGATAGACATGATGAACCAACCGAAGAATTTAGGGTTTCACTTGCGTCAAATTCAAGAGTAATTTTAGGAAATTCTTCTAAAGTTAAAATATTAGACGATGATGGTGAGTTAGTTAAGATTTTTGTCATTTATGCAACGTTACACGTTATACTGCATGCATGTATTCAAGAGAAATTGGAAAGGAAATGAAACAACTTTTGAGAAATATAGTCTTTTTCTTTGAAAACAGGAAAATTTTAAAAGCACATCAACTAAGATTTAATATCTATTTCATGAAGCATTAAATATATTTTTTAATATCTAGCATACAACAAAGTTATTCTTACTAGGATTGATCATTTATTTGACGGAACTTTAAAATTAAAAATTTTATTCTTTGAAGTTTTGTATTAAGTACTGAAGAAACAAATATTGTAATTTTCAATAACTTTGTTTTAGCTCCACCAGTCATTGAATTCACTCGACCTGTTTACGAAGTATTAGAGAGTAAAGATTCTGTTGCCGTTGGAATATCTGTTACAAATGGAAATGTTACTAGACCAGTCACTGTTAGGTTGGCAAACTCTAATATTTATGATGGTTATAAACAATATCATCGTCTTTGCTGTTTAATCTATGAACACAAACTGTTGTCTATTTTTTAGAATCTTCTCTAGTTTCGGCACAGCAAGCACAGACGATTTCGTTGGTATTGATAAAGAAATTACATTTCAACCTGGTGAAATTGGACCAAAAGTTGTTCAGATTAATCTTGTGAATGATAGACATGATGAACCAACCGAAGAATTTAGGGTTTCACTTTCGTCAAATTCAAGAGTAATTTTAGGAAATTCTTCTCAAGTTAAAATATTAGACGATGATGGTGAGTTAGTTAAGGTTTTTGTCATTTATGCAACGTTACACGTTATACTGCATGTATTCAAAAGAAATTGGAGGGAAATGAAACAACTTTTGAGAAATATAGTCTTTTTCTTTGAAAACAGGAAAATTTTAAAAGCACATCAACTAACATCTAATATCTATTTCGTGAAGCATTAAATATATTTTTCAATATCTAGCATACAACAAAGTTATTCTTACTAGGATTGATCATTTATTTGACGTACACTATACGGAACTTTAAAATTAAAAATTTTATTCTTTGAAGTTTTGTATTAAGTACTGAAGAAACAAATATTGTAATTTTCAATAACTTTGTTTTAGCTCCACCAGTCATTGAATTCACTCGACCTGTTTACGAAGTATTAGAGAGTAAAGATTCTGTTGCCGTTGGAATATCTGTTACAAATGGAAATGTTACTAGACCAGTCACTGTTAGGTTGGCAAACTCTAATATTTATGATGGTTATAAACAATATCATCGTCTTTGCTGTTTAATCTATGAACACAAACTGTTGTCTATTTTTTAGAATCTTCTCTAGTTTCGGCACAGCAAGCACAGACGATTTCGTTGGTATTGATAAAGAAATTACATTTCAACCTGGTGAAATTGGACCAAAAGTTGTTCAGATTAATCTTGTGAATGATAGACATGATGAACCAACCGAAGAATTTAGGGTTTCACTTGCGTCAAATTCAAGAGTAATTTTAGGAAATTCTTCTAAAGTTAAAATATTAGACGATGATGGTGAGTTAGTTAAGATTTTTATCATTTATGCAGCGTTACACGTTATACTGCATGTATTCAAAAGAAATTGGAGGGAAATGAAACAACTTTTGAGAAATATAGTCTTTTTCTTTGAAAACAGGAAAATTTTAAAAGCACATCAACTAAGATCTAATATGTATTTCGTGAAGCATTAAATATATTTTTCAATATCTAGCATACAACAAAGTTATTCTTACTAGGATTGATCATTTATTTGACGTACACTATACGGAACTTTAAAATTAAAAATTTTATTCTTTGAAGTTTTGTATTAAGTACTGAAGAAACAAATATTGTAATTTTCAATAACTTTGTTTTAGCTCCACCAGTCATTGAATTCACTCGACCTGTTTACGAAGTATTAGAGAGTAAAGATTCTGTTGCCGTTGGAATATCTGTTACAAATGGAAATGTTACTAGACCAGTCACTGTTAGGTTGGCAAACTCTAATATTTATGATGGTTATAAACAATATCATCGTCTTTGCTGTTTAATCTATGAACACAAACTGTTGTCTATTTTTTAGAATCTTCTCTAGTTTCGGCACAGCAAGCACAGACGATTTCGTTGGTATTGATAAAGAAATTACATTTCAACCTGGTGAAATTGGACCAAAAGTTGTTCAGATTAATCTTGTGAATGATAGACATGATGAACCAACCGAAGAATTTAGGGTTTCACTTTCGTCAAATTCAAGAGTAATTTTAGGAAATTCTTCTAAAGTTAAAATATTAGACGATGATGGTGAGTTAGTTAAGATTTTTGTCATTTATGCAACGTTACACGTTATACTGCATGCATGTATTCAAGAGAAATTGGAAAGGAAATGAAACAACTTTTGAGAAATATAGTCTTTTTCTTTGAAAACAGGAAAATTTTAAAAGCACATCAACTAAAATCTAATATGTATTTCGTGAAGCATTAAATATATTTTTCAATATCTAGCATACAACAAAGTTATTCTTACTAGGATTGATCATTTATTTGACGTACACTATACGGAACTTTAAAATTAAAAATTTTATTCTTTGAAGTTTTGTATTAAGTACTGAAGAAACAAATATTGTAATTTTCAATAACTTTGTTTTAGCTCCACCAGTCATTGAATTCACTCGACCTGTTTACGAAGTATTAGAGAGTAAAGATTCTGTTGCCGTTGGAATATCTGTTACAAATGGAAATGTTACTAGACCAGTCACTGTTAGGTTGGCAAACTCTAATATTTATGATGGTTATAAACAATATCATCGTCTTTGCTGTTTAATCTATGAACACAAACTGTTGTCTATTTTTTAGAATCTTCTCTAGTTTCGGCACAGCAAGCACAGACGATTTCGTTGGTATTGATAAAGAAATTACATTTCAACCTGGTGAAATTGGACCAAAAGTTGTTCAGATTAATCTTGTGAATGATAGACATGATGAACCAACCGAAGAATTTAGGGTTTCACTTTCGTCAAATTCAAGAGTAATTTTAGGAAATTCTTCTAAAGTTAAAATATTAGACGATGATGGTGAGTTAGTTAAGATTTTTATCATTTATGCAGCGTTACACGTTATACTGCATGTATTCAAAAGAAATTGGAGGGAAATGAAACAACTTTTGAGAAATATAGTCTTTTTCTTTGAAAACAGGAAAATTTTAAAAGCACATCAACTAAAATCTAATATGTATTTCGTGAAGCATTAAATATATTTTTCAATATCTAGCATACAACAAAGTTATTCTTACTAGGATTGATCATTTATTTGACGTACACTATACGGAACTTTAAAATTAAAAATTTTATTCTTTGAAGTTTTGTATTAAGTACTGAAGAAACAAATATTGTAATTTTCAATAACTTTGTTTTAGCTCCACCAGTCATTGAATTCACTCGACCTGTTTACGAAGTATTAGAGAGTAAAGATTCTGTTGCCGTTGGAATATCTGTTACAAATGGAAATGTTACTAGACCAGTCACTGTTAGGTTGGCAAACTCTAATATTTATGATGGTTATAAACAATATCATCGTCTTTGCTGTTTAATCTATGAACACAAACTGTTGTCTATTTTTTAGAATCTTCTCTAGTTTCGGCACAGCAAGCACAGACGATTTCGTTGGTATTGATAAAGAAATTACATTTCAACCTGGTGAAATTGGACCAAAAGTTGTTCAGATTAATCTTGTGAATGATAGACATGATGAACCAACCGAAGAATTTAGGGTTTCACTTGCGTCAAATTCAAGAGTAATTTTAGGAAATTCTTCTAAAGTTAAAATATTAGACGATGATGGTGAGTTAGTTAAGATTTTTGTCATTTATGCAACGTTACACGTTATACTGCATGCATGTATTCAAGAGAAATTGGAAAGGAAATGAAACAACTTTTGAGAAATATAGTCTTTTTCTTTGAAAACAGGAAAATTTTAAAAGCACATCAACTAAGATCTAATATCTATTTCGTGAAGCATTAAATATATTTTTCAATATCTAGCATACAACAAAGTTATTCTTACTAGGATTGATCATTTATTTGACGGAACTTTAAAATTAAAAATTTTATTCTTTGAAGTTTTGTATTAAGTACTGAAGAAACAAATATTGTAATTTTCAATAACTTTGTTTTAGCTCCACCAGTCATTGAATTCACTCGACCTGTTTACGAAGTATTAGAGAGTAAAGATTCTGTTGCCGTTGGAATATCTGTTACAAATGGAAATGTTACTAGACCAGTCACTGTTAGGTTGGCAAACTCTAATATTTATGATGGTTATAAACAATATCATCGTCTTTGCTGTTTAATCTATGAACACAAACTGTTGTCTATTTTTTAGAATCTTCTCTAGTTTCGGCACAGCAAGCACAGACGATTTCGTTGGTATTGATAAAGAAATTACATTTCAACCTGGTGAAATTGGACCAAAAGTTGTTCAGATTAATCTTGTGAATGATAGACATGATGAACCAACCGAAGAATTTAGGGTTTCACTTGCGTCAAATTCAAGAGTAATTTTAGGAAATTCTTCTAAAGTTAAAATATTAGACGATGATGGTGAGTTAGTTAAGATTTTTATCATTTATGCAGCGTTACACGTTATACTGCATGTATTCAAAAGAAATTGGAGGGAAATGAAACAACTTTTGAGAAATATAGTCTTTTTCTTTGAAAACAGGAAAATTTTAAAAGCACATCAACTAAAATCTAATATGTATTTCGTGAAGCATTAAATATATTTTTCAATATCTAGCATACAACAAAGTTATTCTTACTAGGATTGATCATTTATTTGACGTACACTATACGGAACTTTAAAATTAAAAATTTTATTCTTTGAAGTTTTGTATTAAGTACTGAAGAAACAAATATTGTAATTTTCAATAACTTTGTTTTAGCTCCACCAGTCATTGAATTCACTCGACCTGTTTACGAAGTATTAGAGAGTAAAGATTCTGTTGCCGTTGGAATATCTGTTACAAATGGAAATGTTACTAGACCAGTCACTGTTAGGTTGGCAAACTCTAATATTTATGATGGTTATAAACAATATCATCGTCTTTGCTGTTTAATCTATGAACACAAACTGTTGTCTATTTTTTAGAATCTTCTCTAGTTTCGGCACAGCAAGCACAGACGATTTCGTTGGTATTGATAAAGAAATTACATTTCAACCTGGTGAAATTGGACCAAAAGTTGTTCAGATTAATCTTGTGAATGATAGACATGATGAACCAACCGAAGAATTTAGGGTTTCACTTTCGTCAAATTCAAGAGTAATTTTAGGAAATTCTTCTAAAGTTAAAATATTAGACGATGATGGTGAGTTAGTTAAGATTTTTATCATTTATGCAACGTTACACGTTATACTGCATGTATTCAAAAGAAATTGGAGGAAATGAAACAACTTTTGAGAAATATAGTCTTTTCTTTGAAAACAGGAAAATTTTAAAAGCACATCAACTAAAATCTAATATGTATTTCGTGAAGCATTAAATATATTTTTCAATATCTAGCATACAACAAAGTTATTCTTACTAGGATTGATCATTTATTTGACGTACACTATACGGAACTTTAAAATTAAAAATTTTATTCTTTGAAGTTTTGTATTAAGTACTGAAGAAACAAATATTGTAATTTTCAATAACTTTGTTTTAGCTCCACCAGTCATTGAATTCACTCGACCTGTTTACGAAGTATTAGAGAGTAAAGATTCTGTTGCCGTTGGAATATCTGTTACAAATGGAAATGTTACTAGACCAGTCACTGTTAGGTTGGCAAACTCTAATATTTATGATGGTTATAAACAATATCATCGTCTTTGCTGTTTAATCTATGAACACAAACTGTTGTCTATTTTTTAGAATCTTCTCTAGTTTCGGCACAGCAAGCACAGACGATTTCGTTGGTATTGATAAAGAAATTACATTTCAACCTGGTGAAATTGGACCAAAAGTTGTTCAGATTAATCTTGTGAATGATAGACATGATGAACCAACCGAAGAATTTAGGGTTTCACTTGCGTCAAATTCAAGAGTAATTTTAGGAAATTCTTCTAAAGTTAAAATATTAGACGATGATGGTGAGTTAGTTAAGATTTTTATCATTTATGCAACGTTACACGTTATACTGCATGCATGTATTCAAGAGAAATTGGAAAGGAAATGAAACAACTTTTGAGAAATATAGTCTTTTTCTTTGAAAACAGGAAAATTTTAAAAGCACATCAACTAAAATCTAATATGTATTTCGTGAAGCATTAAATATATTTTTCAATATCTAGCATACAACAAAGTTATTCTTACTAGGATTGATCATTTATTTGACGTACACTATACGGAACTTTAAAATTAAAAATTTTATTCTTTGAAGTTTTGTATTAAGTACTGAAGAAACAAATATTGTAATTTTCAATAACTTTGTTTTAGCTCCACCAGTCATTGAATTCACTCGACCTGTTTACGAAGTATTAGAGAGTAAAGATTCTGTTGCCGTTGGAATATCTGTTACAAATGGAAATGTTACTAGACCAGTCACTGTTAGGTTGGCAAACTCTAATATTTATGATGGTTATAAACAATATCATCGTCTTTGCTGTTTAATCTATGAACACAAACTGTTGTCTATTTTTTAGAATCTTCTCTAGTTTCGGCACAGCAAGCACAGACGATTTCGTTGGTATTGATAAAGAAATTACATTTCAACCTGGTGAAATTGGACCAAAAGTTGTTCAGATTAATCTTGTGAATGATAGACATGATGAACCAACCGAAGAATTTAGGGTTTCACTTTCGTCAAATTCAAGAGTAATTTTAGGAAATTCTTCTAAAGTTAAAATATTAGACGATGATGGTGAGTTAGTTAAGATTTTTGTCATTTATGCAACGTTACACGTTATACTGCATGTATTCAAAAGAAATTGGAGGAAATGAAACAACTTTTGAGAAATATAGTCTTTTCTTTGAAAACAGGAAAATTTTAAAAGCACATCAACTAACATCTAATATCTATTTCGTGAAGCATTAAATATATTTTTCAATATCTAGCATACAACAAAGTTATTCTTACTAGGATTGATCATTTATTTGACGTACACTATACGGAACTTTAAAATTAAAAATTTTATTCTTTGAAGTTTTGTATTAAGTACTGAAGAAACAAATATTGTAATTTTCAATAACTTTGTTTTAGCTCCACCAGTCATTGAATTCACTCGACCTGTTTACGAAGTATTAGAGAGTAAAGATTCTGTTGCCGTTGGAATATCTGTTACAAATGGAAATGTTACTAGACCAGTCACTGTTAGGTTGGCAAACTCTAATATTTATGATGGTTATAAACAATATCATCGTCTTTGCTGTTTAATCTATGAACACAAACTGTTGTCTATTTTTTAGAATCTTCTCTAGTTTCGGCACAGCAAGCACAGACGATTTCGTTGGTATTGATAAAGAAATTACATTTCAACCTGGTGAAATTGGACCAAAAGTTGTTCAGATTAATCTTGTGAATGATAGACATGATGAACCAACCGAAGAATTTAGGGTTTCACTTTCGTCAAATTCAAGAGTAATTTTAGGAAATTCTTCTAAAGTTAAAATATTAGACGATGATGGTGAGTTAGTTAAGATTTTTATCATTTATGCAACGTTACACGTTATACTGCATGTATTCAAAAGAAATTGGAGGAAATGAAACAACTTTTGAGAAATATAGTCTTTTCTTTGAAAACAGGAAAATTTTAAAAGCACATCAACTAAAATCTAATATGTATTTCGTGAAGCATTAAATATATTTTTCAATATCTAGCATACAACAAAGTTATTCTTACTAGGATTGATCATTTATTTGACGTACACTATACGGAACTTTAAAATTAAAAATTTTATTCTTTGAAGTTTTGTATTAAGTACTGAAGAAACAAATATTGTAATTTTCAATAACTTTGTTTTAGCTCCACCAGTCATTGAATTCACTCGACCTGTTTACGAAGTATTAGAGAGTAAAGATTCTGTTGCCGTTGGAATATCTGTTACAAATGGAAATGTTACTAGACCAGTCACTGTTAGGTTGGCAAACTCTAATATTTATGATGGTTATAAACAATATCATCGTCTTTGCTGTTTAATCTATGAACACAAACTGTTGTCTATTTTTTAGAATCTTCTCTAGTTTCGGCACAGCAAGCACAGACGATTTCGTTGGTATTGATAAAGAAATTACATTTCAACCTGGTGAAATTGGACCAAAAGTTGTTCAGATTAATCTTGTGAATGATAGACATGATGAACCAACCGAAGAATTTAGGGTTTCACTTTCGTCAAATTCAAGAGTAATTTTAGGAAATTCTTCTAAAGTTAAAATATTAGACGATGATGGTGAGTTAGTTAAGATTTTTATCATTTATGCAACGTTACACGTTATACTGCATGTATTCAAAGAAATTGGAGGAAATGAAACAACTTTTGAGAAATATAGTCTTTTCTTTGAAAACAGGAAAATTTTAAAAGCACATCAACTAAAATCTAATATGTATTTCGTGAAGCATTAAATATATTTTTCAATATCTAGCATACAACAAAGTTATTCTTACTAGGATTGATCATTTATTTGACGTACACTATACGGAACTTTAAAATTAAAAATTTTATTCTTTGAAGTTTTGTATTAAGTACTGAAGAAACAAATATTGTAATTTTCAATAACTTTGTTTTAGCTCCACCAGTCATTGAATTCACTCGACCTGTTTACGAAGTATTAGAGAGTAAAGATTCTGTTGCCGTTGGAATATCTGTTACAAATGGAAATGTTACTAGACCAGTCACTGTTAGGTTGGCAAACTCTAATATTTATGATGGTTATAAACAATATCATCGTCTTTGCTGTTTAATCTATGAACACAAACTGTTGTCTATTTTTTAGAATCTTCTCTAGTTTCGGCACAGCAAGCACAGACGATTTCGTTGGTATTGATAAAGAAATTACATTTCAACCTGGTGAAATTGGACCAAAAGTTGTTCAGATTAATCTTGTGAATGATAGACATGATGAACCAACCGAAGAATTTAGGGTTTCACTTTCGTCAAATTCAAGAGTAATTTTAGGAAATTCTTCTAAAGTTAAAATATTAGACGATGATGGTGAGTTAGTTAAGATTTTTATCATTTATGCAACGTTACACGTTATACTGCATGTATTCAAAAGAAATTGGAGGAAATGAAACAACTTTTGAGAAATATAGTCTTTTCTTTGAAAACAGGAAAATTTTAAAAGCACATCAACTAAAATCTAATATGTATTTCGTGAAGCATTAAATATATTTTTCAATATCTAGCATACAACAAAGTTATTCTTACTAGGATTGATCATTTATTTGACGTACACTATACGGAACTTTAAAATTAAAAATTTTATTCTTTGAAGTTTTGTATTAAGTACTGAAGAAACAAATATTGTAATTTTCAATAACTTTGTTTTAGCTCCACCAGTCATTGAATTCACTCGACCTGTTTACGAAGTATTAGAGAGTAAAGATTCTGTTGCCGTTGGAATATCTGTTACAAATGGAAATGTTACTAGACCAGTCACTGTTAGGTTGGCAAACTCTAATATTTATGATGGTTATAAACAATATCATCGTCTTTGCTGTTTAATCTATGAACACAAACTGTTGTCTATTTTTTAGAATCTTCTCTAGTTTCGGCACAGCAAGCACAGACGATTTCGTTGGTATTGATAAAGAAATTACATTTCAACCTGGTGAAATTGGACCAAAAGTTGTTCAGATTAATCTTGTGAATGATAGACATGATGAACCAACCGAAGAATTTAGGGTTTCACTTTCGTCAAATTCAAGAGTAATTTTAGGAAATTCTTCTAAAGTTAAAATATTAGACGATGATGGTGAGTTAGTTAAGATTTTTATCATTTATGCAACGTTACACGTTATACTGCATGTATTCAAAAGAAATTGGAGGAAATGAAACAACTTTTGAGAAATATAGTCTTTTCTTTGAAAACAGGAAAATTTTAAAAGCACATCAACTAACATCTAATATCTATTTCGTGAAGCATTAAATATATTTTTCAATATCTAGCATACAACAAAGTTATTCTTACTAGGATTGATCATTTATTTGACGTACACTATACGGAACTTTAAAATTAAAAATTTTATTCTTTGAAGTTTTGTATTAAGTACTGAAGAAACAAATATTGTAATTTTCAATAACTTTGTTTTAGCTCCACCAGTCATTGAATTCACTCGACCTGTTTACGAAGTATTAGAGAGTAAAGATTCTGTTGCCGTTGGAATATCTGTTACAAATGGAAATGTTACTAGACCAGTCACTGTTAGGTTGGCAAACTCTAATATTTATGATGGTTATAAACAATATCATCGTCTTTGCTGTTTAATCTATGAACACAAACTGTTGTCTATTTTTTAGAATCTTCTCTAGTTTCGGCACAGCAAGCACAGACGATTTCGTTGGTATTGATAAAGAAATTACATTTCAACCTGGTGAAATTGGACCAAAAGTTGTTCAGATTAATCTTGTGAATGATAGACATGATGAACCAACCGAAGAATTTAGGGTTTCACTTTCGTCAAATTCAAGAGTAATTTTAGGAAATTCTTCTAAAGTTAAAATATTAGACGATGATGGTGAGTTAGTTAAGATTTTTATCATTTATGCAACGTTACACGTTATACTGCATGTATTCAAAAGAAATTGGAGGAAATGAAACAACTTTTGAGAAATATAGTCTTTTCTTTGAAAACAGGAAAATTTTAAAAGCACATCAACTAAAATCTAATATGTATTTCGTGAAGCATTAAATATATTTTTCAATATCTAGCATACAACAAAGTTATTCTTACTAGGATTGATCATTTATTTGACGTACACTATACGGAACTTTAAAATTAAAAATTTTATTCTTTGAAGTTTTGTATTAAGTACTGAAGAAACAAATATTGTAATTTTCAATAACTTTGTTTTAGCTCCACCAGTCATTGAATTCACTCGACCTGTTTACGAAGTATTAGAGAGTAAAGATTCTGTTGCCGTTGGAATATCTGTTACAAATGGAAATGTTACTAGACCAGTCACTGTTAGGTTGGCAAACTCTAATATTTATGATGGTTATAAACAATATCATCGTCTTTGCTGTTTAATCTATGAACACAAACTGTTGTCTATTTTTTAGAATCTTCTCTAGTTTCGGCACAGCAAGCACAGACGATTTCGTTGGTATTGATAAAGAAATTACATTTCAACCTGGTGAAATTGGACCAAAAGTTGTTCAGATTAATCTTGTGAATGATAGACATGATGAACCAACCGAAGAATTTAGGGTTTCACTTTCGTCAAATTCAAGAGTAATTTTAGGAAATTCTTCTAAAGTTAAAATATTAGACGATGATGGTGAGTTAGTTAAGATTTTTATCATTTATGCAACGTTACACGTTATACTGCATGTATTCAAAAGAAATTGGAGGAAATGAAACAACTTTTGAGAAATATAGTCTTTTCTTTGAAAACAGGAAAATTTTAAAAGCACATCAACTAAAATCTAATATGTATTTCGTGAAGCATTAAATATATTTTTCAATATCTAGCATACAACAAAGTTATTCTTACTAGGATTGATCATTTATTTGACGTACACTATACGGAACTTTAAAATTAAAAATTTTATTCTTTGAAGTTTTGTATTAAGTACTGAAGAAACAAATATTGTAATTTTCAATAACTTTGTTTTAGCTCCACCAGTCATTGAATTCACTCGACCTGTTTACGAAGTATTAGAGAGTAAAGATTCTGTTGCCGTTGGAATATCTGTTACAAATGGAAATGTTACTAGACCAGTCACTGTTAGGTTGGCAAACTCTAATATTTATGATGGTTATAAACAATATCATCGTCTTTGCTGTTTAATCTATGAACACAAACTGTTGTCTATTTTTTAGAATCTTCTCTAGTTTCGGCACAGCAAGCACAGACGATTTCGTTGGTATTGATAAAGAAATTACATTTCAACCTGGTGAAATTGGACCAAAAGTTGTTCAGATTAATCTTGTGAATGATAGACATGATGAACCAACCGAAGAATTTAGGGTTTCACTTTCGTCAAATTCAAGAGTAATTTTAGGAAATTCTTCTAAAGTTAAAATATTAGACGATGATGGTGAGTTAGTTAAGATTTTTATCATTTATGCAACGTTACACGTTATACTGCATGTATTCAAAAGAAATTGGAGGAAATGAAACAACTTTTGAGAAATATAGTCTTTTCTTTGAAAACAGGAAAATTTTAAAAGCACATCAACTAAAATCTAATATGTATTTCGTGAAGCATTAAATATATTTTTCAATATCTAGCATACAACAAAGTTATTCTTACTAGGATTGATCATTTATTTGACGTACACTATACGGAACTTTAAAATTAAAAATTTTATTCTTTGAAGTTTTGTATTAAGTACTGAAGAAACAAATATTGTAATTTTCAATAACTTTGTTTTAGCTCCACCAGTCATTGAATTCACTCGACCTGTTTACGAAGTATTAGAGAGTAAAGATTCTGTTGCCGTTGGAATATCTGTTACAAATGGAAATGTTACTAGACCAGTCACTGTTAGGTTGGCAAACTCTAATATTTATGATGGTTATAAACAATATCATCGTCTTTGCTGTTTAATCTATGAACACAAACTGTTGTCTATTTTTTAGAATCTTCTCTAGTTTCGGCACAGCAAGCACAGACGATTTCGTTGGTATTGATAAAGAAATTACATTTCAACCTGGTGAAATTGGACCAAAAGTTGTTCAGATTAATCTTGTGAATGATAGACATGATGAACCAACCGAAGAATTTAGGGTTTCACTTTCGTCAAATTCAAGAGTAATTTTAGGAAATTCTTCTAAAGTTAAAATATTAGACGATGATGGTGAGTTAGTTAAGATTTTTATCATTTATGCAACGTTACACGTTATACTGCATGTATTCAAAAGAAATTGGAGGAAATGAAACAACTTTTGAGAAATATAGTCTTTTCTTTGAAAACAGGAAAATTTTAAAAGCACATCAACTAAAATCTAATATGTATTTCGTGAAGCATTAAATATATTTTTCAATATCTAGCATACAACAAAGTTATTCTTACTAGGATTGATCATTTATTTGACGTACACTATACGGAACTTTAAAATTAAAAATTTTATTCTTTGAAGTTTTGTATTAAGTACTGAAGAAACAAATATTGTAATTTTCAATAACTTTGTTTTAGCTCCACCAGTCATTGAATTCACTCGACCTGTTTACGAAGTATTAGAGAGTAAAGATTCTGTTGCCGTTGGAATATCTGTTACAAATGGAAATGTTACTAGACCAGTCACTGTTAGGTTGGCAAACTCTAATATTTATGATGGTTATAAACAATATCATCGTCTTTGCTGTTTAATCTATGAACACAAACTGTTGTCTATTTTTTAGAATCTTCTCTAGTTTCGGCACAGCAAGCACAGACGATTTCGTTGGTATTGATAAAGAAATTACATTTCAACCTGGTGAAATTGGACCAAAAGTTGTTCAGATTAATCTTGTGAATGATAGACATGATGAACCAACCGAAGAATTTAGGGTTTCACTTTCGTCAAATTCAAGAGTAATTTTAGGAAATTCTTCTAAAGTTAAAATATTAGACGATGATGGTGAGTTAGTTAAGATTTTTATCATTTATGCAACGTTACACGTTATACTGCATGTATTCAAAAGAAATTGGAGGAAATGAAACAACTTTTGAGAAATATAGTCTTTTCTTTGAAAACAGGAAAATTTTAAAAGCACATCAACTAAAATCTAATATGTATTTCGTGAAGCATTAAATATATTTTTCAATATCTAGCATACAACAAAGTTATTCTTACTAGGATTGATCATTTATTTGACGTACACTATACGGAACTTTAAAATTAAAAATTTTATTCTTTGAAGTTTTGTATTAAGTACTGAAGAAACAAATATTGTAATTTTCAATAACTTTGTTTTAGCTCCACCAGTCATTGAATTCACTCGACCTGTTTACGAAGTATTAGAGAGTAAAGATTCTGTTGCCGTTGGAATATCTGTTACAAATGGAAATGTTACTAGACCAGTCACTGTTAGGTTGGCAAACTCTAATATTTATGATGGTTATAAACAATATCATCGTCTTTGCTGTTTAATCTATGAACACAAACTGTTGTCTATTTTTTAGAATCTTCTCTAGTTTCGGCACAGCAAGCACAGACGATTTCGTTGGTATTGATAAAGAAATTACATTTCAACCTGGTGAAATTGGACCAAAAGTTGTTCAGATTAATCTTGTGAATGATAGACATGATGAACCAACCGAAGAATTTAGGGTTTCACTTTCGTCAAATTCAAGAGTAATTTTAGGAAATTCTTCTAAAGTTAAAATATTAGACGATGATGGTGAGTTAGTTAAGATTTTTATCATTTATGCAACGTTACACGTTATACTGCATGTATTCAAAAGAAATTGGAGGAAATGAAACAACTTTTGAGAAATATAGTCTTTTCTTTGAAAACAGGAAAATTTTAAAAGCACATCAACTAAAATCTAATATGTATTTCGTGAAGCATTAAATATATTTTTCAATATCTAGCATACAACAAAGTTATTCTTACTAGGATTGATCATTTATTTGACGTACACTATACGGAACTTTAAAATTAAAAATTTTATTCTTTGAAGTTTTGTATTAAGTACTGAAGAAACAAATATTGTAATTTTCAATAACTTTGTTTTAGCTCCACCAGTCATTGAATTCACTCGACCTGTTTACGAAGTATTAGAGAGTAAAGATTCTGTTGCCGTTGGAATATCTGTTACAAATGGAAATGTTACTAGACCAGTCACTGTTAGGTTGGCAAACTCTAATATTTATGATGGTTATAAACAATATCATCGTCTTTGCTGTTTAATCTATGAACACAAACTGTTGTCTATTTTTTAGAATCTTCTCTAGTTTCGGCACAGCAAGCACAGACGATTTCGTTGGTATTGATAAAGAAATTACATTTCAACCTGGTGAAATTGGACCAAAAGTTGTTCAGATTAATCTTGTGAATGATAGACATGATGAACCAACCGAAGAATTTAGGGTTTCACTTTCGTCAAATTCAAGAGTAATTTTAGGAAATTCTTCTAAAGTTAAAATATTAGACGATGATGGTGAGTTAGTTAAGATTTTTATCATTTATGCAACGTTACACGTTATACTGCATGTATTCAAAAGAAATTGGAGGAAATGAAACAACTTTTGAGAAATATAGTCTTTTCTTTGAAAACAGGAAAATTTTAAAAGCACATCAACTAAAATCTAATATGTATTTCGTGAAGCATTAAATATATTTTTCAATATCTAGCATACAACAAAGTTATTCTTACTAGGATTGATCATTTATTTGACGTACACTATACGGAACTTTAAAATTAAAAATTTTATTCTTTGAAGTTTTGTATTAAGTACTGAAGAAACAAATATTGTAATTTTCAATAACTTTGTTTTAGCTCCACCAGTCATTGAATTCACTCGACCTGTTTACGAAGTATTAGAGAGTAAAGATTCTGTTGCCGTTGGAATATCTGTTACAAATGGAAATGTTACTAGACCAGTCACTGTTAGGTTGGCAAACTCTAATATTTATGATGGTTATAAACAATATCATCGTCTTTGCTGTTTAATCTATGAACACAAACTGTTGTCTATTTTTTAGAATCTTCTCTAGTTTCGGCACAGCAAGCACAGACGATTTCGTTGGTATTGATAAAGAAATTACATTTCAACCTGGTGAAATTGGACCAAAAGTTGTTCAGATTAATCTTGTGAATGATAGACATGATGAACCAACCGAAGAATTTAGGGTTTCACTTTCGTCAAATTCAAGAGTAATTTTAGGAAATTCTTCTAAAGTTAAAATATTAGACGATGATGGTGAGTTAGTTAAGATTTTTATCATTTATGCAACGTTACACGTTATACTGCATGTATTCAAAAGAAATTGGAGGAAATGAAACAACTTTTGAGAAATATAGTCTTTTCTTTGAAAACAGGAAAATTTTAAAAGCACATCAACTAAAATCTAATATGTATTTCGTGAAGCATTAAATATATTTTTCAATATCTAGCATACAACAAAGTTATTCTTACTAGGATTGATCATTTATTTGACGTACACTATACGGAACTTTAAAATTAAAAATTTTATTCTTTGAAGTTTTGTATTAAGTACTGAAGAAACAAATATTGTAATTTTCAATAACTTTGTTTTAGCTCCACCAGTCATTGAATTCACTCGACCTGTTTACGAAGTATTAGAGAGTAAAGATTCTGTTGCCGTTGGAATATCTGTTACAAATGGAAATGTTACTAGACCAGTCACTGTTAGGTTGGCAAACTCTAATATTTATGATGGTTATAAACAATATCATCGTCTTTGCTGTTTAATCTATGAACACAAACTGTTGTCTATTTTTTAGAATCTTCTCTAGTTTCGGCACAGCAAGCACAGACGATTTCGTTGGTATTGATAAAGAAATTACATTTCAACCTGGTGAAATTGGACCAAAAGTTGTTCAGATTAATCTTGTGAATGATAGACATGATGAACCAACCGAAGAATTTAGGGTTTCACTTGCGTCAAATTCAAGAGTAATTTTAGGAAATTCTTCTAAAGTTAAAATATTAGACGATGATGGTGAGTTAGTTAAGATTTTTATCATTTATGCAACGTTACACGTTATACTGCATGTATTCAAAAGAAATTGGAGGAAATGAAACAACTTTTGAGAAATATAGTCTTTTCTTTGAAAACAGGAAAATTTTAAAAGCACATCAACTAAGATCTAATATGTATTTCGTGAAGCATTAAATATATTTTTCAATATCTAGCATACAACAAAGTTATTCTTACTAGGATTGATCATTTATTTGACGTACACTATACGGAACTTTAAAAAAAATTTTATTCTTTGAAGTTTTGTATTAAGTACTGAAGAAACAAATATTGTAATTTTCAATAACTTTGTTTTAGCTCCACCAGTCATTGAATTCACTCGACCTGTTTACGAAGTATTAGAGAGTAAAGATTCTGTTGCCGTTGGAATATCTGTTACAAATGGAAATGTTACTAGACCAGTCACTGTTAGGTTGGCAAACTCTAATATTTATGATGGTTATAAACAATATCATCGTCTTTGCTGTTTAATCTATGAACACAAACTGTTGTCTATTTTTTAGAATCTTCTCTAGTTTCGGCACAGCAAGCACAGACGATTTCGTTGGTATTGATAAAGAAATTACATTTCAACCTGGTGAAATTGGACCAAAAGTTGTTCAGATTAATCTTGTGAATGATAGACATGATGAACCAACCGAAGAATTTAGGGTTTCACTTTCGTCAAATTCAAGAGTAATTTTAGGAAATTCTTCTAAAGTTAAAATATTAGACGATGATGGTGAGTTAGTTAAGATTTTTATCATTTATGCAACGTTACACGTTATACTGCATGTATTCAAAAGAAATTGGAGGAAATGAAACAACTTTTGAGAAATATAGTCTTTTCTTTGAAAACAGGAAAATTTTAAAAGCACATCAACTAAAATCTAATATGTATTTCGTGAAGCATTAAATATATTTTTCAATATCTAGCATACAACAAAGTTATTCTTACTAGGATTGATCATTTATTTGACGTACACTATACGGAACTTTAAAATTAAAAATTTTATTCTTTGAAGTTTTGTATTAAGTACTGAAGAAACAAATATTGTAATTTTCAATAACTTTGTTTTAGCTCCACCAGTCATTGAATTCACTCGACCTGTTTACGAAGTATTAGAGAGTAAAGATTCTGTTGCCGTTGGAATATCTGTTACAAATGGAAATGTTACTAGACCAGTCACTGTTAGGTTGGCAAACTCTAATATTTATGATGGTTATAAACAATATCATCGTCTTTGCTGTTTAATCTATGAACACAAACTGTTGTCTATTTTTTAGAATCTTCTCTAGTTTCGGCACAGCAAGCACAGACGATTTCGTTGGTATTGATAAAGAAATTACATTTCAACCTGGTGAAATTGGACCAAAAGTTGTTCAGATTAATCTTGTGAATGATAGACATGATGAACCAACCGAAGAATTTAGGGTTTCACTTTCGTCAAATTCAAGAGTAATTTTAGGAAATTCTTCTAAAGTTAAAATATTAGACGATGATGGTGAGTTAGTTAAGATTTTTATCATTTATGCAACGTTACACGTTATACTGCATGTATTCAAAAGAAATTGGAGGAAATGAAACAACTTTTGAGAAATATAGTCTTTTCTTTGAAAACAGGAAAATTTTAAAAGCACATCAACTAAAATCTAATATGTATTTCGTGAAGCATTAAATATATTTTTCAATATCTAGCATACAACAAAGTTATTCTTACTAGGATTGATCATTTATTTGACGTACACTATACGGAACTTTAAAATTAAAAATTTTATTCTTTGAAGTTTTGTATTAAGTACTGAAGAAACAAATATTGTAATTTTCAATAACTTTGTTTTAGCTCCACCAGTCATTGAATTCACTCGACCTGTTTACGAAGTATTAGAGAGTAAAGATTCTGTTGCCGTTGGAATATCTGTTACAAATGGAAATGTTACTAGACCAGTCACTGTTAGGTTGGCAAACTCTAATATTTATGATGGTTATAAACAATATCATCGTCTTTGCTGTTTAATCTATGAACACAAACTGTTGTCTATTTTTTAGAATCTTCTCTAGTTTCGGCACAGCAAGCACAGACGATTTCGTTGGTATTGATAAAGAAATTACATTTCAACCTGGTGAAATTGGACCAAAAGTTGTTCAGATTAATCTTGTGAATGATAGACATGATGAACCAACCGAAGAATTTAGGGTTTCACTTTCGTCAAATTCAAGAGTAATTTTAGGAAATTCTTCTAAAGTTAAAATATTAGACGATGATGGTGAGTTAGTTAAGATTTTTATCATTTATGCAACGTTACACGTTATACTGCATGTATTCAAAAGAAATTGGAGGAAATGAAACAACTTTTGAGAAATATAGTCTTTTCTTTGAAAACAGGAAAATTTTAAAAGCACATCAACTAAAATCTAATATGTATTTCGTGAAGCATTAAATATATTTTTCAATATCTAGCATACAACAAAGTTATTCTTACTAGGATTGATCATTTATTTGACGTACACTATACGGAACTTTAAAATTAAAAATTTTATTCTTTGAAGTTTTGTATTAAGTACTGAAGAAACAAATATTGTAATTTTCAATAACTTTGTTTTAGCTCCACCAGTCATTGAATTCACTCGACCTGTTTACGAAGTATTAGAGAGTAAAGATTCTGTTGCCGTTGGAATATCTGTTACAAATGGAAATGTTACTAGACCAGTCACTGTTAGGTTGGCAAACTCTAATATTTATGATGGTTATAAACAATATCATCGTCTTTGCTGTTTAATCTATGAACACAAACTGTTGTCTATTTTTTAGAATCTTCTCTAGTTTCGGCACAGCAAGCACAGACGATTTCGTTGGTATTGATAAAGAAATTACATTTCAACCTGGTGAAATTGGACCAAAAGTTGTTCAGATTAATCTTGTGAATGATAGACATGATGAACCAACCGAAGAATTTAGGGTTTCACTTTCGTCAAATTCAAGAGTAATTTTAGGAAATTCTTCTAAAGTTAAAATATTAGACGATGATGGTGAGTTAGTTAAGATTTTTATCATTTATGCAACGTTACACGTTATACTGCATGTATTCAAAAGAAATTGGAGGAAATGAAACAACTTTTGAGAAATATAGTCTTTTCTTTGAAAACAGGAAAATTTTAAAAGCACATCAACTAAAATCTAATATGTATTTCGTGAAGCATTAAATATATTTTTCAATATCTAGCATACAACAAAGTTATTCTTACTAGGATTGATCATTTATTTGACGTACACTATACGGAACTTTAAAATTAAAAATTTTATTCTTTGAAGTTTTGTATTAAGTACTGAAGAAACAAATATTGTAATTTTCAATAACTTTGTTTTAGCTCCACCAGTCATTGAATTCACTCGACCTGTTTACGAAGTATTAGAGAGTAAAGATTCTGTTGCCGTTGGAATATCTGTTACAAATGGAAATGTTACTAGACCAGTCACTGTTAGGTTGGCAAACTCTAATATTTATGATGGTTATAAACAATATCATCGTCTTTGCTGTTTAATCTATGAACACAAACTGTTGTCTATTTTTTAGAATCTTCTCTAGTTTCGGCACAGCAAGCACAGACGATTTCGTTGGTATTGATAAAGAAATTACATTTCAACCTGGTGAAATTGGACCAAAAGTTGTTCAGATTAATCTTGTGAATGATAGACATGATGAACCAACCGAAGAATTTAGGGTTTCACTTTCGTCAAATTCAAGAGTAATTTTAGGAAATTCTTCTCAAGTTAAAATATTAGACGATGATGGTGAGTTAGTTAAGATTTTTATCATTTATGCAACGTTACACGTTATACTGCATGCATGTATTCAAGAGAAATTGGAGGAAATGAAACAACTTTTGAGAAATATAGTCTTTTCTTTGAAAACAGGAAAATTTTAAAAGCACATCAACTAAAATCTAATATGTATTTCGTGAAGCATTAAATATATTTTTCAATATCTAGCATACAACAAAGTTATTCTTACTAGGATTGATCATTTATTTGACGTACACTATACGGAACTTTAAAATTAAAAATTTTATTCTTTGAAGTTTTGTATTAAGTACTGAAGAAACAAATATTGTAATTTTCAATAACTTTGTTTTAGCTCCACCAGTCATTGAATTCACTCGACCTGTTTACGAAGTATTAGAGAGTAAAGATTCTGTTGCCGTTGGAATATCTGTTACAAATGGAAATGTTACTAGACCAGTCACTGTTAGGTTGGCAAACTCTAATATTTATGATGGTTATAAACAATATCATCGTCTTTGCTGTTTAATCTATGAACACAAACTGTTGTCTATTTTTTAGAATCTTCTCTAGTTTCGGCACAGCAAGCACAGACGATTTCGTTGGTATTGATAAAGAAATTACATTTCAACCTGGTGAAATTGGACCAAAAGTTGTTCAGATTAATCTTGTGAATGATAGACATGATGAACCAACCGAAGAATTTAGGGTTTCACTTTCGTCAAATTCAAGAGTAATTTTAGGAAATTCTTCTAAAGTTAAAATATTAGACGATGATGGTGAGTTAGTTAAGATTTTTGTCATTTATGCAACGTTACACGTTATACTGCATGTATTCAAAAGAAATTGGAGGAAATGAAACAACTTTTGAGAAATATAGTCTTTTCTTTGAAAACAGGAAAATTTTAAAAGCACATCAACTAAAATCTAATATGTATTTCGTGAAGCATTAAATATATTTTTCAATATCTAGCATACAACAAAGTTATTCTTACTAGGATTGATCATTTATTTGACGTACACTATACGGAACTTTAAAATTAAAAATTTTATTCTTTGAAGTTTTGTATTAAGTACTGAAGAAACAAATATTGTAATTTTCAATAACTTTGTTTTAGCTCCACCAGTCATTGAATTCACTCGACCTGTTTACGAAGTATTAGAGAGTAAAGATTCTGTTGCCGTTGGAATATCTGTTACAAATGGAAATGTTACTAGACCAGTCACTGTTAGGTTGGCAAACTCTAATATTTATGATGGTTATAAACAATATCATCGTCTTTGCTGTTTAATCTATGAACACAAACTGTTGTCTATTTTTTAGAATCTTCTCTAGTTTCGGCACAGCAAGCACAGACGATTTCGTTGGTATTGATAAAGAAATTACATTTCAACCTGGTGAAATTGGACCAAAAGTTGTTCAGATTAATCTTGTGAATGATAGACATGATGAACCAACCGAAGAATTTAGGGTTTCACTTTCGTCAAATTCAAGAGTAATTTTAGGAAATTCTTCTAAAGTTAAAATATTAGACGATGATGGTGAGTTAGTTAAGATTTTTGTCATTTATGCAACGTTACACGTTATACTGCATGTATTCAAAAGAAATTGGAGGAAATGAAACAACTTTTGAGAAATATAGTCTTTTCTTTGAAAACAGGAAAATTTTAAAAGCACATCAACTAAAATCTAATATCTATTTCGTGAAGCATTAAATATATTTTTCAATATCTAGCATACAACAAAGTTATTCTTACTAGGATTGATCATTTATTTGACGTACACTATACGGAACTTTAAAATTAAAAATTTTATTCTTTGAAGTTTTGTATTAAGTACTGAAGAAACAAATATTGTAATTTTCAATAACTTTGTTTTAGCTCCACCAGTCATTGAATTCACTCGACCTGTTTACGAAGTATTAGAGAGTAAAGATTCTGTTGCCGTTGGAATATCTGTTACAAATGGAAATGTTACTAGACCAGTCACTGTTAGGTTGGCAAACTCTAATATTTATGATGGTTATAAACAATATCATCGTCTTTGCTGTTTAATCTATGAACACAAACTGTTGTCTATTTTTTAGAATCTTCTCTAGTTTCGGCACAGCAAGCACAGACGATTTCGTTGGTATTGATAAAGAAATTACATTTCAACCTGGTGAAATTGGACCAAAAGTTGTTCAGATTAATCTTGTGAATGATAGACATGATGAACCAACCGAAGAATTTAGGGTTTCACTTGCGTCAAATTCAAGAGTAATTTTAGGAAATTCTTCTAAAGTTAAAATATTAGACGATGATGGTGAGTTAGTTAAGATTTTTATCATTTATGCAACGTTACACGTTATACTGCATGTATTCAAAAGAAATTGGAGGAAATGAAACAACTTTTGAGAAATATAGTCTTTTCTTTGAAAACAGGAAAATTTTAAAAGCACATCAACTAAAATCTAATATGTATTTCGTGAAGCATTAAATATATTTTTCAATATCTAGCATACAACAAAGTTATTCTTACTAGGATTGATCATTTATTTGACGTACACTATACGGAACTTTAAAATTAAAAATTTTATTCTTTGAAGTTTTGTATTAAGTACTGAAGAAACAAATATTGTAATTTTCAATAACTTTGTTTTAGCTCCACCAGTCATTGAATTCACTCGACCTGTTTACGAAGTATTAGAGAGTAAAGATTCTGTTGCCGTTGGAATATCTGTTACAAATGGAAATGTTACTAGACCAGTCACTGTTAGGTTGGCAAACTCTAATATTTATGATGGTTATAAACAATATCATCGTCTTTGCTGTTTAATCTATGAACACAAACTGTTGTCTATTTTTTAGAATCTTCTCTAGTTTCGGCACAGCAAGCACAGACGATTTCGTTGGTATTGATAAAGAAATTACATTTCAACCTGGTGAAATTGGACCAAAAGTTGTTCAGATTAATCTTGTGAATGATAGACATGATGAACCAACCGAAGAATTTAGGGTTTCACTTTCGTCAAATTCAAGAGTAATTTTAGGAAATTCTTCTCAAGTTAAAATATTAGACGATGATGGTGAGTTAGTTAAGATTTTTATCATTTATGCAACGTTACACGTTATACTGCATGCATGTATTCAAGAGAAATTGGAAAGGAAATGAAACAACTTTTGAGAAATATAGTCTTTTTCTTTGAAAACAGGAAAATTTTAAAAGCACATCAACTAAAATCTAATATGTATTTCGTGAAGCATTAAATATATTTTTCAATATCTAGCATACAACAAAGTTATTCTTACTAGGATTGATCATTTATTTGACGTACACTATACGGAACTTTAAAATTAAAATTTTATTCTTTGAAGTTTTGTATTAAGTACTGAAGAAACAAATATTGTAATTTTCAATAACTTTGTTTTAGCTCCACCAGTCATTGAATTCACTCGACCTGTTTACGAAGTATTAGAGAGTAAAGATTCTGTTGCCGTTGGAATATCTGTTACAAATGGAAATGTTACTAGACCAGTCACTGTTAGGTTGGCAAACTCTAATATTTATGATGGTTATAAACAATATCATCGTCTTTGCTGTTTAATCTATGAACACAAACTGTTGTCTATTTTTTAGAATCTTCTCTAGTTTCGGCACAGCAAGCACAGACGATTTCGTTGGTATTGATAAAGAAATTACATTTCAACCTGGTGAAATTGGACCAAAAGTTGTTCAGATTAATCTTGTGAATGATAGACATGATGAACCAACCGAAGAATTTAGGGTTTCACTTTCGTCAAATTCAAGAGTAATTTTAGGAAATTCTTCTAAAGTTAAAATATTAGACGATGATGGTGAGTTAGTTAAGATTTTTATCATTTATGCAACGTTACACGTTATACTGCATGTATTCAAAAGAAATTGGAGGAAATGAAACAACTTTTGAGAAATATAGTCTTTTCTTTGAAAACAGGAAAATTTTAAAAGCACATCAACTAAAATCTAATATGTATTTCGTGAAGCATTAAATATATTTTTCAATATCTAGCATACAACAAAGTTATTCTTACTAGGATTGATCATTTATTTGACGTACACTATACGGAACTTTAAAATTAAAAATTTTATTCTTTGAAGTTTTGTATTAAGTACTGAAGAAACAAATATTGTAATTTTCAATAACTTTGTTTTAGCTCCACCAGTCATTGAATTCACTCGACCTGTTTACGAAGTATTAGAGAGTAAAGATTCTGTTGCCGTTGGAATATCTGTTACAAATGGAAATGTTACTAGACCAGTCACTGTTAGGTTGGCAAACTCTAATATTTATGATGGTTATAAACAATATCATCGTCTTTGCTGTTTAATCTATGAACACAAACTGTTGTCTATTTTTTAGAATCTTCTCTAGTTTCGGCACAGCAAGCACAGACGATTTCGTTGGTATTGATAAAGAAATTACATTTCAACCTGGTGAAATTGGACCAAAAGTTGTTCAGATTAATCTTGTGAATGATAGACATGATGAACCAACCGAAGAATTTAGGGTTTCACTTGCGTCAAATTCAAGAGTAATTTTAGGAAATTCTTCTAAAGTTAAAATATTAGACGATGATGGTGAGTTAGTTAAGATTTTTGTCATTTATGCAACGTTACACGTTATACTGCATGTATTCAAAAGAAATTGGAGGAAATGAAACAACTTTTGAGAAATATAGTCTTTTCTTTGAAAACAGGAAAATTTTAAAAGCACATCAACTAAGATCTAATATCTATTTCGTGAAGCATTAAATATATTTTTCAATATCTAGCATACAACAAAGTTATTCTTACTAGGATTGATCATTTATTTGACGTACACTATACGGAACTTTAAAATTTAAAATTTTATTCTTTGAAGTTTTGTATTAAGTACTGAAGAAACAAATATTGTAATTTTCAATAACTTTGTTTTAGCTCCACCAGTCATTGAATTCACTCGACCTGTTTACGAAGTATTAGAGAGTAAAGATTCTGTTGCCGTTGGAATATCTGTTACAAATGGAAATGTTACTAGACCAGTCACTGTTAGGTTGGCAAACTCTAATATTTATGATGGTTATAAACAATATCATCGTCTTTGCTGTTTAATCTATGAACACAAACTGTTGTCTATTTTTTAGAATCTTCTCTAGTTTCGGCACAGCAAGCACAGACGATTTCGTTGGTATTGATAAAGAAATTACATTTCAACCTGGTGAAATTGGACCAAAAGTTGTTCAGATTAATCTTGTGAATGATAGACATGATGAACCAACCGAAGAATTTAGGGTTTCACTTGCGTCAAATTCAAGAGTAATTTTAGGAAATTCTTCTAAAGTTAAAATATTAGACGATGATGGTGAGTTAGTTAAGATTTTTGTCATTTATGCAACGTTACACGTTATACTGCATGTATTCAAAAGAAATTGGAGGAAATGAAACAACTTTTGAGAAATATAGTCTTTTCTTTGAAAACAGGAAAATTTTAAAAGCACATCAACTAAGATCTAATATCTATTTCGTGAAGCATTAAATATATTTTTCAATATCTAGCATACAACAAAGTTATTCTTACTAGGATTGATCATTTATTTGACGTACACTATACGGAACTTTAAAATTAAAAATTTTATTCTTTGAAGTTTTGTATTAAGTACTGAAGAAACAAATATTGTAATTTTCAATAACTTTGTTTTAGCTCCACCAGTCATTGAATTCACTCGACCTGTTTACGAAGTATTAGAGAGTAAAGATTCTGTTGCCGTTGGAATATCTGTTACAAATGGAAATGTTACTAGACCAGTCACTGTTAGGTTGGCAAACTCTAATATTTATGATGGTTATAAACAATATCATCGTCTTTGCTGTTTAATCTATGAACACAAACTGTTGTCTATTTTTTAGAATCTTCTCTAGTTTCGGCACAGCAAGCACAGACGATTTCGTTGGTATTGATAAAGAAATTACATTTCAACCTGGTGAAATTGGACCAAAAGTTGTTCAGATTAATCTTGTGAATGATAGACATGATGAACCAACCGAAGAATTTAGGGTTTCACTTGCGTCAAATTCAAGAGTAATTTTAGGAAATTCTTCTAAAGTTAAAATATTAGACGATGATGGTGAGTTAGTTAAGATTTTTATCATTTATGCAACGTTACACGTTATACTGCATGTATTCAAAAGAAATTGGAGGAAATGAAACAACTTTTGAGAAATATAGTCTTTTCTTTGAAAACAGGAAAATTTTAAAAGCACATCAACTAAGATCTAATATCTATTTCGTGAAGCATTAAATATATTTTTCAATATCTAGCATACAACAAAGTTATTCTTACTAGGATTGATCATTTATTTGACGTACACTATACGGAACTTTAAAATTAAAAATTTTATTCTTTGAAGTTTTGTATTAAGTACTGAAGAAACAAATATTGTAATTTTCAATAACTTTGTTTTAGCTCCACCAGTCATTGAATTCACTCGACCTGTTTACGAAGTATTAGAGAGTAAAGATTCTGTTGCCGTTGGAATATCTGTTACAAATGGAAATGTTACTAGACCAGTCACTGTTAGGTTGGCAAACTCTAATATTTATGATGGTTATAAACAATATCATCGTCTTTGCTGTTTAATCTATGAACACAAACTGTTGTCTATTTTTTAGAATCTTCTCTAGTTTCGGCACAGCAAGCACAGACGATTTCGTTGGTATTGATAAAGAAATTACATTTCAACCTGGTGAAATTGGACCAAAAGTTGTTCAGATTAATCTTGTGAATGATAGACATGATGAACCAACCGAAGAATTTAGGGTTTCACTTGCGTCAAATTCAAGAGTAATTTTAGGAAATTCTTCTAAAGTTAAAATATTAGACGATGATGGTGAGTTAGTTAAGATTTTTATCATTTATGCAGCGTTACACGTTATACTGCATGTATTCAAAGAAAAGGAAATGAAACAACTTTTGAGAAATATAGTCTTTTTCTTTGAAAACAGGAAAATTTTAAAAGCACATCATCTAAGATCTAATATCTATTTCGTGAAGCATTAAATATATTTTTCAATATCTAGCATACAACAAAGTTATTCTTACTAGGATTGATCATTTATTTGACGTACACTATACGGAACTTTAAAATTAAAAATTTTATTCTTTGAAGTTTTGTATTAAGTACTGAAGAAACAAATATTGTAATTTTCAATAACTTTGTTTTAGCTCCACCAGTCATTGAATTCACTCGACCTGTTTACGAAGTATTAGAGAGTAAAGATTCTGTTGCCGTTGGAATATCTGTTACAAATGGAAATGTTACTAGACCAGTCACTGTTAGGTTGGCAAACTCTAATATTTATGATGGTTATAAACAATATCATCGTCTTTGCTGTTTAATCTATGAACACAAACTGTTGTCTATTTTTTAGAATCTTCTCTAGTTTCGGCACAGCAAGCACAGACGATTTCGTTGGTATTGATAAAGAAATTACATTTCAACCTGGTGAAATTGGACCAAAAGTTGTTCAGATTAATCTTGTGAATGATAGACATGATGAACCAACCGAAGAATTTAGGGTTTCACTTTCGTCAAATTCAAGAGTAATTTTAGGAAATTCTTCTAAAGTTAAAATATTAGACGATGATGGTGAGTTAGTTAAGATTTTTGTCATTTATGCAACGTTACACGTTACTGCATGCATGTATTCAAAGAAATTGGAGGAAATGAAACAACTTTTGAGAAATATAGTCTTTTCTTTGAAAACAGGAAAATTTTAAAAGCACATCAACTAAAATCTAATATGTATTTCGTGAAGCATTAAATATATTTTTCAATATCTAGCATACAACAAAGTTATTCTTACTAGGATTGATCATTTATTTGACGTACACTATACGGAACTTTAAAATTAAAAATTTTATTCTTTGAAGTTTTGTATTAAGTACTGAAGAAACAAATATTGTAATTTTCAATAACTTTGTTTTAGCTCCACCAGTCATTGAATTCACTCGACCTGTTTACGAAGTATTAGAGAGTAAAGATTCTGTTGCCGTTGGAATATCTGTTACAAATGGAAATGTTACTAGACCAGTCACTGTTAGGTTGGCAAACTCTAATATTTATGATGGTTATAAACAATATCATCGTCTTTGCTGTTTAATCTATGAACACAAACTGTTGTCTATTTTTTAGAATCTTCTCTAGTTTCGGCACAGCAAGCACAGACGATTTCGTTGGTATTGATAAAGAAATTACATTTCAACCTGGTGAAATTGGACCAAAAGTTGTTCAGATTAATCTTGTGAATGATAGACATGATGAACCAACCGAAGAATTTAGGGTTTCACTTTCGTCAAATTCAAGAGTAATTTTAGGAAATTCTTCTAAAGTTAAAATATTAGACGATGATGGTGAGTTAGTTAAGATTTTTATCATTTATGCAACGTTACACGTTATACTGCATGTATTCAAGAGAAATTGGAGGAAATGAAACAACTTTTGAGAAATATAGTCTTTTCTTTGAAAACAGGAAAATTTTAAAAGCACATCAACTAAAATCTAATATCTATTTCGTGAAGCATTAAATATATTTTTCAATATCTAGCATACAACAAAGTTATTCTTACTAGGATTGATCATTTATTTGACGTACACTATACGGAACTTTAAAATTAAAAATTTTATTCTTTGAAGTTTTGTATTAAGTACTGAAGAAACAAATATTGTAATTTTCAATAACTTTGTTTTAGCTCCACCAGTCATTGAATTCACTCGACCTGTTTACGAAGTATTAGAGAGTAAAGATTCTGTTGCCGTTGGAATATCTGTTACAAATGGAAATGTTACTAGACCAGTCACTGTTAGGTTGGCAAACTCTAATATTTATGATGGTTATAAACAATATCATCGTCTTTGCTGTTTAATCTATGAACACAAACTGTTGTCTATTTTTTAGAATCTTCTCTAGTTTCGGCACAGCAAGCACAGACGATTTCGTTGGTATTGATAAAGAAATTACATTTCAACCTGGTGAAATTGGACCAAAAGTTGTTCAGATTAATCTTGTGAATGATAGACATGATGAACCAACCGAAGAATTTAGGGTTTCACTTGCGTCAAATTCAAGAGTAATTTTAGGAAATTCTTCTAAAGTTAAAATATTAGACGATGATGGTGAGTTAGTTAAGATTTTGTCATTTATGCAACGTTACACGTTATACTGCATGTATTCAAAAGAAATTGGAGGAAATGAAACAACTTTTGAGAAATATAGTCTTTTCTTTGAAAACAGGAAAATTTTAAAAGCACATCAACTAAGATCTAATATCTATTTCGTGAAGCATTAAATATATTTTTCAATATCTAGCATACAACAAAGTTATTCTTACTAGGATTGATCATTTATTTGATACTATAAAAAAAAAATTTTATTCTTTGAAGTTTTGTATTAAGTACTGAAGAAACAAATATTGTAATTTTCAATAACTTTGTTTTAGCTCCACCAGTCATTGAATTCACTCGACCTGTTTACGAAGTATTAGAGAGTAAAGATTCTGTTGCCGTTGGAATATCTGTTACAAATGGAAATGTTACTAGACCAGTCACTGTTAGGTTGGCAAACTCTAATATTTATGATGGTTATAAACAATATCATCGTCTTTGCTGTTTAATCTATGAACACAAACTGTTGTCTATTTTTTAGAATCTTCTCTAGTTTCGGCACAGCAAGCACAGACGATTTCGTTGGTATTGATAAAGAAATTACATTTCAACCTGGTGAAATTGGACCAAAAGTTGTTCAGATTAATCTTGTGAATGATAGACATGATGAACCAACCGAAGAATTTAGGGTTTCACTTGCGTCAAATTCAAGAGTAATTTTAGGAAATTCTTCTAAAGTTAAAATATTAGACGATGATGGTGAGTTAGTTAAGATTTTTGTCATTTATGCAACGTTACACGTTATACTGCATGTATTCAAAAGAAATTGGAGGGAAATGAAACAACTTTTGAGAAATATAGTCTTTTTCTTTGAAAACAGGAAAATTTTAAAAGCACATCAACTAAGATTTAATATCTATTTCATGAAGCATTAAATATATTTTTTAATATCTAGCATACAACAAAGTTATTCTTACTAGGATTGATCATTTATTTGACGGAACTTTAAAATTAAAAATTTTATTCTTTGAAGTTTTGTATTAAGTACTGAAGAAACAAATATTGTAATTTTCAATAACTTTGTTTTAGCTCCACCAGTCATTGAATTCACTCGACCTGTTTACGAAGTATTAGAGAGTAAAGATTCTGTTGCCGTTGGAATATCTGTTACAAATGGAAATGTTACTAGACCAGTCACTGTTAGGTTGGCAAACTCTAATATTTATGATGGTTATAAACAATATCATCGTCTTTGCTGTTTAATCTATGAACACAAACTGTTGTCTATTTTTTAGAATCTTCTCTAGTTTCGGCACAGCAAGCACAGACGATTTCGTTGGTATTGATAAAGAAATTACATTTCAACCTGGTGAAATTGGACCAAAAGTTGTTCAGATTAATCTTGTGAATGATAGACATGATGAACCAACCGAAGAATTTAGGGTTTCACTTTCGTCAAATTCAAGAGTAATTTTAGGAAATTCTTCTCAAGTTAAAATATTAGACGATGATGGTGAGTTAGTTAAGATTTTTGTCATTTATGCAACGTTACACGTTATACTGCATGTATTCAAAAGAAATTGGAGGGAAATGAAACAACTTTTGAGAAATATAGTCTTTTTCTTTGAAAACAGGAAAATTTTAAAAGCACATCAACTAAGATCTAATATCTATTTCGTGAAGCATTAAATATATTTTTCAATATCTAGCATACAACAAAGTTATTCTTACTAGGATTGATCATTTATTTGACGTACACTATACGGAACTTTAAAATTAAAAATTTTATTCTTTGAAGTTTTGTATTAAGTACTGAAGAAACAAATATTGTAATTTTCAATAACTTTGTTTTAGCTCCACCAGTCATTGAATTCACTCGACCTGTTTACGAAATATTAGAGAGTAAAGATTCTGTTGCCGTTGGAATATCTGTTACAAATGGAAATGTTACTAGACCAGTCACTGTTAGGTTGGCAAACTCTAATATTTATGATGGTTATAAACAATATCATCGTCTTTGCTGTTTAATCTATGAACACAAACTGTTGTCTATTTTTTAGAATCTTCTCTAGTTTCGGCACAGCAAGCACAGACGATTTCGTTGGTATTGATAAAGAAATTACATTTCAACCTGGTGAAATTGGACCAAAAGTTGTTCAGATTAATCTTGTGAATGATAGACATGATGAACCAACCGAAGAATTTAGGGTTTCACTTGCGTCAAATTCAAGAGTAATTTTAGGAAATTCTTCTAAAGTTAAAATATTAGACGATGATGGTGAGTTAGTTAAGATTTTTATCATTTATGCAACGTTACACGTTATACTGCATGTATTCAAAAGAAATTGGAGGAAATGAAACAACTTTTGAGAAATATAGTCTTTTTCTTTGAAAACAGGAAAATTTTAAAAGCACATCAACTAAAATCTAATATGTATTTCGTGAAGCATTAAATATATTTTTCAATATCTAGCATACAACAAAGTTATTCTTACTAGGATTGATCATTTATTTGACGTACACTATACGGAACTTTAAAATTAAAAATTTTATTCTTTGAAGTTTTGTATTAAGTACTGAAGAAACAAATATTGTAATTTTCAATAACTTTGTTTTAGCTCCACCAGTCATTGAATTCACTCGACCTGTTTACGAAGTATTAGAGAGTAAAGATTCTGTTGCCGTTGGAATATCTGTTACAAATGGAAATGTTACTAGACCAGTCACTGTTAGGTTGGCAAACTCTAATATTTATGATGGTTATAAACAATATCATCGTCTTTGCTGTTTAATCTATGAACACAAACTGTTGTCTATTTTTTAGAATCTTCTCTAGTTTCGGCACAGCAAGCACAGACGATTTCGTTGGTATTGATAAAGAAATTACATTTCAACCTGGTGAAATTGGACCAAAAGTTGTTCAGATTAATCTTGTGAATGATAGACATGATGAACCAACCGAAGAATTTAGGGTTTCACTTTCGTCAAATTCAAGAGTAATTTTAGGAAATTCTTCTAAAGTTAAAATATTAGACGATGATGGTGAGTTAGTTAAGATTTTTGTCATTTATGCAACGTTACACGTTATACTGCATGTATTCAAGAAATTGGAAAGGAAATGAAACAACTTTTGAGAAATATAGTCTTTTTCTTTGAAAACAGGAAAATTTTAAAAGCACATCAACTAAAATCTAATATGTATTTCGTGAAGCATTAAATATATTTTTCAATATCTAGCATACAACAAAGTTATTCTTACTAGGATTGATCATTTATTTGACGTACACTATACGGAACTTTAAAATTAAAAATTTTATTCTTTGAAGTTTTGTATTAAGTACTGAAGAAACAAATATTGTAATTTTCAATAACTTTGTTTTAGCTCCACCAGTCATTGAATTCACTCGACCTGTTTACGAAGTATTAGAGAGTAAAGATTCTGTTGCCGTTGGAATATCTGTTACAAATGGAAATGTTACTAGACCAGTCACTGTTAGGTTGGCAAACTCTAATATTTATGATGGTTATAAACAATATCATCGTCTTTGCTGTTTAATCTATGAACACAAACTGTTGTCTATTTTTTAGAATCTTCTCTAGTTTCGGCACAGCAAGCACAGACGATTTCGTTGGTATTGATAAAGAAATTACATTTCAACCTGGTGAAATTGGACCAAAAGTTGTTCAGATTAATCTTGTGAATGATAGACATGATGAACCAACCGAAGAATTTAGGGTTTCACTTTCGTCAAATTCAAGAGTAATTTTAGGAAATTCTTCTAAAGTTAAAATATTAGACGATGATGGTGAGTTAGTTAAGATTTTTGTCATTTATGCAACGTTACACGTTATACTGCATGCATGTATTCAAAAGAAATTGGAAGGAAATGAAACAACTTTTGAGAAATATAGTCTTTTCTTTGAAAACAGGAAAATTTTAAAAGCACATCAACTAAAATCTAATATGTATTTCGTGAAGCATTAAATATATTTTTCAATATCTAGCATACAACAAAGTTATTCTTACTAGGATTGATCATTTATTTGACGTACACTATACGGAACTTTAAAATTAAAATTTTATTCTTTGAAGTTTTGTATTAAGTACTGAAGAAACAAATATTGTAATTTTCAATAACTTTGTTTTAGCTCCACCAGTCATTGAATTCACTCGACCTGTTTACGAAGTATTAGAGAGTAAAGATTCTGTTGCCGTTGGAATATCTGTTACAAATGGAAATGTTACTAGACCAGTCACTGTTAGGTTGGCAAACTCTAATATTTATGATGGTTATAAACAATATCATCGTCTTTGCTGTTTAATCTATGAACACAAACTGTTGTCTATTTTTTAGAATCTTCTCTAGTTTCGGCACAGCAAGCACAGACGATTTCGTTGGTATTGATAAAGAAATTACATTTCAACCTGGTGAAATTGGACCAAAAGTTGTTCAGATTAATCTTGTGAATGATAGACATGATGAACCAACCGAAGAATTTAGGGTTTCACTTTCGTCAAATTCAAGAGTAATTTTAGGAAATTCTTCTCAAGTTAAAATATTAGACGATGATGGTGAGTTAGTTAAGATTTTTGTCATTTATGCAACGTTACACGTTATACTGCATGTATTCAAGAGAAATTGGAAAGGAAATGAAACAACTTTTGAGAAATATAGTCTTTTTCTTTGAAAACAGGAAAATTTTAAAAGCACATCAACTAAAATCTAATATGTATTTCGTGAAGCATTAAATATATTTTTCAATATCTAGCATACAACAAAGTTATTCTTACTAGGATTGATCATTTATTTGACGTACACTATACGGAACTTTAAAATTAAAAATTTTATTCTTTGAAGTTTTGTATTAAGTACTGAAGAAACAAATATTGTAATTTTCAATAACTTTGTTTTAGCTCCACCAGTCATTGAATTCACTCGACCTGTTTACGAAGTATTAGAGAGTAAAGATTCTGTTGCCGTTGGAATATCTGTTACAAATGGAAATGTTACTAGACCAGTCACTGTTAGGTTGGCAAACTCTAATATTTATGATGGTTATAAACAATATCATCGTCTTTGCTGTTTAATCTATGAACACAAACTGTTGTCTATTTTTAGAATCTAGTTTCGGCACAGCAAGCACAGACGATTTCGTTGGTATTGATAAAGAAATTACATTTCAACCTGGTGAAATTGGACCAAAAGTTGTTCAGATTAATCTTGTGAATGATAGACATGATGAACCAACCGAAGAATTTAGGGTTTCACTTGCGTCAAATTCAAGAGTAATTTTAGGAAATTCTTCTAAAGTTAAAATATTAGACGATGATGGTGAGTTAGTTAAGATTTTTGTCATTTATGCAACGTTACACGTTATACTGCATGTATTCAAGAGAAATTGGAAAGGAAATGAAACAACTTTTGAGAAATATAGTCTTTTTCTTTGAAAACAGGAAAATTTTAAAAGCACATCAACTAAGATTTAATATGTATTTCGTGAAGCATTAAATATATTTTCAATATCTAGCATACAACAAAGTTATTCTTACTAGGATTGATCATTTATTTATACACTATACGGAACTTTAAAATTAAAAATTTTATTCTTTGAAGTTTTGTATTAAGTACTGAAGAAACAAATATTGTAATTTTCAATAACTTTGTTTTAGCTCCACCAGTCATTGAATTCACTCGACCTGTTTACGAAGTATTAGAGAGTAAAGATTCTGTTGCCGTTGGAATATCTGTTACAAATGGAAATGTTACTAGACCAGTCACTGTTAGGTTGGCAAACTCTAATATTTATGATGGTTATAAACAATATCATCGTCTTTGCTGTTTAATCTATGAACACAAACTGTTGTCTATTTTTTAGAATCTTCTCTAGTTTCGGCACAGCAAGCACAGACGATTTCGTTGGTATTGATAAAGAAATTACATTTCAACCTGGTGAAATTGGACCAAAAGTTGTTCAGATTAATCTTGTGAATGATAGACATGATGAACCAACCGAAGAATTTAGGGTTTCACTTGCGTCAAATTCAAGAGTAATTTTAGGAAATTCTTCTCAAGTTAAAATATTAGACGATGATGGTGAGTTAGTTAAGATTTTTGTCATTTATGCAACGTTACACGTTATACTGCATGTATTCAAAAGAAATTGGAGGGAAATGAAACAACTTTTGAGAAATATAGTCTTTTTCTTTGAAAACAGGAAAATTTTAAAAGCACATCAACTAAGATCTAATATCTATTTCGTGAAGCATTAAATATATTTTTCAATATCTAGCATACAACAAAGTTATTCTTACTAGGATTGATCATTTATTTGACGTACACTATACGGAACTTTAAAATTAAAAATTTTATTCTTTGAAGTTTTGTATTAAGTACTGAAGAAACAAATATTGTAATTTTCAATAACTTTGTTTTAGCTCCACCAGTCATTGAATTCACTCGACCTGTTTACGAAGTATTAGAGAGTAAAGATTCTGTTGCCGTTGGAATATCTGTTACAAATGGAAATGTTACTAGACCAGTCACTGTTAGGTTGGCAAACTCTAATATTTATGATGGTTATAAACAATATCATCGTCTTTGCTGTTTAATCTATGAACACAAACTGTTGTCTATTTTTTAGAATCTTCTCTAGTTTCGGCACAGCAAGCACAGACGATTTCGTTGGTATTGATAAAGAAATTACATTTCAACCTGGTGAAATTGGACCAAAAGTTGTTCAGATTAATCTTGTGAATGATAGACATGATGAACCAACCGAAGAATTTAGGGTTTCACTTGCGTCAAATTCAAGAGTAATTTTAGGAAATTCTTCTAAAGTTAAAATATTAGACGATGATGGTGAGTTAGTTAAGATTTTTATCATTTATGCAACGTTACACGTTATACTGCATGTATTCAAAAGAAATTGGAGGAAATGAAACAACTTTTGAGAAATATAGTCTTTTCTTTGAAAACAGGAAAATTTTAAAAGCACATCAACTAAGATCTAATATGTATTTCGTGAAGCATTAAATATATTTTCAATATCTAGCATACAACAAAGTTATTCTTACTAGGATTGATCATTTATTTGACGTACACTATACGGAACTTTAAAATTAAAAATTTTATTCTTTGAAGTTTTGTATTAAGTACTGAAGAAACAAATATTGTAATTTTCAATAACTTTGTTTTAGCTCCACCAGTCATTGAATTCACTCGACCTGTTTACGAAGTATTAGAGAGTAAAGATTCTGTTGCCGTTGGAATATCTGTTACAAATGGAAATGTTACTAGACCAGTCACTGTTAGGTTGGCAAACTCTAATATTTATGATGGTTATAAACAATATCATCGTCTTTGCTGTTTAATCTATGAACACAAACTGTTGTCTATTTTTTAGAATCTTCTCTAGTTTCGGCACAGCAAGCACAGACGATTTCGTTGGTATTGATAAAGAAATTACATTTCAACCTGGTGAAATTGGACCAAAAGTTGTTCAGATTAATCTTGTGAATGATAGACATGATGAACCAACCGAAGAATTTAGGGTTTCACTTTCGTCAAATTCAAGAGTAATTTTAGGAAATTCTTCTAAAGTTAAAATATTAGACGATGATGGTGAGTTAGTTAAGATTTTTGTCATTTATGCAACGTTACACGTTATACTGCATGTATTCAAAAGAAATTGGAGGAAATGAAACAACTTTTGAGAAATATAGTCTTTTCTTTGAAAACAGGAAAATTTTAAAAGCACATCAACTAAAATCTAATATGTATTTCGTGAAGCATTAAATATATTTTCAATATCTAGCATACAACAAAGTTATTCTTACTAGGATTGATCATTTATTTGACGTACACTATACGGAACTTTAAAATTAAAAATTTTATTCTTTGAAGTTTTGTATTAAGTACTGAAGAAACAAATATTGTAATTTTCAATAACTTTGTTTTAGCTCCACCAGTCATTGAATTCACTCGACCTGTTTACGAAGTATTAGAGAGTAAAGATTCTGTTGCCGTTGGAATATCTGTTACAAATGGAAATGTTACTAGACCAGTCACTGTTAGGTTGGCAAACTCTAATATTTATGATGGTTATAAACAATATCATCGTCTTTGCTGTTTAATCTATGAACACAAACTGTTGTCTATTTTTTAGAATCTTCTCTAGTTTCGGCACAGCAAGCACAGACGATTTCGTTGGTATTGATAAAGAAATTACATTTCAACCTGGTGAAATTGGACCAAAAGTTGTTCAGATTAATCTTGTGAATGATAGACATGATGAACCAACCGAAGAATTTAGGGTTTCACTTTCGTCAAATTCAAGAGTAATTTTAGGAAATTCTTCTAAAGTTAAAATATTAGACGATGATGGTGAGTTAGTTAAGATTTTTATCATTTATGCAACGTTACACGTTATACTGCATGTATTCAAAAGAAATTGGAAGGAAATGAAACAACTTTTGAGAAATATAGTCTTTTCTTTGAAAACAGGAAAATTTTAAAAGCACATCAACTAAAGATCTAATATCTATTTCGTGAAGCATTAAATATATTTTTCAATATCTAGCATACAACAAAGTTATTCTTACTAGGATTGATCATTTATTTGACGTACACTATACGGAACTTTAAAATTAAAAATTTTATTCTTTGAAGTTTTGTATTAAGTACTGAAGAAACAAATATTGTAATTTTCAATAACTTTGTTTTAGCTCCACCAGTCATTGAATTCACTCGACCTGTTTACGAAGTATTAGAGAGTAAAGATTCTGTTGCCGTTGGAATATCTGTTACAAATGGAAATGTTACTAGACCAGTCACTGTTAGGTTGGCAAACTCTAATATTTATGATGGTTATAAACAATATCATCGTCTTTGCTGTTTAATCTATGAACACAAACTGTTGTCTATTTTTTAGAATCTTCTCTAGTTTCGGCACAGCAAGCACAGACGATTTCGTTGGTATTGATAAAGAAATTACATTTCAACCTGGTGAAATTGGACCAAAAGTTGTTCAGATTAATCTTGTGAATGATAGACATGATGAACCAACCGAAGAATTTAGGGTTTCACTTTCGTCAAATTCAAGAGTAATTTTAGGAAATTCTTCTAAAGTTAAAATATTAGACGATGATGGTGAGTTAGTTAAGATTTTTGTCATTTATGCAACGTTACACGTTATACTGCATGTATTCAAAAGAAATTGGAGGAAATGAAACAACTTTTGAGAAATATAGTCTTTTCTTTGAAAACAGGAAAATTTTAAAAGCACATCAACTAAAATCTAATATGTATTTCGTGAAGCATTAAATATATTTTCAATATCTAGCATACAACAAAGTTATTCTTACTAGGATTGATCATTTATTTGACGTACACTATACGGAACTTTAAAATTAAAAATTTTATTCTTTGAAGTTTTGTATTAAGTACTGAAGAAACAAATATTGTAATTTTCAATAACTTTGTTTTAGCTCCACCAGTCATTGAATTCACTCGACCTGTTTACGAAGTATTAGAGAGTAAAGATTCTGTTGCCGTTGGAATATCTGTTACAAATGGAAATGTTACTAGACCAGTCACTGTTAGGTTGGCAAACTCTAATATTTATGATGGTTATAAACAATATCATCGTCTTTGCTGTTTAATCTATGAACACAAACTGTTGTCTATTTTTTAGAATCTTCTCTAGTTTCGGCACAGCAAGCACAGACGATTTCGTTGGTATTGATAAAGAAATTACATTTCAACCTGGTGAAATTGGACCAAAAGTTGTTCAGATTAATCTTGTGAATGATAGACATGATGAACCAACCGAAGAATTTAGGGTTTCACTTGCGTCAAATTCAAGAGTAATTTTAGGAAATTCTTCTAAAGTTAAAATATTAGACGATGATGGTGAGTTAGTTAAGATTTTTGTCATTTATGCAACGTTACACGTTATACTGCATGTATTCAAAAGAAATTGGAGGGAAATGAAACAACTTTTGAGAAATATAGTCTTTTTCTTTGAAAACAGGAAAATTTTAAAAGCACATCAACTAAGATCTAATATGTATTTCGTGAAGCATTAAATATATTTTTCAATATCTAGCATACAACAAAGTTATTCTTACTAGGATTGATCATTTATTTGACGTACACTATACGGAACTTTAAAATTAAAAATTTTATTCTTTGAAGTTTTGTATTAAGTACTGAAGAAACAAATATTGTAATTTTCAATAACTTTGTTTTAGCTCCACCAGTCATTGAATTCACTCGACCTGTTTACGAAGTATTAGAGAGTAAAGATTCTGTTGCCGTTGGAATATCTGTTACAAATGGAAATGTTACTAGACCAGTCACTGTTAGGTTGGCAAACTCTAATATTTATGATGGTTATAAACAATATCATCGTCTTTGCTGTTTAATCTATGAACACAAACTGTTGTCTATTTTTTAGAATCTTCTCTAGTTTCGGCACAGCAAGCACAGACGATTTCGTTGGTATTGATAAAGAAATTACATTTCAACCTGGTGAAATTGGACCAAAAGTTGTTCAGATTAATCTTGTGAATGATAGACATGATGAACCAACCGAAGAATTTAGGGTTTCACTTGCGTCAAATTCAAGAGTAATTTTAGGAAATTCTTCTAAAGTTAAAATATTAGACGATGATGGTGAGTTAGTTAAGATTTTTATCATTTATGCAACGTTACACGTTATACTGCATGTATTCAAAAGAAATTGGAGGAAATGAAACAACTTTTGAGAAATATAGTCTTTTCTTTGAAAACAGGAAAATTTTAAAAGCACATCAACTAAGATCTAATATCTATTTCGTGAAGCATTAAATATATTTTTCAATATCTAGCATACAACAAAGTTATTCTTACTAGGATTGATCATTTATTTGACGTACACTATACGGAACTTTAAAATTAAAAATTTTATTCTTTGAAGTTTTGTATTAAGTACTGAAGAAACAAATATTGTAATTTTCAATAACTTTGTTTTAGCTCCACCAGTCATTGAATTCACTCGACCTGTTTACGAAGTATTAGAGAGTAAAGATTCTGTTGCCGTTGGAATATCTGTTACAAATGGAAATGTTACTAGACCAGTCACTGTTAGGTTGGCAAACTCTAATATTTATGATGGTTATAAACAATATCATCGTCTTTGCTGTTTAATCTATGAACACAAACTGTTGTCTATTTTTTAGAATCTTCTCTAGTTTCGGCACAGCAAGCACAGACGATTTCGTTGGTATTGATAAAGAAATTACATTTCAACCTGGTGAAATTGGACCAAAAGTTGTTCAGATTAATCTTGTGAATGATAGACATGATGAACCAACCGAAGAATTTAGGGTTTCACTTCGTCAAATTCAAGAGTAATTTTAGGAAATTCTTCTAAAGTTAAAATATTAGACGATGATGGTGAGTTAGTTAAGATTTTTGTCATTTATGCAACGTTACACGTTATACTGCATGTATTCAAAAGAAATTGGAGGAAATGAAACAACTTTTGAGAAATATAGTCTTTTCTTTGAAAACAGGAAAATTTTAAAAGCACATCAACTAAGATCTAATATCTATTTCGTGAAGCATTAAATATATTTTTCAATATCTAGCATACAACAAAGTTATTCTTACTAGGATTGATCATTTATTTGACGTACACTATACGGAACTTTAAAATTAAAAATTTTATTCTTTGAAGTTTTGTATTAAGTACTGAAGAAACAAATATTGTAATTTTCAATAACTTTGTTTTAGCTCCACCAGTCATTGAATTCACTCGACCTGTTTACGAAGTATTAGAGAGTAAAGATTCTGTTGCCGTTGGAATATCTGTTACAAATGGAAATGTTACTAGACCAGTCACTGTTAGGTTGGCAAACTCTAATATTTATGATGGTTATAAACAATATCATCGTCTTTGCTGTTTAATCTATGAACACAAACTGTTGTCTATTTTTTAGAATCTTCTCTAGTTTCGGCACAGCAAGCACAGACGATTTCGTTGGTATTGATAAAGAAATTACATTTCAACCTGGTGAAATTGGACCAAAAGTTGTTCAGATTAATCTTGTGAATGATAGACATGATGAACCAACCGAAGAATTTAGGGTTTCACTTGCGTCAAATTCAAGAGTAATTTTAGGAAATTCTTCTAAAGTTAAAATATTAGACGATGATGGTGAGTTAGTTAAGATTTTTATCATTTATGCAGCGTTACACGTTATACTGCATGTATTCAAAAGAAATTGGAGGGAAATGAAACAACTTTTGAGAAATATAGTCTTTTTCTTTGAAAACAGGAAAATTTTAAAAGCACATCAACTAAGATTTAATATCTATTTCGTGAAGCATTAAATATATTTTTCAATATCTAGCATACAACAAAGTTATTCTTACTAGGATTGATCATTTATTTGACGTACACTATACGGAACTTTAAAATTAAAAATTTTATTCTTTGAAGTTTTGTATTAAGTACTGAAGAAACAAATATTGTAATTTTCAATAACTTTGTTTTAGCTCCACCAGTCATTGAATTCACTCGACCTGTTTACGAAGTATTAGAGAGTAAAGATTCTGTTGCCGTTGGAATATCTGTTACAAATGGAAATGTTACTAGACCAGTCACTGTTAGGTTGGCAAACTCTAATATTTATGATGGTTATAAACAATATCATCGTCTTTGCTGTTTAATCTATGAACACAAACTGTTGTTTATTTTTTAGAATCTTCTCTAGTTTCGGCACAGCAAGCACAGACGATTTCGTTGGTATTGATAAAGAAATTACATTTCAACCTGGTGAAATTGGACCAAAAGTTGTTCAGATTAATCTTGTGAATGATAGACATGATGAACCAACCGAAGAATTTAGGGTTTCACTTGCGTCAAATTCAAGAGTAATTTTAGGAAATTCTTCTAAAGTTAAAATATTAGACGATGATGGTGAGTTAGTTAAGATTTTTGTCATTTATGCAACGTTACACGTTATACTGCATGTATTCAAAAGAAATTGGAGGGAAATGAAACAACTTTTGAGAAATATAGTCTTTTTCTTTGAAAACAGGAAAATTTTAAAAGCACATCAACTAAGATTTAATATCTATTTCGTGAAGCATTAAATATATTTTTCAATATCTAGCATACAACAAAGTTATTCTTACTAGGATTGATCATTTATTTGACGTACACTATACGGAACTTTAAAATTAAAATTTTATTCTTTGAAGTTTTGTATTAAGTACTGAAGAAACAAATATTGTAATTTTCAATAACTTTGTTTTAGCTCCACCAGTCATTGAATTCACTCGACCTGTTTACGAAGTATTAGAGAGTAAAGATTCTGTTGCCGTTGGAATATCTGTTACAAATGGAAATGTTACTAGACCAGTCACTGTTAGGTTGGCAAACTCTAATATTTATGATGGTTATAAACAATATCAACGTATTTGCTGTTTAATCGATGAACACAAACTGTTGTTTATTTTTTAGAATCTTCTCTAGTTTCGGCACAGCAAGCACAGACGATTTCGTTGGTATTGATAAAGAAATTACATTTCAACCTGGTGAAATTGGACCAAAACTTGTTCAGATTAATCTTGTGAATGATAGACATGATGAACCAAACGAAGAATTTAGGGTTTCACTTGCGTCAAATTCAAGATTAATTTTAGGAAATTCTTCTAAAGTTAAAATATTAGACGATGATGGTGAGTTAGTTAAGATTTCTATCATTTATGCAGCGTTACACGTTATACTGCATGTATTCATAAGAAATTTGAGGGAAGTGAAACAACTTTTGAGAAATATAGTCTTTTTCTTTGAAAACAGGAAAATTTTAAAAGCACATCAACTAAGATTTAATATCTATTTCATGAAGCATTAAATATATTTTTCAATATCTAGCATACAACAAAGTTATTCTTACTAAGATTGATCATTTATTTGACGTACACTATACGGAACTTTAAAATTAAAAATTTTATTCTTTGAAGTTTTGTATTAAGTACTGAAGAAACAAATATTGTAATTTTCAATAACTTTGTTTTAGCTCCACCAGTCATTGAATTCACTCGACCTGTTTACGAAGTATTAGAGAGTGAAAATTCTGTTGCCGTTGGAATATCTGTTACTAAAGGAAACGTCACTCGACCAGTCTCTGTTAGGTTAGAAAACTCTTACATTTGTGATGGTTACATATTTTATGAACGTGTTTGCTGTTTGCTTAGTAAAGACGTTCTGTTTTTTATGTTTTAATAATAATATTTTAAAATATTACCACGTATATATATGAATACCATTTAAGAGCTTCCTTCACACTTAAAAATAACAAATAGTGTTTCATAAACTGTGTTTTAATATTACACTTCACATTCTTTACTTAATTAAACTATTTAGCTGGTAGAAATTAATTTAGTTAATTAAGGAATATTGTTTTTATTTTCAATTACTTTTTATGTATTTGCAATACATATAATTAGTTTCTCATTCTGTAGAATAATTCCAAAGTCACAATCCGCTGGTGAGAATGATTTTGAAAATGTTCCTCAAGAAGTTACTTTTCAACCTGGTGAAACTGGACCAAAATTTGTTGATATCGTTTTGATAAATGATGGGAACGTTGAACCAATAGAAGAATTTATTGTTTCTCTTGCATCCAATTCAAGTGTAATTCTTGGAAATTCTTCATCAGTGAATATACATGATGATGATGGTCAGTGACTTGTGTTTTTCATGTAACTTATTATTTCAATTCTTTTTTTCTATTGCACACGTAGAAAGCTTCAGTTTGTTTTTGTTTTTTTCATATCCAGCCTCGTGCAGGAGAATGGACATCGGTTTTCTACTTGATTCAACAGCTAGTATGCGAAACTTTAAGAAAGAAAAAGAATTTGTAAAAGACATAGTTAGTTACTTCAACATTTCACAAGAGTTTACCAGGGTCAGTACTATACAATATGGAGCTCGCAATGTCTTAACACGTAAATTCAATGAGACAAAATCACTAGAAGATTTCCAAAAACAAATTGACAGTCTTCAATTGAAAGGAGGTAGTGCAAGATTAGGAGAAGCGATGTATTTGGCTGCTTTATCAATGTTTACGGTGAAATCTGGTATGCGTCCTCATGTTCCCAAGATCCTTGTCGTCCTTAGCAATGGCTCAGAAAAGGTCGCCACACAATTTGCCAAAATTAATAAGTCTATGTTGTACAAGAATAAAGTCAGAGTCATTGCCGTTGGAATTGGTGAGGCAGACTTAAAAACACTGTCTCAATTTGTATCATCTCCAAAAGATTTGATCATTGTCGATAAGTTTCAGGATGCGACGGAAAATCTTGTGGCTTTATTGAATCGGGCTTGTATATCAGGTTTTGGTAAGTTGAAGGTGCCTAGCCTGCAAGAGCCTTAAGACGTAAACAAGGAAACTTTTTGTTAGAAGAGTATTTTAGAGTATTTTATAATAAAATTGGGATTGTTTCAGAAAATTGGGAAAATTGAATGAGCTCTTCAATGTTTTTGGCCACAATTAATACCTACCGTGTTTTAAGTCTTAGAGAATTCAACTTGTTGGATTACGACCATGGCCTAAGATGGTGTTTATCAGCGTTTATTGAAAGACAAAAAATAGTGTTTAAAATGAAAATTACAAAAATTTATTTCCTTCTAGAATGACATGAAATTTTTATCACTCACTATTTTTTCTCAATTTGTATTGTTGAAGTATTGATTTTATTGATCATGACGTAAAGTTCATATTTATGTATAGATTCTGAAAAGTGTCGAATCACGAAGAAATCGTTATCTAACGTTAAGATTGGTGGTTGTGTCAGTAGAAAACCAGTTGAAATTGGTAAGAACGTATGTATGGTATAGATTACTGTTTTAATACATAGAATTAACAGTGTTAAGGGAACGCTGGGATAGTCTAAGTGACTAATGACTAGCTTAGGAAATAGGAATCCCCAATCACACCCGAAAAATGATGATAAATATCGTGATAGATAGTTATTCCCTTTGTGATTTTTCAGTTCTTATTCAAACTGGTGTTGCTCTGCAAAGCCAGTTGTGTCTCTCAGTAATAGTTCTAGAAATTTATATCTGTCAACTTCTTTCTTAAGAATAAGTGATGGTCTGGCTAGCTTCCTTTTTAAAGGTTGAAATGTTGAGATGACTTAATGTTATTTAGTCAAAACAAGTTAAACGTCTTTGAATAATGTCGAAACTGAATCGACTTTGAAGCGATCACTGATTATCTGCTTTATTTTTGTGTGCTTGTCTATTAGTAAACTTGATGTCATAGTTTAATATCCAGAGTGATGCGTTTGTGTTACGGTATGGTTAAAGGTAGTGCTTAGCAGCGATAACCTAACACATTAAGATCTGGAGATCATTGAAGCTAAATATAAATGGAAGGCTTTTGGTACCTACCAACTCTACAAGATAGTGTAAATTCTGTAACGACCGCTATAACGCATGTGACTCATGAAAACTTTTCACAGACCACCCTATATATAATATCTAAGTAATTTTAGCGATGTAAATTGTTCTTGAAATTTTGATTGGTGTTCCTTAAACGCATTCAAATATCTATAAGATTGTTGCGAACTCTTCAATGAAAAACATTTATCGGATTTAACTTTGCATTGCTAAAGAAAGTATTGCCACTGGAAAATTTTCAAACTGGCAATAGCATTGTGTTTACGTCCCCTCTCATAAGAACTGTTTAGCCTGTTGTATATATTGCTAAAGCTTTGATCAAAGTAAGTAGAGAAATTTTAAGGTATTGTTGAAGATTTCCTTTTTGTGTTTTTATAGGAGTTTGTAGTGGAGACTGCCTTTCAAACTTTGTCGAGAATAATGGATTTTACGAAATGAAATGTGCTTGCTGTAAAGTAAAACAATCTGTCACAATTCCTGTTGATGTACAGTGCTACCTAAACACAAGGAAAACTGTAAAAATTCGCTCAGCGGTTTCCTGCTCGTGTGCATCATGTACAGAGAAAACTATTGGTGTACACTGAGCCTTGCAAGTGATGGATTTATGCGCGATTTATTTTCTTTGTTATGATATAATGAATAGATACAGTGCAGTAATAATTAATTGAGAAAAAAAAGTGTTAAATTTATTTTCCAATTATTCTCAGCTCTACATTGTATTAACGACTTCATGACTTAAAACTTGTGAGGACAAAAAACCTCGTGTAAGTGGTCGTGAAAGTTGGAAAATCTGCGCGAAAAAATTTAGAGATTAAAAGCTTTAACTCATTCATGAAGTTTGTGCTTGTGCCATCTGTGGAAATCTAGAAAAAGGGGCAAAACTTTCATCCAAAAACTCAAGTTTTACAAAATGGGAGTAAATCTTCGTATACTACTGTTTTCTTAGGTTGTCTTTCTTGTAACCAATTGTTGTTGGCTTAAAGTTTCTAAAACAAATATTTCAGTAAAGAATTATGACTGCACATCTAAATTTAAATGGTATTATTAGCCAATGCTGTTTAAAGTGGCAAAGCTCGTTTGAATTTTTACTCCTGCCGAGCAAAACACCATTTTTTTTCTATTCGACTGTTGTTTGATTATGGATCTTTTTATTTTGATGTACAAGAGTACTAATAATATATCGAAGAGATACACATAATATTTCAAGTCTTGAAAGTGACCTGTGCCTTGGCTATCGTGGCTTTCACTTCTGAAGCCAACCTGACTTTTACTCCTGCCTGACTATGCTTACAACCTGACTTTGCTTCACAAGTAGTTCTGCTTGCTATTTGTTTAGATGCGATGCTACCAAGAATTGTTGCCTTCAATCAAGAATTTCCAGAATATTTACAAACAGTCGTGCATTGCGCGCGTAAGACTGAAGTAGCTTTATGGAGTTATCTTTTTGCTGCTGTTGGAAATCCACGAGATTTGTTTCAGGTATAGTATGAAAGGTTACATGCTTTCTACACTGAGGGGGCAAGATATCTTTTATGAAATACATTAAGTTGAACCATAGTTGAAACAAATACTGTGACTACAAGCGTCTTATTTTATGAAACTTTACTGCTTTTTATAGAAATGTCTGGATGATGGCTATCTTGAAACAGCTGCTTCTTATTTAATCATTTTGCAAAATTTGGAGAAACCAGAAGTCAGTAAGTAGATTAGTTTCAGCTGCGCATTCAAACTGCAAGTAGCTGATTGCTTTAATGTAAATTATACTGTATATATGAGTTCTGAAGTATTTCTACATATGTATGTATTAAAGTCAGTGGTTCACTGTACGTGTACTATACGGTGTGTATAATAAAAGTGTATCGAACTTTAATATACTATCTTGCATATGATAAGGTGTTTACGCTTATGTTTATAAAGCAAAAGAGGTCAGCTCTTTAGATTTCCAATAAATATGTTTTTCATTTCATATCAATCAGAAATGATCAAGCTATTCTAAATAAAATTGCAAGTCAAAATTGTATTTTTGCCTCGTTGGGAAAAAGACATTTAGATTTCGACGTATTACGATAATTCCATTGCCTATCACTATGCTAAGCCCAAGAGTGCATTGTGTTTTGTCAACTACGTGCCTATATTACATATCTTTGTTCTATGCTTAACAGCGTCTCTGTTCCTGGAAATTTGACATAGCTTTTCTCTGCAAAACATGCACAACAATACACCATTGAGATTAGCTTAGTCATCAGACATTAAAATTGTAAAATAGGATTATTTCTAAAGATCTTATTTCTTTTTTGATACATTCTCTAGATAATGACTTAAATTCTAACGATAGATGTCGTCTATTATTTGTGGATTTTGGAGACACCTTGCATGTGGCTACCCCTCTAGCTGTGAAATCTTCACTTCCCAAAAGTGGAAAAATGCAATTTTTATTTGAGGAATACTCGATCCTTTCTGATTATTAAGAAATGAAAAACATGTCAATCATTAGTTAACTAAAGAGTTCCGGACGGGGCGGGTGGCTGAATGATTAATTGCGTGAGCTGTAAGCCAGACGGCGCGGGCTCTATCCCGGCTCGTGGCACATCTGGCAATGTGTCTGTAAACCTAGCCCGGGTTGACCAAAGCCATGTGAGGGAAATTTGGTAGAGGAAACTATGTCCTCGGATGGACTGTATCTGCATCTGCAATGTTGCAGCCTTGTCACACTGTGTCACGCTGATATCAGCGTTGTAGTTGCGTGAAAGGTACGAGTGATTGTAGTCTGGTCAGCTGCCTTCACTATAATTTAAGTAACCAGGATTTTCCACTTTGTGGAACCCTCATACGTCGAAATCGACGGAGTCCATTATTATTATTATTATTATTATTAAAGAGTTCCACTTTTGCAATGTACATACAAATACAAGCGTAGAACACAATAGCAAATGCACGATGGCGTAAAGTTGATATACTTTCATTGATACATATTGTACAATTCGTAATTGGCGGCAATTTTACTTGAAGCTACTCTGTTAAAGGACACGTACTAGGTAAATCGGCATTGTTGATATCGTTTTGAATTTGTAGTTTCAACTGAATTGGAACAGTTTTCATTTGTTTTGGCCACTCATGAAAATTCAGTTAAATTTCTAATTGCTTTAAAGCGTGCATATTATCTAACACAATTATAGTGCACGTTACCCTCTGTATCGTAAAGAAAAAAAGATTGTGGAGTTTTTAAAAATTGTTAAAAATTATACGTTTTGTTTATATAAGGAGCTGTTTCCGGAATAATTCATGTTTTGTATTATTTAGGCGTTGTTTGTGGAATAATTTATGTTTTGTCTCATTTAGGCGTTGTTTGTGGAATAATATATGTTTTGTCTTGTTAATATATTTAGCAAAAAAAATTGTAAACAGTACACTGTCTCATTTTGAACTGTAACCATCTTGCTCAGTTTCAACAATATATTTTAGATTGCAAGGGATCTTGTGCGTTTTCTTGGCAAATATCTTTCCAACTTTGGAGAAATAGTTTGCCATTGATTAGCGGGAGCGCGATTTCTGTATCGCACTCACTGAGTGTTCTTTAGGACAACCATCTATTCGTGTATTCTAAAAGCACACTCACATTATATTTACATTACATCTTCCATATTTTACCTCTGAATTCATTCTTTCATTCATTCTTGTAGATATTCAAGGAGCAAAGCTCCCTTTTCTTAGATTCGATTCTCAACCGTCACGCTCGAAAATTGTTATCAAACAACAGACTTAAAGATCTTGGCCAATTTTCAGCTTACCTCGTTCAACCTACGGGCATGGCTCAGTAAAGAAAGGTAATCAGCTTTCATGCATGCGATTGTATAACCTATGTAATTTTAAATTGGAAATCTAACCGTTTTTGTATTCTTTGCTGGCAAACACGGCTGAGAAGCTATAAAATTGCACTAAATTCTGTACAGAAAGAACGTATACGTTTGCTTTGCGTTACAACATGTATGGATTTAAGTTCATCTACATTAGCTCGAATCAACGAGATTTATCTATTCAGCTCGTTTTTCTTTCATCTACCTCCAGAAGGCGTGAATAGATGACACACAGCGCAATCTTGATATCATGTAGTTTTAGAATTCCAGTTTACCGTGTTTCAAATAAACATCTAAATATTATTGGAAGAAGGCGGTCATTAAATAAACCAATCCTGTTGACATTGGATAAAGCTACAACGATGAGTTGTCATCAGGGGACTGAGACCGAGTTTCGAACATGCGCTTGGTTTATCTTTTGTTAATTCGAGGTGCAATGTACGTATGCATCTTGTTGAACTAAATTTAATGCTTTCTTTTGCATTAGAGTGTATAAATGGTGAAGAAATTAGGAAAAAATATCTGTGGGAATTCAGCGTTAGAGTAAAGCCTCTATGGTCGATATTAAATTCAAAATACCTTCAGAATAATACTATCGGTTATGAATTATGAGTTTCTAAATACAGAGCATTGATATTCATTTATATGATATTTTCGCCTATTTTCGAGATTGAAGTGTGGATACTAATTTCTTTGTCGTCGCTGTATTTTCTAAAATTAAACATAGATATTTTATAGACTTTGCTTAGTGAAATCGTTGTAGTCATCTTATTGATATCAGATCGTCGCTCATCGAATGATCTGGAGGTGGAACTAGTTAATAATTCATATATTGTTGAGAAATCTACCTCACTCTATTTTTTATTACGTATTGTCGTATTATTGAATGAAGAATAAAAAAATGGTTTTGTTGTTAGCAAATTGTTTGCACTCGTAGTTTTTTAATGTTCTACAGCTACTATTCGTGGTTTGAGAACATTCAGTTTGCAAAAAACGTATCTATGTTTTTGTAGAGATCGTGCAGCAACTGTGAACAATTTTGTAGAAGCATTTCTCAGCATCCATCGGCAGTTTAACAGCCCTTTCCTATCTAAAGCGGCAGTCAATTCACTTAACACGGGTACATTTTCCTACCAAATGTACCATATCTTCATTTAATTTCAAACACCGCACTGCATAAAGCATTCTTTCATATGACATTCCTTTCACGAGAAAACTTTAGCCGAACAAAATTGACCTGCTCACCACTGTGTGACTTCATAGCTCAGTTGGTCAGAGCACTGCACCGGCACCGCAGAGGTCATGGGTTCGAATTTCGTTGAGTCACCTGAATTTTTCCGGTTCATGAGACAATTGCTAAAATTGTACAGCAAAGTGCGAAGATCATATCTTCATTTAACCGCTGACAATGTTATCAGGAATCTTTTGAAAAATAGAATTTGCTTTAAAGAGACGTCCAAGCCAACCATTCGTTCGAAACATCTTTCTGCAACAGAAAACATAAACGTATTGATTTAGTCCCTACGGAAGACAAATTAGGTTATGTAACGTTGTTGAAAAGCAGGAGATGTGGTTGTGTTGAAGATTAGTATGCATGATATTGACTTTTTTGCAGCTCGTAAAGAGGTGGAATTGCAATCTCTTCGAGTTGAACAATTTGAAACGAGTTAATTTTCTCTTGATGACGATCCTGATGAATTATAGGAAAGTACATGGAGTTACGACACGAATATTAAAGATTTGGATGATTTTATAGGGCAGGTTCCGTGTGCCCAGCAGTCGGATAAAGAAATAAAGTGGGTTTATTTTGTAGTTGTGTTGCGTGGTGACGTTATTAGCAATATGTATCATTTTAAAGTGCCTATAACAGGGTCAGGGAAGTAACTTCTTTAATCGGATTTTAAGAAACTTTGCATGATATTTGATATGTCGAAAATTTCATCTTTTTGGGCTTTTTGGGCCTAGAATATGACTCTGCAACGGATGTGACAAAAATAGGAGAACATGTTACACGTGCATTTATGATCTAGCTTTTATTGTATACTGAAAAACACTGTTAAAGCAAATCTTCGTCAAATTTTTCCCTACTATTCTGCATAGGCCTACGGTGTGATGACTTCGTTTTAACGAATAATTAAAGAAAAAATTTTTAAGTGAAAGTGCATTTTCACTTTAAACATTTTACTTTTTGCGCCCACATGCTTCTAGGCCCAAAAAGGACATGAAGAAGAAAATTTTGACTATAAAATATAATGCAAGTTTTCTTAAAATCGATTTAACTATCTAAAAAGTAATTTCCCTGACCCTGATACAGGTACTGCAACCAATATGCAGATTCACTTTTTGCTATGCTTGAACGCTTTACTAAACTACCCAAAGTGTCGCGTGATAAACAATTTAATGTGTATATGAAAGTTGTAAAAGCTTTAACATGTATTATGAAAATTATGAAATTTTAGCTTAGTCAATAAAACTTTAACATGTGTTATGACTATTGTAAAATTTGAAGAACAGAAGTACTGTATTTTTTCACATTGCGTATTTGAGTTTTAATTGTAGCTTTTTGTTGTCACCATTTTGTATCGTCTTCATCACGTGACGTGTTCATGTTTATTTTTTGAAGATTTTGTTGCAAGCAATGTTGGAATCCTATTTATTTGATTGGTCCTTACTGCTGTCATTGGCTTTACGTGATGGACCGTTAGTTAACCAAGTCGTTCAAGATATTTTGTTGTCTGGCATTGATGAACTAGCTCTGGAAAACTTCATTCGTCTTAGAGATGGCATAAAAAACTTAGAAAATTGGGCACAGCGTGAATGGTGGGTATGACTGTAGTTAATAACTGCATGAATGCCTTCACATTGATTGAGGTTGATTTTAGAAAATGATACAGCCGAAAAGTGGAACCTGTTTTGATATAACTTATTTTTGAAATACCGGAGTCTGACTTTCCATTGTAGCTAAAACCTATCATTTGATTGGACATAAACTGTAATTAAAATCTCTGTAGGTGATAGACAGATAAAATTGCTCTCCTCTCACCATAAACAGCTGTTTATGTTAAAAACGTTTTCAGCCCCATTCATTTCATGTGAGTTTGACCACTATCAAGTCAATACAACCAAGTTGTTTCAGAATCAAAACGAGGAAAAACGTTTTAAACGTTTCATCTTTTTGGAGCAACAGAAATGTTTCTTTCCGATTTACCGACATCAAGCAAAAGGTGCTAGTTATATTAACATTCAGGCTGCATGTGTTAACCTCAGGTCACTTGTGAAACGAAATCATTTTTAAAGTAGCTCTCGTGCTGATCTGTATTCTATAGCTTAGAAAACCTGTTTCTTCGAACATTTTTTTTATTCAGGGATACAGTGTATTTTTTGGTCTGTTTAAACCACAATGGAGTGCTCTTTCCGATTTGATAACTTCAGTTACCACTCGCTTGGCAGAAGCTCAGAAAACAAGCGCTAGAGTATCTGAGCAAGTAGATGTTGACAAGAAAATAGAGTGACGTTAATTGAGAAAGTCAATAGTGATATCTCCAACAGTGGGGAGACGAATGACCCTTATGAATGCATTCTATCGTAGAATTAGAATGAACGTACTTTAAATATTTAAGTAATTTGTGTAAGTATGCGTGGGGGGTTATTGAAAAATGAAAGAAATGCTAATTTAAAACTTTATCTCTTTACACCATAGGATCTCCAAGTATAATATGCTTTCTAGTTTTTTCCAAAACCATTTAACCATTATTGTGACTGCTGTTAGAACAAGCAAGATTTGGGGCCATCATGATCAACATAGAATTGTATTGTTTTTATAACCAATGTTTTGTGTGATTGAAAAAGCGTATGTATATGCAATAGCATTTCTTGGCATGGTGACAGGACAGATGTTTTTTAAGACTTCTTGCGGTCTTTTGTTCAGGTGAGAAAGAATGACAAATCTTCCTATAAAAGTCTATCAAATTTCTTTTATCTTCAATACGATATTGATTTCAATAGCTACTTGATCTTTTCCTCATTTTCCCTCTGTGTTTAGTCTATTGGTCAAGTTATAACGTCATTTAAATTTTAGAAGCACACTTCGGCGTTCTCAACACGTAGCAGAAAATTCTTGAAATGAGAGTAGGATATTGACACCTCTGTGGGGCATCACCATCTTGTCTATAACATAAACTTTATTTTGTTGTGTTGGCAGAAACGTCCGGAGGATCTCTCCAGCTAGATTATATCTTGAGGTAAGTTTCTCTATTCTGTTTGTATTGAAACAATACATGCAATAAGTAGAAATACTTGAAAGTCGCTCTAGACGCGCTATAATGTAACATGTACAGGCAATCGGACAATAGATTTATTTATTGTCCGATATATTTTGTTTTTAGCTTTGTCTGAGTTTTTCCACTACATTATTTCGTTAAATGATTTCTGTATATCAAAACTGCCATACATATTTTTATTTCTCGAACATTGTATGACATATACGAATTTCCAAATCTTCATTTTGATGGTATGTGCTGAGCAGTGAAACGATGAAACGTATACCACGAGTTTATCACGTGACAGCAATTCTTTTCGTGAGCATGTATTTCGCTACAAGTTCAGGAAATATCTTGACGTACAAGCTATATTGTTTATCTATTTTATGTAAAGGTTTTAAAATACAGCTTCAATAGACTTACGCTGTTGCCATAAGCAACTTTGCAGACACTTCAAGAAATGCTCAGTTAACTTCATTTTAGTCTGCAGCTAAAGTTTAATACTGAGACTAATTTAGTCAGTAGCTAAAGTTAAATACTGAGAATAATGATCCATATCAAATTGTTGTTATTCATTCAGTATTCTGGTTGTTGCGACTCTGTAGTTAATGATCCGAAAAAAACTTCTCCATAATTCCTATCTTATTTTTTATAAATGAGCCATTTTACAACTAATTTCAAGCAGTGAAAAGCTTCGAAAACTCCAAAAAAAGAAGGGGGATATTGTACATGGATGTAAAAAATTTAAAAAAGCCTGCAATATTGCGCGTCTTCGATGACGTATTGTAAATAATTCTAGTCGTTCCCCTGATACATGTTACATAGAAAGAGAATCGGTCGTTAGATTTCACATTCACCCCATCTAAAAATTGGTCATATTGGAAAAAATATTCAATTCAAAGCCTTAATTTATCTGCTTACATGTTTCGACCAGCGAGAAAATTCCCCTGTATAAAATATTTTGATCTTTTCAAGTACGAAACAATTAAAATAATTAACTTGGACATATTGATTGTTTTGTATTGCTGTATAGTTGGCGTTATTCATGGCGCTGTTGAAAATTGTACTGTTATTATTCATTGGAATTACAGTTGCTCGTGAGTATGAATTGATTTTCATATTTAATCCTTAAATCTTTGAACTATATATATACTATATATCAATAGGATATATTTCACATCAATCCTGTAATCGTGGCCAGATTTTTGCCAGGAGTAAAGCGAATTGTCATTTTAAACGTAATAGCTCAACATAAGACTTTTAAAAAAGCCATCACGATAATAAATTAGAAATAAAAATAAAAGGTTTTTTAATAATTGCGTTTCGACTTTTAATTAAGACATGTTCAGACAAAATGATAAATATTTACACGATGCTAATTTAAATATATATATATATGTGCCCCGGCTATCACCATAGAAAAATGTGACTCCTGCACTTGGGATACAGGATGTACGGTTACACCATTGAACTAAGTAGATGGAAGGCTACCTCAGTTGATATTTTGAAGGCAGTCTTTCTACGCAATGTAAAAAAACGGCCAATAGTATTTTTATAAAGGAAGCCATAGCGAACAATGACTAGAAGGCATTTTGCTATAGTTATTAGTTTTCGTATGTCTGTAAACATAAGAAAGAGTTAAAAACTAAAACGTTTTTCTTCTAAAGGAGCTACTATTATGCACGAGATACTTACGAACTCTATAAAATATAATAAAGCAAATGAAATTTTAAAAAAACATCAGTTTTGGAAATTCATTTTTATCTGAAACTATTATTATTAGTTTGACGTACAAATTTAGATAAAAATACAATTTTTAGTACGAACTTACACGAGTTAGATGACATGTTAAATGAATTTATGCACCAGCAAAGGAAATCCTTCCAAAGCGTTATATTTTATGTGTATCTGATGATTTTTCGCCTTTCATAACTTTGATCACATGCTACCTTGTTTCGAACATCATTTTTTACAAAAACTAATGCTTTCTCAGGGGCGGATCTAGAGTATGTCAAATCCGTCGCGCGACTGATGTTTGAAATTCAAAAATTACGTATTCATATTAATTAAAAACATTAATTATTCTTACTTTATTATCGCATTTACTTCGTGATAAAAATCCAGCTTTATTTATCATTGAAAACTAATGACTAATCCAATGAATATCTCGCTGGTAACCAGATCAGTTGAATTTTAATTGACCTGGAATAACCGACTGATAAGCGGGGTGGCTTGACTGGTTCGGCGGATAAAGGAGTCTATGAAAGCCAAAAACGCTTATTTTATTGGTCAATGGCCAGATCAGTGGACAGTCTGGAATGGTCTCGACTGATAATAGGGGTGGCCGGACGTATAAGGGAGTCCAATTGCTATCTTACAATTGGTTCAATTGCTATCCAATTGCTATCAATTGGTTCAATTGGTAGTTCAATTGGTTCAATTGGTTCAATTGGCAATTGGTTCAATTGGTCCAATTGCTATCTTACAATTGGCTATCTTACAATTGGTATCAGTCATTGGTGTTCAAAAGAAAGCCAACATTGTTTTGAGTTTTATCAGCAGAATTTTACATTCAAAATCGTAAGTAAAGGACAAGTGAAGTGTATGCATGAATGTAATATATCAAAGTCAATTTATGCGAGTGTGTGATGCGATTTATGTCAGTATGGCGTATGGTAAGCTGATTGATGCTTCTAAAATTGTTGTTGCCGAAGGACTTTTAGCTACGATTTCTTTAGTGCTTAGGGAATCGTGGCCGTTGTATAGCAGCGAAATCCTACATTCCTGCAAATATATTTCAATGGACAAAAAATCTGTAGCCATAAGGCGCCATACTATTATTTACTTTACTATAAACAAATGTTTGGGGCTATTCAGTTAATGATCATTGATCATTCAATCATTGGACAGTTATACTACATAATGTTTAAGATTTGAGAAAACTAACATTGATTACATGAGAAGCTGTTTACTATAACCTGTGATTTTGAGTCTTCTGATCCATGAAGCTTTTTATTTTGACAATTTGACTGGAATGGTATTAAACCTGAGGAGTTCACATACATGAAATGTTGTCCCATGTCACATATTGTCCCCTTTTCTAACTGAACACCTCATGTAGAGATGTAAAGGTGTGTTAATCTACGACTCATACCAGATTGTTTGCCATAAATTCCAAAGGGCTATTGATGTATGAAAAGCATTTTCCATAAAGTAAAAATGTCTTTCAATGTATGCAGATAAACCTTGAAATTTGGCAAAACAGCAAAGTATTTTTCATGATCACTAGGTAATTTTTCTGATGATCATTATAATTTCTAAACTAAATTATTTCAGATTTACATTTAAACGAGCTTTGATCATATGAAAAGATATTTATCATAACCAGTAAGCATGACACATGAACCAATTTTAACATTCATGTAATTATATAATTAAAGACATGTTTGTTACATTCTTTTTGTATTTGCAAATACAATGCTAAAAGTGATTGCTATATAGCACACCTTGCTTATACTTACAGAAGATAATAGTCTAGTGAAATGCCTAATAAACATTTATGGCATTAAGCTGTCCTTAACTGCAAATTTTCACTCTGATAATTTTTGCTTAATCTTTGGCAGAAAAAAATTTTGAGTTTTTTCTCAAAAAGTGAATTTGCTGGCACTGATGTGGAGATGGGTAAAGGGTTACAATAAATTTGCATGGTTTGAAGTCTGAGCTTTTCTATATCTATGAACTGTCACTTGTAGTACCAAATTTCTAACTTAACTCATTACATAGAGGTTTGAATGGGGGTCTCTAGGGGGGTCTATGCCTAACAACTTGGTAGAAATTTTTAAAGACTATATCTGTTTTTGAATAGCATTATTGTAAAATAAAATTTACGTTCCTAGACATGCTAATGAGCCATATATTTGGCATAATAATGAGCCTAAATATTTGGCAAAACATTCAAGTATTGTTCACTTCATTTTTTTTTGAAAAAAACGTAAGCAAAATGTGTTGTTTTTACGTAAAAACGATTCCCACAAAATACATTTTGTATTGTTCTAAAGCGCTGAATATGGCATTTTCAAGGCTCTGAAATTCAAAATTTCTCAGGGGAGAATGCCTCAGTCCTGCCCAGGTGCGGAGCGCCTCCGACGTTTTATGACTGATGTTTGAAAAATCCTAGATCCGCCCCTGTGCTTTCTGTAAATAGGTTTGTATAAAAAATCCCGTATTCCAAGGAGAAACCCATGTAAATTATTGGATACATCCAGTTGAATTTTTGCAAATTAAACTATCGATGTGTATATAATAAACGATGTCATTGTTTTTCACCGTTTATACCGTTGATATTTTCCATTTCAAAATACGTATGAAATAGAAATCATCATGATTGACTGAATAAAGATCAAGCCCCATCACCCTTAATACTACAATATTTTTCTACGTTTATTTTTTGAGCAAAATCAGAAAAAGTTTTCGGTAAAAACATAAAAACATGTTTCTTTAACAAATCTCGCCTAACGTGTAGCAAATCTCGCGTTACGTGTGACACACGTAAATTGACCTCCAGATACGCGCGTGTCATTTAGCTTCAAAAAATTATTAGGCTTTTCTATTACAGGTAGCCTTCCATCTAATATAGGTCAATGGGTTACACATTGTATGAATTGTTTTGTACAGTCATCAGAGTGCTCAAACCTATAAAGATGAGCTTTGCATTGCGCGAAAGCGGTATACGTCTCAATTAGGGACACTACACAATCCGAGAGTGCTCAAACTGCGCATGCGCAGTGAGCGTAAAATACAAAGTGTGTTACAATGTGCCCTCCCGGCTATCACCATACCAAAATGGTGACTTCTACAGTTGGGACACAGGATGTACGGTTCCAGGCATATTTAATGCATAAAATGAGAGTTACTCCGGATTGTTGTAAAATTATTTTATTGAGCTTTCGGCTCGGTGCTTCGAGCCTTCATCAGAAAGATATAGGAAGTTATATAAAATTGTTTTTTATTTGTAGACGCTTAGAGCGTCTAATTGAATTAGCGGGTGGATTAATATGATTGGATAGTGTGAAATGCATTGTCATGGGTTTTGGTTTTTGTGAATATGATTGGTGTTAATATTATCGGAGTGTAATGTTGTAGTTTTGGTGTTGTTTGTAGTTTTTTTGTCCTTTTTCTAAAGTTGTGAAGATATAATTGGTATGTCAATATGTCTGTTTATTGTGTCTTTGTTTTTATTGTACCAAGCTTCTTTGAATTCCCGTGCGTGTTTAGTCTGTGCGCGTCCGAGTACTTTTAGTTTCTGTCCAGTCGAATGTGTGGTTGTTTCCGTGGGTATGTTTTGCGGGTAGTGAGTTCGGCTCTCGTCGTTTTATGGCGTTTTTGTGTTCTGTGAGTCTTGTTTCGATTTTTTTCGGATGTTTTTCCTATGTATTGTTTTGAGCAGTCTTTACTTGGTAACATGTAGATCGCGTCAGTTGTATCACGAATTGTTGTTTTGTCTTTATGTTTGGTAAAACATGATTTGAGTATTTGTGTAGGCTTGTGGGCGACGTTAATATTAAATGGTCGAAGAACTCTGGCAGTCAATTCTGATGCTCCGTTTATGTATTGTAATGTGATGATTTTTACTTTTTCGTCCGGTTTCTTGTTATTTTTGTCGGTTTGTGTTTTGTTTTGTATTCTGTTTACAGTTTTGTTTAAAAAGTTTCTAGGGTAATTGTTTTTTATAAATGTGGAGTATAAGTAGTTGCATTCTGTTTTCTTGGCTTCTTCGGTGTTACAATGAGAGTTGATCCTGTTAAAAAGTGTTTGTATGCAGCTTATTTTGTGTTGTGTTGGGTGATTGCTGTTGAAATCGAGTATTTGGTCTGTTTGGGTAGTTTTGCAGTATACTTGTGTGCTTAGTATACCGTCATCTGAATTTATTTACTTATAGATAACATTTAACAGTTGTTTATACAGTTAAAGATTCACGGGTATGATTTCATTTGTGATAAAAACGCAAAAAGGGGCTGAGAGGTCCGCTTTAGAGATCTCGTGAAAAAATTATTTCGGACCTCACAGCAGGTCAATAACATATATATTTTTACAGGATGTTAAATTGCTGTCCCTTCATTAATGCTGATCTTCTCATTCAGTCCTGTCATCTAAACTTCCTACTCTCCTCTTATGTAATTTAACACTCTGTAAATATATGCTTACATTTATGTTAATATTTATCATTTATTCTGAACATGTCTTAAGTTAAAGACAAAACGTCATTGCTAAAAAAAAACTTTAGACTGTTGTGCAATATTTAATAGCTTGAGGGATGATTTACAATAAATAAATAAATAAATACTCCGAATAAAAGGTCCTTCTAAACATGATCAAACTTATTGAGTGATTTGCGTGATGAATTTTCCATGGATTCGAACTATAATTATTTGTAAAAACTGTCTTGTTTGTTTTCTTAAAAGTTAAGTTCATCACGGGTCTTTTATTCGGAGAATATGTCATACTTCATGAAATTGTCAGCTGCATGGTAATGATTATAATACTGTACTTAACATCTTTTAACAAGCGTCTTTAAAATCCTCTTAGATTTTTTGAATATCTCTCCGTAAGTACTTGAGTAATCCTTATATATCTATTTTCATCTTCTTGTTCTTTTATGATAAGTGTATGATAATTGTTGTTGTATTTCAAGTTTGTGTCTTTTCATACAACACAGGCAAGTGCAAGTCCCCAATAGAGTTGGCTGTAGTGGTCGATGCATCTGATAGTCTGTCATTGAAAGACGTTAGATATGTTAAGCTGTTTATTAAAAGTATAGCGAACTTTTCTCGTATGGCGGTATTTTCAAGTCACGTGTCCGTTATTTTGGCGGGATATAATGTTAGTGTTGCAATTGCTTTGAACAAAATTGGTGCAGATAAGTTCAAATTTTACGAAACTGTGGATAAAGTTGTCAAACCGCTGGGAGGAGAATGGAGTGTGAATAGAGGTCTTCAAATGATTAAGAAACAAGTTTTTACTGAAGGAAACGAGATGCGATCTTTCTTACCACAAATTGTTTTGGTTGTTACGAGCGGAAAACCAGGAAATGGCAATGATATTCAACATCAAATAAAGAATTTGAATGATATTGGAGCGAAAGTGTACATTGTTAGTGTTGGTGATGTTGCACGACGAGACAAAATAATGCGCATGATCAGAAATGAGAGCAGTAAAATAGTCAAAGTTCATCTAAACAATTTTCGAGAATTGACATCTTTTTCATTTATCATCGGCGAAGAGATATGTCAAACACATTATCACGGTATACATAAGTTATTTTCGAGAAAGATTTAGAAATAACTTTAATTTATCACCAACTAATATCATCTGTTAGCTGTTACATTTATTAACAGGTATCGTTGAAGTAGCGATTGTTTGGTTTGTTGCATTAATCCTACACCGGGCAATGTATCAATTGTTTCTATTACTCTTAAGTCGCCCGCAATGTGTCTGTTGAACATAGTCAAGTTGATAAGTAAACAAAAGATTACTATATGATTCATTCTACAAAATGCCATTATTGTCAGCCCTTTTTCTTTGAAGTAAATTTACATATTGCTTCTACTCTTGTTTTGTTATCAAATACTTACTTCGATATTTATAGATGAGCTTGCCATTTGCAAGACCAAAATGGACGTTGGCTTTATAGTCGACTCATCTGGTAGCATTAATAACGCTGGATATCTAAGCATCAAAACTTTCATGAAAGCAATTTCTGTGTACCTTGGATTCGCACCTGATGCTTTACGTGTTGGTGCTGTATTGTACAGCAAAGAAGCAAAAGTATGGATTCAATTCAAAGAGATTGTCGAACTTAGAAAATTGTTTAAAAAGTTGTGGAAAATGCCTCATTACCGTGATATGACTCGTATAGATTATGGTCTTGTTGTTGCCAACACTCAATTGTTTACAAGAGAAAGTGGAATGCGGGATGATGCGATAAAGATTGCAATTTTGTTAACTGATGGTGAGCAAACTACCAGAGGAATTAAAGACTTGATTCCTCTTAGAGAAGCAGCTGATAAACTAAGGGAGCGAGAGGTAGCCGTGTTTGCTGTTGGAATTGGTAAATCAGTCAGAAAAGACCAGCTTCTTGAGATTACCAATGCTTCAGAATATGTAAAAATTTTGTCTTCCTTCAATGATTTGAAGTCGGTAACGAGAAAGGTAGCAAGGGATGTTTGTCAACTGGTTAATGGTATGTCTGTTTAGTGTGTCACTGATGCGTCTGAGTAATGAAACAATATTATCTATATCATAGTTACGTTCATAGAAACTAAGTTGAATTTTGAAGTTCTTTACTATGCGCTTTATAAACTTATTTTTTGAATATACCAAATGAAATTCATCTCAATGAAATGTTGTATGAAAGCTGCTAGTCCAAACTCCATAAAATTTCGTCGTGTTTGGAACAGAGCATTAAAACATTGAAACCATTGTTTTTATCTCAGAATTCAAGGAGCTAAGCTTTTGGTGAAGTTTAGCATGATGGTAAAGCTTGAAGTCTGTATGTGGTTATAAAATCGCGAACGTTAAGTAAAACTTCGATTTCAGAAGATTTTCATTGCATTATATGTATGAATATTGCGAACTTGCGTAGGGATAGATATACGAACAACTGTATGTACCGGGTAATGTAATTAATCAAATACTCAAAAACTAAATTTCACTAAAAACTGAAATTAATTATCTTCTTAAGAATAATAATGCATGCTATTTAAATTTACCGTATAATGGACTTTACGTTATTAAGCTGTTTCTATTTAAATTCATTTTATCTGTTGGTAAAATGACATTATTTGCTGCATAAAACTGGTGAAATCAAAGTGGAAAAATCATATTAAACTTTTTAATTCAATTTTACGTAGATCCACCAATCGTTAACTTTACTCAGCCAATTTACACGGCAATAGAAAGAAAAAACGTAACTGTCGGTGTGTCCATCTTTAATAATAAAAGGAAAACTCCTGTAACAATCAGGTAAATGTGTTTTAATCATTGAAAATTGATCATCAGTTTTTAAAAAAGCATTCGAAGCAGAAATTGATTGGTGAAGCTATGTCAAAGTGATCCAGAATAAAGCCAGTGTGTTTCTTGAGGAATGTAGAAACGTGCGAACAATGCCTAAAAACTCGAAGTTCATGGTTGAATTTAAATTACTGTTGTTCAGCGTGCTTATACGTGCCAAACTGCCTCAGTAAATGTATGTCTAAAGAACAGAAACAAGTTTGAAGAGTTTAGTGTAAGCAAGACAACGAATATAATAGCAACCAAAACTTAAGCAAAAACAATTTTAATCAAATCCTGTGCAAATTGCGGCCCCCACCCTACCTCTCTCTCGGCTCAATGACAAATATTTTTTATATTTTTTTATCTCTCACTCTGACAGAATCATCCCAAAATCTTACACAGCTGGAATGAATGATTTTGATAATAGCATCAAAGAGATTAAATTTCAACCTGAAGAAACTGGAGCAAAGTTTGTGGAAATCAGTCTGATAAATGACAAAGAATATGAGGCTACGGAAGAATTTACTGTTTCCCTTTCATCAAATTCAATTGTAGTTCTTGGAAATTCTTCTAAAATTCAAATAATAGACGATGACGGTAGTTAATAACTTGTAATTTACGTTTTAAGATATATAACTCACGTTCTTCAGTGCTGTCATTTCTTTCTAGTTCCACGTAAACCGATCATTGAATTCACTCGACCTGTTTACGAAGTAGTAAAGAGTAAAAATTCTGTTGCCGTTGGAATATCTGTTACAAATGGAAATGTTACTCGACCAGTCTCTGTTAGGTTGGCAAACTCTAATATTTATGATTGTTATAAACAGTATCAACGTATTTGCTATCTGTTGTCTGCTTGATAAACACGATCTATTGTTTTTTTTTAGAATCTTCTCTAGTTTTGGTACAGCAAGCAAAGACGATTTTGTTGGTATTGATGAAGAAATTACATTTCAGCCTGGGGAAATTGGTCCAAAATTTGTTGAAATAAATCTGGTGAATGATGGAGATAATGAACCAACGGAAGAATTTGCAGTTTCACTCGCATCAAATTCAAGAGTAATTTTAGGAACTTCTTCTAAAGTTCAAATATTAAACGATGATGGTGCGTTTGTTATTCGTAGTTAGGTTTTTGAGATTTTTTTATTTCGTGATTTAACGGTATCATTTTTTTTAGTTCCACTTGAACCAATCGTTACAACCACACAGTCAGTGGCGGATCAAGAAATAGTTCAATGTAAGTGAAAAGTATGCGAAGTCTTAAACATTTAAACATTTGCGTCATTTATAAAACGTCATACTTGCGTAGGGATAGATATACGAACAACTGTATGTACCGGGTAATGTAATTAATCAAATACTCAAAAACTAAATTTCACTAAAAACTGAAATTAATTATCTTCTTAAGAATAATAATGCATGCTATTTAAATTTACGGTATAATGGACTTTACGTTATTAAGCTGTTTCTATTTAAATTCATTTTATCTGTTGGTAAAATGACATTATTTGCTGCATAAAACTGATGAAATCAAAGTGGAAAAATCATATTAAACTTTTTAATTCAATTTTACGTAGATCCACCAATCGTAAATTTTACTCAGCCAATTTACACGGCAATAGAAAGAAAAAACGTAACTGTCGGTGTGTCCATCTTTAATAATAAAAGGAAAACTCCTGTAACAATCAGGTAAATGTGTTTTAATCATTGAAAATTGATCATCAGTTTTTAAAAAAGCATTCGAAGCAGAAATTGATTGGTGAAGCTATGTCAAAGTGATTCAGAATAAAGCCAGTGTGTTTCTTGATGAATGTAGAAACGTGCGAACAATGCCTAAAAACTCGAAGTTCATGGTTGAATTTAAATTACTGTTGTTCAGCGTGCTTATACGTGCCAAACTGCCTCAGTAAATGTGTGTCTAAAGCACAGAAACAAGTTTGAAGAGTTTAGTGTAAGCAAGACAACGAATATAATAGCAACCAAAACTTAAGCAAAAACAATTTTAATCAAATCCTGTGCAAATTGCAGCCCCCACCCTACCTCTCTCTCGGCTCAATGACAAATATTTTTTATTTTTTTTTATCTCTCACTCTGACAGAATCATCCCAAAATCTTACACAGCTGGAATTAATGATTTTGATAATAGCATCAAAGAGATTAAATTTCAACCTGAAGAAACTGGAGCAAAGTTTGTGGAAATCAGTCTGATAAATGACAAAGAATATGAGGCTACGGAAGAATTTACTGTTTCCCTTTCATCAAATTCAATTGTAGTTCTTGGAAATTCTTCTAAAATTCAAATAATAGACGATGACGGTAGTTAATAACTTGTAATTTACGTTTTAAGATATATAACTCACGTTCTTCAGTGCTGTCATTTCTTTCTAGTTCCACGTAAACCGATCATTGAATTCACTCGACCTGTTTACGAAGTAGTAAAGAGTAAAAATTCTGTTGCCGTTGGAATATCTGTTACAAATGGAAATGTTACTCGACCAGTCTCTGTTAGGTTGGCAAACTCTAATATTTATGATGGTTATAAACAGTATCAACGTATTTGCTATCTGTTGTCTGCTTGATAAACACGATCTATTGTTTTTTTTAGAATCTTCTCTAGTTTTGGTACAGCAAGCAAAGACGATTTTGTTGGTATTGATGAAGAAATTACATTTCAACCTGGGGAAATTGGTCCAAAATTTGTTGAAATAAATCTGGTGAATGATGGAGATAATGAACCAACGGAAGAATTTACAGTTTCACTCGCATCAAATTCAAGAGTAATTTTAGGAACTTCTTCTAAAGTTCAAATATTAAACGATGATGGTGCGTTTGTTATTCGTAGTTAGGTTTTTGAGATTTTTTTATTTCGTGATTTAACGGTATCATTTTTTTTAGTTCCACTTGAACCAATCGTTACAACCACACATTCAGTGGCGGATCAAGAAATAGTTCAATGTAAGTGAAAAGTATGCGAAGTCTTAAACATTTAAACATTTGCGTCATTTATAAAACGTCATACTTGCGTAGGGATAGATATACGAACAACTGTATGTACCGGGTAATGTAATTAATCAAATACTCAAAACTAAATTTCACTAAAAACTGAAATTAATTATCTTCTTAAGAATAATAATGCATGCTATTTAAATTTACGGTATAATGGACTTTACGTTATTAAGCTGTTTCTATTTAAATTCATTTTATCTGTTGGTAAAATGACATTATTTGCTGCATAAAACTGGTGAAATCAAAGTGGAAAAATCATATTAAACTTTTTAATTCAATTTTACGTAGATCCACCAATCGTAAATTTTACTCAGCCAATTTACACAGCAATAGAAAGAAAAAACGTAACTGTCGGTGTGTCCATCTTTAATAATAAAAGGAAAACTCCTGTAACAATCAGGTAAATGTGTTTTAATCATTGAAAATTGATCATCAGTTTTTAAAAAAGCATTCGAAGCAGAAATTGATTGGTGAAGCTATGTCAAAGTGATCCAGAATAAAGCCAGTGTGTTTCTTGATGAATGTAGAAACGTGCGAACAATGCCTAAAAACTCGAAGTTCATGGTTGAATTTAAATTACTGTTGTTCAGCGTGCTTATACGTGCCAAACTGCCTCAGTAAATGTGTGTCTAAAGCACAGAAACAAGTTTGAAGAGTTTAGTGTAAGCAAGACAACGAATATAATAGCAACCAAAACTTAAGCAAAAACAATTTTAATCAAATCCTGTGCAAATTGCAGCCCCCACCCTACCTCTCTCTCGGCTCAATGACAAATATTTTTTATTTTTTTTTATCTCTCACTCTGACAGAATCATCCCAAAATCTTACACAGCTGGAATTAATGATTTTGATAATAGCATCAAAGAGATTAAATTTCAACCTGAAGAAACTGGAGCAAAGTTTGTGGAAATCAGTCTGATAAATGACAAAGAATATGAGGCTACGGAAGAATTTACTGTTTCCCTTTCATCAAATTCAATTGTAGTTCTTGGAAATTCTTCTAAAATTCAAATAATAGACGATGACGGTAGTTAATAACTTGTAATTTACGTTTTAAGATATATAACTCACGTTCTTCAGTGCTGTCATTTCTTTCTAGTTCCACGTAAACCGATCATTGAATTCACTCGACCTGTTTACGAAGTAGTAAAGAGTAAAAATTCTGTTGCCGTTGGAATATCTGTTACAAATGGAAATGTTACTCGACCAGTCTCTGTTAGGTTGGCAAACTCTAATATTTATGATGGTTATAAACAGTATCAACGTATTTGCTATCTGTTGTCTGCTTGATAAACACGATCTATTGTTTTTTTTAGAATCTTCTCTAGTTTTGGTACAGCAAGCAAAGACGATTTTGTTGGTATTGATGAAGAAATTACATTTCAACCTGGGGAAATTGGTCCAAAATTTGTTGAAATAAATCTGGTGAATGATAGAGATAATGAACCAACGGAAGAATTTGCAGTTTCACTTGCATCAAATTCAAGAGTAATTTTAGGAACTTCTTCTAAAGTTCAAATATTAAATGATGATGGTGCGTTTGTTATTCGTAGTTAGGTTTTTAAGATTTTTTATTTCGTGATTTAACGGTATCATTTTTTTTAGTTCCACTTGAACCAATCGTTACAACCACACAGTCAGTGGCGGATCAAGAAATAGTTCAATGTAAGTGAAAAGTATGCGAAGTCTTAAACATTTAAACATTTGCGTCATTTATAAAACGTCATACGTAATGTTTGTAGTTTTACTTTTTTGGAACAGAATACGTATTTTATTTTTTATTTGTTCATGTCATTTACTTTTAGTTCCATCTCCACCACATATTGAATTCACTCGAGCAAATTACGAAGTGATTTTTAAAGTTTAAATTTGGAATAAATGTTTGCTTTAGATATTTTTTTAATAATAAACGAGCTTATGCGAGAGCAATGTAGCCACATGCGTGATGCTTATGCGCAAATGGAGAAGATTAAATTTTTGTTTGTTTCTTTTGCTTGATACGTCATACGTGTTGCATACTTTTTGTTTCTTTGTATAAAATGAAGTCTAAGTACTTAAATCTTGAGCATTGATACATTTTATTTGACGAAATTATATTGTAGATAAATGATTAATCTTTCCACAAAGCTAGGCTTAGGTTTTTCTTTTCTTTTGGAAAGTTTGTATTTAGTTCAAGAGAACTTTTTTGCCAATGGCAAAGTCAGCCCGATCTTTTTCTCAAGCAATGTGAATATTTTAGTAAATTTACATTAACTTTCTTTAGAAAATTAATTCCATGTACTGCTTTTCCTGTGAATAAATGGAGTAAAAAGCAGGCTAGCTTTGCAACTGGTTTTAATTAATGCAATATTGTATTTTAAATAAACTCTTTAAGGTACAACAACTTTAATGATTTCAGCTTCTTCCCTTCCCGTCATTAAGTTCACCCAGTCTGATTATAACGCATTGGAAAGTGAAAATGCTGTAGTTGGAATATATGTGGCTGACGGAAAAATTATTCAACCCCTTACTGTTCGGTAAGATTTTATCGTAAACAGCAGACTGGTGGATTAAAAAATATACTTGAAAACATGTATTGAATTAACTTAGTTTTAATTCCACATTTCATAGACTTTACTTAATTAAACCGTCAAGCTTGTAGAAATTGATTTAGGGAACTAATTAATATTGTTTTTATTCTCAACTGCTATTTATGTATTTGCAATACATATAATTAGTTTTTCATTCTGTAGAATAATTCCAAAGTCACAATCCGCTGGTGAGAATGATTTTGAAAATGTTCCTCAAGAAGTTACTTTTCAACCTGGTGAAACTGGACCAAAATTTGTTGATATCGTTTTGATAAATGATGGGAACGTTGAACCAATAGAAGAATTTACTGTTTCTCTCGCATCCAATTCAAGTGTAATTCTTGGAAATTCTTCATCAGTGAATATACATGATGATGATGGTCAGTGACTTGCATTAATCATGTAACTTATCATTTAAACCCTACTTTTCTATTGCACACGTAGAAAGCTTCAGTTTGTTTTTATTTTTTCATATCCAGCGTCGTGCAGGAGGATGGATATCGGTTTTCTACTTGATTCAACAGCTAGTATGCGAAACTGCAACTTTAAGAAAGAAAAGAAATTTGTAAAAGACATAGTTAGTTACTTCAACATTTCACAAGAGTTTACCCGGATCAGTATTATGCAATATGGAGCTCGCAATATATTAACACGTAAATTCAAAGAGACAAAATCACTAGAAGATTTTCAAAGACAAATTGACCGTCTTCAATTAAAAGGAGGTAGTGCAAGATTAGGAGAAGCCATGTATTTGGCTGCTTCATCAATGTTTACGGGGAAATCTGGTATGCGTCCTCATGTTCCTAAGATCCTTGTTGTCCTTAGCGATGGCTCAGAAAAGGTCGCCACACAATTTGCCAAAATTATTAAGTCTATGTTGTACAAGAATAAAGTCAGAGTCATTGCCGTTGGAATTGGTGAGGCAGACTTAAAAACACTGTCTCAATTTGTATCATCTCCAAAAGATTTGATCATTGTCGATAAGTTTCAGGATGCGACAGAAAATCTTGTGGCTTTATTGAATCGGACTTGCATATCAGGTTTTGGTAAGTTGAGGGTGCCTAGCCTGCAAGAGCCTTAAGACGTAAACAAGGGAACTTTTTGTTAGAAGAATATTTTAGAACAATAAAGCTGGGATTGTTTCATTGCAATTTCGGAAAATTGAATAAGCTCTTCAATGTTTTTATCCACAGTTAATATCTACCGCGTTTTAAGTCTTAGAGAATTCAAATTGTTGAATTACGACCATGGCCTAAGATGGTGTTTATTAGCGTTTATTGAAAGACAAAAAAATAGTGTTTATAATGAAAATTACAAAAATATATTTGCCTCTAGAATGACATGAAATTTTTATCACTCACTATTTTTTCTCAACTTGTATTGTTGAAGTATTGATTTTATTGATCATGAGGTAAAGTTCATTTTTTTATGTAAAGATTCTGAAAAGTGTCATGCCACGAAGAAATCATTATCTAACGTTAAGATTGGTGGTTGTGTCAGTAGAAAACCAGTTGAAATTGGTAAGAACATATGTATGGTATAGATTATTGTTATAATACATAGAATTAGCAGTTTTGAGGGAGGGCTGGGATAGTCTAAGTGACTAATGACTACCTTAAGAAATAGGAATCCCCAATCACACCCGAAAAATGATAATGACTATCGTGATAGATAGTTGTTCTCTTTGTGATATTTCAGTTCATATTCAAACTGGTGTTAGTCTGCAAAACAAGATGAGTCTCTTAGTAATAGTTCTAGAAAGTTTTATCTGTCAACTTCTTTCTTAAGAATATATGATGGTCTGGCTAGCTTGCTTTTTAAAGGTTGAAATGTTGAGATGACTTGATGTTATTTAGTCAAAATAAGTTAAACGTCTTTGAATAATGTCGACAACGTCAACTGAATCCACTTTGAAGCGATCGCTGATTATCTGCTTTAATTTGTGTGCTTGTCTATCAATGAAGTTGATGTCATAGTTTAATATCAAGAGTGATGCGTTTGTGTTACGGTATGGTTAAAGGTAGTGCTTTGCAGCGATAACCTGACACATTAACAAAGTATCGATGTCTAATGTAAATCATTGAAGCTAAATATATAAATAAAAGGCCACCATTTGGTAAAAATACCTTTACCTGCAGCTGCATGAAACGCAATTTTAGATCCAGAACTCTTGACTAAAAAACATTTATCTGATTAAACTTTGCATTGCTAAAGAAAGTATTGACTTTGGAAAATTTTCAAACTGGCAATAGCATTGTGTTTACGTCCCCTTTTATAAAAACTGTTTTGCCTGTTGTATATATTACTTAAGCTTTGATCAAAGTAAGTAGAGAAACTTTAAGGTACTGTTAGAGATTTTCATTTTGTGTTTTTGTAGGAGTTTGTAGTGGACACTGCCTTTCAAACTTCGTCGAGAATAATGGATTTTACGAAATGAAATGTGCTTGCTGTAAAGTAAAACAATCTGTCACAATTATTGTTGATGTACAGTGCTACCTAGACACAAGGAAAACTGTAAAAATTCGCTCAGCGGTTTCATGCTCGTGTGCATCATGTACAGAGAAAACTATTGGTGTACACTGAGCCCTGCAAGTGATGGATTTATGCGTGATTTATTTTATTTGTTATGATATAATCATTAGATACAGTGCATATATAGTAATAATTAATTGAGAAAAAAAGTTTTAAATTTATTTTCCAATTATTGTCAGCTATACATTATACTAACGACTTCATGACTTAAGACTTGTGACGACAAAAAACCGTCGTCAAATTTGGAAAATCTACACGAAGAAATTTTAACTCGTTCATGAAGTTTGCGCTTGTGCAATCTGTTTAAATCTAGAAATAGGGGCAAAACTTTCATCCAAAAACTAAGAAATTGTACAAAAAATTTTGCATTTGACTATCTCATCCGGCAGACAGTTTTGGAGATTGTAAACTATGGCCTAGAACAACTCACGCCAATAGCGGAAAGAATATAATTTCATCAATGGATATATGCCTCTAAGGTACTTAGAAAAGTAAATATATGCCAAAATATGTTGCAGTAATTTATTTTAATTTACTCTAGTATCTAGATCCACCACTATCTCAAACTGAGAAACCGCCACAGGTTTTCCAACAGGTTCTTGGTAAACTCTCCAAAAGGTCATTCGTCTCTTTGAATCACCATGAGGTAACTATATGTTATGGTGCTAATTAATAAAAGTTATTCTCGATACCCGAAATAAAAACATCCCCCTTAATAATGACATCTAGCCAGATGGTGTTTTTAGAGGTTTATGTAGAAATAAGATTTTTAAAAAGAGATGAGAAATAAGTTGAACAATATTCAGATGAAAAACAATGTGGAAAGAGCTAGAGGAGCAAATAATAACGTCATCAAAAACAAACTCCTAAAATACGGTACAGTTCTAAGAATTTGATATGACTTGGCATTATGATGTAACTTATAATAGAAAAACATACACAGTTATACCATATGGTTACCTCAATTCCAATTGTTCCAGTAAGACGAATTCATAACGTATTTACCTAAATAGAATTCACTAATTCCAATTCGGAAGCCGTATTACAATTATTACAACATCGCACGTTGTCTGTACCGGTAGTAACTATTACAAGTATTCTCGAATTTTTGCTTGTAGTAATAAAAAACACCACAAAATATTCCCAAAAACACTAAAACAATTAATTTACACCATCGTTGACGATAGATGACTTAACTTGACTTCCACGGTTTACTTATAGCTATTATTATACGGCAAGCATCATTTTCGGCAAATGGCTTAATTTGATTGGCTTAGAAACATTTTCGCCGGTCCATTATTTTCCTGTTATGGACCACGGTCCATTACCCATAATTTTTTAGCAAAATGCAAACAAACTTCGCACAGCAAACAGCAAAATGGAAAAAAAAACACAAAAAAACATGAATGCATGAATGGGGGTCGATAGAAAA